AAAATTGACAATTAAGAAAAATTGAGAAAGATTAATGATAGCTCTTTCATCTGTATTAAGATTCATGGCAGAGCATTATGAGCTGGGAGCTGGGTTTAGCCCAAGAGCGAAAAATTGGGTTTAGAGCAATGATCACTAAATAGAGCATTATCGAGTTTTGTCAGTGTTGAGTCCCCAGTGACGCTCATTTTCCAATGAATTTACTTGCTGTGTTCAAATTTGGAGCTAGTACTTTGGACACCAGGGTAATCATTAACTCAGACTGGGCAATACTGATGTAGCCTGTTTGCATTTACTAAAGTAACACCATAATAGCTCTGGCGTCTCCTCCAGCGCGGCCTCTGCACGTCCTTGGAGTCTGCTTCCGAATAAGAAGGACTCACATGTGAACAGGGAGGGGTGCTATTTAAACACTTTCTTCAGCGATATCTGTGGTTCCAAGATGAGCCCGATAGGTCTGTCTCTGATTTCCTTTGCAACATACTTTAGAGGCTGTTGTATAAAAGAGGAAGAGATCTGAAATAATTGTGAGTGCAATGACGCACACAACCGATAATAAAGAGCCCAACCAGACTACGTATGTAGCTAGCAATCCTCACTGAGTTATGGTTGGGCATGCTGAAATGTCACTGCTAACACATAGCGTACTGAAGACTCTTCCTTAATTGTTAATGGCACTCATATATCTGTCATATCATTGACCCTGACATAGTTCAGGGTCACAAAGGCAGCTCACACACTGCAGCTGTTGACATTCAGCCCGATGTTCTGTAACCCATGAGATTCTGGTGAAACGCAGCAGCCATCTCACTGCAGGTGTCCTCCCAAAGTGGATTGATGCCTGCTGGGACCTTAGAACCAGGAGCTAAATAAGTTGTGTTTAAAGTTAGGAGGAGCCAATAAAACAAATACTTACCTTATGAATATGTATATCTACCTGTTTGTCCAATAAGTTTCCTGTTTTCTTAATGAATATGTAAAATTGCTTTGGAACAGAATCCTGTATTTTTTGCTTGTTCTCAAGTCCTTCCTGCTTTCACCCTTCTAAAGGATTTTCCAGGACTTACTGCTTCCACCTCATCACCAGGGTCAGGCCACTCCAACCTGTTCTCCATCCTCTGTGGCCACTCGCGCCGTGGGGAGACTGTAGACCACGTCTCCCTGTGGCCTCGCGAGTACCAGGATCAGCAGGTGCCTGCTGATTGTTCCTCACAGACCTAACGACGGATATGGAAATGAGGAGGGACTTGACCTTTGCCACTCAGCCTGTGGAGAGAAGTCCCAGCTGGAAAGTATCTCCTAAATAGGTGATGGTTTTGCATTGAGAGACACATCCAACCCCTGAATATAAGAATTTATTTGCAGACCGGAAGGAGGCACAGAGGAGGTAATCTTCAAAACCCGTTATAGCAGCTTAATTGCTAAGCCTTGGAGCAGTTTGGTCTGACCCCTAGAGAAAGGTCTATGCACTTCGGGAAGTATGTGCTCCTTCCTGATCTTCTAGGGCCCCCGAAAGAGGAGAGAGACACTCAGGGAGGCTACCCACAGTGGCACAGGGAGGATAGCTTTTGTCTGACACACATTGACGGAGTGAGGCCAGTCACCTTGCTCGGTGCTTGGGGAACAGCGGCGAGAGGAACGCACCCCCAGAGGAGCGTGGGGGAACTGCCCTCCTGCAGAGAAGAAGGCATGGGAAGCTGCTTTCTCTTCCTCCCTAAAGCACACCTGTGGCCTCCAGGACTTCAGCATGGGGTTCTGTTGGCTCCCTGTAGGCAGCCCCAGGTCCCTAGGGCCCGGTTCCCTGTGGGGAGGGGCTGGAGCCGAGCAGCTGTCCTCCTTGACAACCTGGACCCCGGGGAGGCCCTGGGGCTGGGAACGCATGCTAGTCTCACTCTGACTGGAAACTGCAGGCCCAGGACAGACAGACTGCTCTCCCTTCTCTTTAGCTGTGGCCATTCAGTGAAGCCACAACCTGTGCTCGCCCCTCGGGCCCCCTCCTCCCACAACACACTCCTTTGCCGTCCTTCAGTGGACCCTGAGCTGGTGGCTCCCTGGGCCTGGCTTCTCTCCACGGCCCTCCCAATTCCATCTCCCCAGTTCCCCGCGCTTCCTCACGCCCCAGCCCCTGAGACCCACAGAGGAGTTGTTGCGGGCCCTTGAGAGTGGAGTCGGTCCTGGGTGAAGGCGGCAGCAAGGCTGGTCCCAGCCCTGGCTTTGAGACCAGCTCGTGTTGCTAGGGACTGAGCGGAGAGCTCTGTGGCTTAGGTTCCAGCTTTAAAATACAAAACTCTTTACAAAAGCTTCACGAGACAAGGCTTTGGTCAGTCACTTCCTCTGGGCTGCACAGGTGATCCACGTGGGAATGCTTGTAAGAACGCTGGGCTTGCCAGATGAGTCAGCTCAGAGGAGCCTAGACTGAATTTCTGTGGCTTGGAGACCTTTTTGTTTTTGTGCAGAAGGGCAGGTTTGTCTGGGTTTGGGGAAAACCAATGAGAAACGAGGGCCTCAGAAATGTCATGGACTCCAAGGATCTCTGCTGAGTCCAGAGGAAAAGCCACAGCATTTGTCTCTGCCCTCCCCACCCGCGCAGGGCTGACTTTCGTGTGTCATTTCACACATACCAGGAAGCTCCCATTGCATGGGCGGACCTGAACTGTGGGGACTACGGGGAAAAGACCTAAAGTGAGTCTGTGCATTGGTGTGCGTTGGACGAGGACGGTTTCTAAGTGTTTGATAACAAGGCCGTGTGGCCTCTCTACCTGATACAGATTTCCTTGAAACCCAGTAAGCTTTTGCCATTAAGGTTAGGCTGGCTAATGGAGCCCCAGATTAAACCAGTTAATATTTTGATACTGCTGGGGAAGAGACCTGGGTTGAAAATATGTCTGTTCTTGGAAGTCACCTTGGACCAGAGAAGCAGACCAGTAACAAACCCACAACGAGTGGTAGCGTTGGAGCAGTTGGTCAAGTTTCCAGGAGTAAGTAGAGGGACACAAGCCCAGTGAGAGCAGGGGCCACGTCTGCTATATCGCCAGTCAGATACCCAAGCATCCCAGCTCCCAGTCCGTGGGGGCCACCTGAGGGGTTCACTGCATGCTGCTGGCCTGCATGGAGGGGAGTGGGAGTCCATTACCAGCAGGAGTAGGACAGACATGCAATTGTTCTCTTCCAGGAAAAATCCTGGTTCCCCCCCTCATTACACCTAGTTCTCTCTAGAATCACTCAGGGCAAGGGGAGTGATCTCAGGTTTCTTTCTGCACCTTGTCCTAGATGTAGATTCTCTTTCCCTCACTCCCCAGAGGTTTCTTGGGCTTCTCTGTCACCTGGAGATGAGACTGGGAGGAAGGGTGTTGGAAACTTTTCAGATCGATTGGGTTCCCAAAGGCCTGTTGGTGAAAGGCAGAGCCAGCTGCTTCCTTAATCCCAGGGACGTCACAGCAGCACCCCATTAGGCCCAGCCGAGCCCAAGGCTTGCCTGCTGCCCCCCCCCCCCCCCCGGTCTCTCCAGGCCCAGGGAGGCACGTGGGACGTGCGGGGCCGCCCTCCTTTCCCCAGCTCATCCCGCCTTTCCAGTCCGCAGGAGTCCTCAGCACCTATGTCAGATGTCCAAAGCAGGCGGTGACCGCAGGTAACCAGGCTGAGATTCGTCTCTCGTCTCAAGTAAAGGTCTCTTGGAGAGAGCCCGGCTGAGCCTTGCCCAGCCAGACAAGTCTGGAGTAACCCGAGCAAAGCGTCCAGACAGCAGCAGGGCAGGACAGGAGGTACCACCGAGGTTCCTCATCATTGCCGTGTGGCAGCTACTTTCCTGGTTCACTCTCTGGCCCCACCAGGACAGACTCACCTCGGGAACTACAATGGCTCGCTTTGGCCACTCTAGAGCCTGGAACCCAGGCCGTCTGAGAGAGAAGGAGAGGCCACAAGGGAGCCCAGGAGGCGGAGGGAGAACTAGAGGGCCCAGGGTCAGGGCTGAGGAGAAGGGACTCGTGGCTGGGAAAGGCGGGTTCCATCTGAACCAGACACACGGGCCTTTAATTTCCTGTTTCACCCTCAGCCCTGCAGGGGAACTGCAGTCTCCCTGCATGGTACAGGGCACGAAGGTCACCTTGTTTCACTCCCATCAGGGACCCAGTCTCCCTACAGTATCTCTGCCAAGCCGTGACCCTGGTTCCGGTCGAACACTGCCAGGCACGGGAACCAAAGGTAAACTGTTCCCTGGCCGGTCGCCTGTGCTAGTCTGGCCAGGAGCGGTTCCCACTGCCTACGGCTGAGGCTTCCTCCAGCTCCCCAGCCATCCCTTCGTGGCTGGACTCCCCGTGCCTCGCCCCGCTGCCTCCGAAGATGAGGGAGGGACTGGGCTGGAGGCCCACTTCCCTCTCGGAGCTGGAGTGGCACTCTTCAGCAGCGGCACCCTTCCGAGCCCCGGGAGCTCGCCTGGTCACCAAACGCCTTCTTGCCAGCCTCTCCTTTCTGTTCTCTTCTGGATCTTGTCAGATTCTCAGGCCATCTTTCGGGCTTAGGTCTCAGGGACCAGGCCCACCACAGCACGGGCAGGGGGTTGGCTGACTTCCTCTCCTGGTCCAGTAACGGGGGAGTCCCAGCCAGAAAGGCTGTTCGTCTCCTGGAACTGCCTGAACCAAAAAGGCTAAACATCTCACCCATAACAGCCTGGAGGCCCGGGCTTTAGCTTAATTACCAGATGGCAGTGTGGGCCTTCTTTGGGGCCAGGGACAGCGGAGGGGATGGGAAGAGGCACACAGACTTCCTAACGGCTCTCGGGTAAACCTGCCGGGCATTTAGTCTGCGTGCTCACTCCACCTTAATGACCGCACCCTGCCACAGGTAGCAGGTAATGTCCCTGCCTCCCTCCCTCCTTCCCTCCCTCCCTCCCAGCATCCCCCGCCCCACCCTGACCACTTTTATTATTTTTAATCCTCACTTGAGGATACACTTTTTATTACTTTTAGAGAGAGAGAAAGGGGGCTGGGAGGGAGAGAGAAAAACATTGATCGGCTGCTCCCATAAGCACAGCCTGACCAGGGATCAAACCCACAACCTAGGTACGTGCCTGGACCAGGAATCAAACCCACAACCTTTTGGTGTATGAGGCAATGCTCCAACCAACGGAGTCACCCAATTGTGGCCACCCTGATCACTTTTGACAGATGAAGGGACAAAGGCAGAAAGATTCAGTGCAAAGGCAGATCCAGGGCTAGAGTTCTAGTTCAAGGGCTAGAGTACCAGTCTCCTGCTTCTCCAGTTTGGGCTTGCTCATTTTCAGGCCTGGTCAGCCCGCCCAGCTTCTGCTCCTGCACTGGTGGTGGTGCATGGTCTGAGAGCTAGGCCCTCAGTTCCGGGGGCGTGTCTGGCTGCCGGCAGGGGTGAGACACTTGGAAGGCCTCCAGGGCCAGCAGTGACTTGTTGATTCGGTTGATGGTAGGGTAGGGAGTGAGGTCCACCTTGTACCTGTGGCAGAGAAACGCCCACCTCAGCCAAGGTGTGCAAGGGCACAGGGAGACTGCCCCATGGGCGGTGCGGGGAGCAGAGGCAGGGCTGGAGCGGGCCCTGGGGCGGGCCAGGGCAGGGCCCAGAGGATGGCCCTGCCAGGCAGGCGGCCGCCTTCACAGGGGAGGGTGGCTCTTGGGCCGTGTTGTCTGGTGTCTCTGTTGCCTGCTGTTCCTACTCCGAGCAATGGCTATTTATCGAGAACTTGCCACGTGTAAGACACAGTGCTAGATATTAATATATACAAATTATCTCTCCACCACGTCATAAGCTTCCTGGGGACAGGGAATGTGTCACACATTTCCGTAGCCCGAAGTGAGCCTAACGGTGCCGCTCACAGAGACGTTCTCGTTCCTGCCTCCCCGAAGGGCTGCTGGAGGGAAGCAGAGGCAGAGCTCACTGTGGGGCACAGCCACGCCTCGTCTGGGGTAGCGGGCTCTTGGGGTGGTTTCCTCTAGGAGTGTCCCCCAGCTGAGCTGCCTGTCCTCGGCAGCGGGTCTGCAGCTGGGCGTGGCACGGGGCGTTCCACTGAACACCTCTGCCCCGTCTCTTCCCGGCCACAGGGGCCAGCCCGGGAGAGTCTCTACATGAGATGCTACCCGAGTCACTGAAGTGGGGGGAGGAGGGCATTTTGTGGGAGCAGGTTGGGCATTTGGAGCGGAGGAGCCAGGAGGAAGAGGGAGGGCGGCAGAGTTCTCTCTTACCTTTCAGCATTTGCCACCTGAGGCACTAAGCAGAGGTCAGCCATGGACACCTGAAAGAGCGGCAGGTGTGTCCATGTCAGGGTGTGCAGCCCGGCTGCTCAGGCTGGGCGTGTGATTGACTGACAGTACTGGGTGGCCAGCCCGATGTTCCCATTTACTTCTGGCTCTTCCACCCATCCCCACTGCCCCCATCCACCTCCTTGCCTCCCCTGGGCCTGTCTGGGTCTGTCCCCAAGAGCACAGGGTTTCTCCCGGCCATGCTGCAGTTGCCTGGACAGCCAACCCTGTGGGTGGCCAGAGAAGGTTTGACTGCCTCAGTGGACATACTGTGCGTGCGGGGTAAGAAGGGCCACCACAGGCCCTCGGGGAGGGCTCCCAGAGGGAGGGGATGCCTCAGGGTGGGGGTGGGGCCCTGGAACCAGAATTAGCCCAGGGCCAGGGCCTCAGCCTGTAGGAGTCATGGGCACCTGAGCCCTAGGGTCTCAGAGTGGGGAGGGAAGGCAGATGTCATCTAGACTGACCCCTCGGCTGATGCCCAGACCACCTCCTGAGCTCAGAGAGGAGGTCTTCAGCCTGACCACCTTCAGGAACGAGACTCGCTTCCTGTGGAGGCAGCTGACCAGGAGGGCGCAGTGGGGCTCCCCAGGAGCTACCCTCCGCTCGCACAGAGTGGAAGACCTTGGTCCCTTCTCCTCCCCCACCCCCATGCCCTCGGGAAGCCCTCTGCGCTGAGCCCACCCTGGGGTGCAGGGAGATGGCTGAGCCTGAGTGGGAGGGGGTGGGCAGGAGGCAGGAGGCCGCTGTGGGCGGGCCTGGGAAGGCTTACCTCGTCTCCCACACAGTACTTCCCCACCGTGCTCTGCAGGATCTGCTCCAAAGCTGCGGGGGACCACAGGAATACTCTGACTCCGGGTATAGCACGGGGAGGTGGGCCCTTCTGAGCCTTGGCCTTCCTAGCACTGAAACGGGTGGCTATCTGGGGAACAGGCTGGGGCATTTGTGCGGGAGAGAATGTGGCAGCCAGATCTAGAGGGAGTTGTTGATAGGGACGTGGGGATGACGCTGACAGGCTGGCGCTTTGCTGGCCTTGCTCTTCCAGCTGGAGCGGGCAGGGAAGAGCGGAGGCTGGGCCACCCAGCTCCAGAGGCCTCAAGGACTGAGGTTCCCAGAGGTGGAGGCCGGGTTTCGATGCCACCCTGCCCACTGCCTCCTCAGGCCTGCCCCCCCCCCCCCCCCGCCTCCGTCCCGTCAGGATCAAAGAGCCTGGAAAGCTTTTTCAGATGCTCAGGGCCATGGACACTCGGGCCATTTCTCTGAGAGGTCACCTCAGGGCAGCTCACAGGAGTAAGGACTCACCTTTAAAGCCGGAACTGATGACCTTCTGGGCCCAGGCCAGCTGGTTCTCCTGTCCCACTTGCTTCAGGACAGACAGGTTCTGTGTAGCCCAAGGAAAACCTGCAATCGGCCTTGGGAGCCAGGCCTGGCCTGCTCAGCCACACCCCCTCAGGGAAGCTCAGTTTCCCTGTTCTCTCTGGACTTCCCCCTGCTCCAGGAGCCCTCCTCCCATCAGGGCCCTGAGGCTAAAGGGAGGCCTCGAACTCAGCAGCCACCTTCCCAGGCTGCCCCAGCGGCCCCTGTAGTCTGGAAGCCTGTGACTCCGGCAGAGCTGTGCAAGGGTAGGGGCACCGGACACTGCCAGGCGGTGATGGTGGGTGTAAACCGAGGCCTCTCCCCCTCACATCCCTTTTCCCTTACAGGGACTTTGTGAGGAGTGGGAGTGCAGTACAGCAGGTGGCAGCGGGGCGGGGGTGGGGGGTGCAAGACGGGGAAGGCAGGGAGGACTGGCTTTGAAGAGACCTGGACTCCGGTTCCATCCTTGCGCCCCTGGAGCCATCTCACTTTTAGCCCCAGTTTCCTCATCTATGAAATGAGGATGACTGTCTGCTACAACCTCCTTTGCTACAAAAAAACAAAGTGACGTGGGGGAGGGGGGACACAGACGCACAGCTCCTGGTCCTGGGCCCTGGTCCTTGCTTTGTCTTAGCAGAGTGACTGCAAAGTCACTCCATCTTCCTGGGGCTGTTCCCTCATTTGCAAAGTCAGGAGTTAGCCCAGACGATTGTTTTGTTACAATCATATTAAAAAAAAAATCAGTGACAACTTTATGAAAAATAAAAATCTTACGGCAATCCCGGTCTGTGATGCAGAACGGATGAATGGGAGGCTGCTCCGGCCAATGAAAGGCGGGAGGCCTGGACCTGTGCTGCTCAGGGGCTCCCTGTCACCTGGCCCGTTGCCGCTCCAGCACCCCTGGATGCATCCTTGGAAGCCCAGGGCTTCTGGGAAAGGGGTTGGGGACCCAGCAGAGTGGATGATTTGTGGGACCCCACCCCTTCTCCCTGCCCCACCACGTGACTTCGGTCTCAGTCCTTGGCAAGCCCTCCCCGTCCTGCTGCCGCCCTCACATCCAAGCTGGGCACCTCACTGTGGGCTCGCCGCAGTCAGCGTGCGAGCGTGGGGGTGCACAAGTGCCGCACCTGCAGGGGCTGGATGCCGCTGGCGATGAGGTCGGAGATCATGCGTACAAGGACCCTCTTCTTCGGGTCCTGAGGCAGGAGTCGTGGAGTGGGCCGAGTCTCCTCCAGGTACTCGATGATGGCCAGCTGTCCAGAGGGAGCAGTGAGGGGAGCCCCGAGGGGGCCCGGGGCCCCTTGGCCCGTGGCGATAGGGCCTGCAAACTCCCCCTCCTCCTTGTCCTACTCAGTTCGAACCCGTGAGGCCAAGAGGCTCCCCAGGGCGGACAAGCTCTTTTTGGACCCTTATCCTGCAGAGCTTGGTCCCCCACATGCTCGAGTCTCCCTTCATTTCCCAAAGCAACCAACCAACCTTCCTCCCTCAGACCAAGATTTTTTTACTGTGTCCCTACCAAGCGCTAGATGCCTCGGCCATACTCAGACAAGGAAGAACCACGAGGTCCTGTCCTGCAGGGCACCATCCCGTGCGGTGCCTCCCAAGCCCTGCACTCACTGACTGGCTGATGGTGATGCCATCGATCTTCAGGGCCGGCACCTGCTTCATGGGGTTCAGTGCCTGGAATTCCTCAGAGAACTGTGGACAGAGGGCCCTGATGGGTCGGGTGGCCCGGCCTGAGTTGGCTGGAGCAGAACCAGGCAAGCAGGAAGGCCCTGGGCCTGCTGCCTAGCCCCGCACCGCCCTCCCATGGGAGGGCCCCGGCTCCCAGGCCCAAGGCCACGCCGGAGTGATCTGTGCAGTACCCAGCCTCTAGTGGCTGCTGAGCTACAGGCTTCATCCCATGTCACTGGCCACCAAAGCCCATCCAGAGGGCCCAGCATGGGGCAAGGACCCACTCACCACCCACCCTCCTGGGGTTAGGCACAGACAGGCCAGGCTGTGGTACGGAGCCTGAAGCCTGGGTCCTTCCCATGGCTCCTCCTGCTGTGCAGCTTGCCACCCATCCCCACGAGAGAGCACCAGCAGCCCCCTCTGCCGGGGACCTCTTGGGATGGCCTGCACCCCCTGCATCCTCTCCAAGACCTCCAACTCCCACACTGTGGCCCGTGAGCAGCCTCCTTACCTGGTGGCCCCCTTCCTTTATGAGGTTGACGGGCGCTGTTTCATAGTCGATGCCCTTCCAGGCCAGAGCTAGGAGGGACGGCAGACAGCAGAGTCAGGGTCAGCCTCTGGCTCCACTTCCCAGGGCAACGGGAGGCTGCCGAGAGAGGCTTTCTCCATACTGCTGGGTGGTCAAGGCCCAGCGCGGCCCTCGCCCCTCCTCGCCAGCTTCCTTGGTCACCACCTGCTCCCCCTGCCCAGGCCCATGATGCCCTGCTCCTCTTGCCCTGGCACGCTGTGGGCTCTGGAGGGCAGCAGAGAAGTGTCCTCCTCATCTCTGCCCCCTCCAGGGCCTTACACGGGGTCCAGCAGGGTTTTGTGCTGGAGACAGTGATTCCCTCGTGAAGGCATCTAAGGGCCAAGGGAAGGGGCTCAAGTGACTCAAAACACATGCGCAGGCAGATGACATTGTTTAGAGAACATTGTTTACAATCACTTTGTAATCCATTTTCTTTGCTTCTGCTTGAGATAAGCAGGGCATCAGGTTCTTTGGTGGTGTCAGAGCATCTGCTGTGACCCCCAGGGGCCAGATTTCCTCTTCATCCCCTTTGATGATTTCCCCTGGCAAGGTGGGGGTAAAAACCCTAGTGTGTGAGTGTGTGCACACACACTCGTGCCCTGAAATACGATGGTGGCCAATCTCAGGCAAGCGCAAAGGAGGTAGGGAGGAGGATGAGATGTGTCCCAGGCTGAAGAGAGCCTGGGAGACGGGGGCTCCATTCTGGAGGGTGGCTGCGGCTGGGGCCGGGCGGGAGTGAGGAATGCATGCAGGCCCAGAGACGGCGCTCAGCTGCTCTGGCGTCTGGCCCAGCGGGGCAGAGGCTCTGGGCCCACGGACCGGGCGTCATCTTGGAGAAATGTGTCCTCTCGCACCCCAGTGCTCTTGCCTCCTCATTCCAAAAAATACCAAATGCCTGTGGGGCGGGGGAGGGGTCCTGGAGGATGGCTTCCTAGTTAGGGCTGGCTTCAGACTTCATCACATTCATTTGCTGGCTCGTGAAGCCTCAGGCAAGCAACTTTCTGAGCCTCAGTTTCCTCATCTGTAAAACGCGGGCAGTAACAGTACCTGCCTCGCAGGGCTGTGAGGCTGAAAGGGTATCAGGCACACAGAGCGCTCAGCACATGGTCCCTCAGCGTGAGCTGCGAGGACCCAGACCTTTGCCAAGGGCTGTGCTGAACTGAGGGAGGGAAAGGTTAAGCTGGGGTGGACAATGGCCAGTTCTGTTTAATTTGCCAGATCAAATAAGACAAGAACTGAGGCAGGCCAGCTGTTTCCTGCCCGTTACCAAGGTCCTCTAGATTTTGTGAGCCTGCGTTAAGCATGGTTGCTAAGGAGCTCTGGAGGGCACAGTGGGACAGGCGGCGGGCCCAAGAGAGAAAACAAGCCCCCTGCCTGCCACCCCCGCTCTCCTCTTGTTGGACGTCTGGGTGGCGGTGCCGCTCCCTGCCGAGGGCTCCAGGAGACGGAGGGTGCTGGTTGCTGGGGGGCAAAGCCCTGTCTGATAGAGCACCCCCGTCCCAGGCCGTCTTGTTCCCCTAGGCCGTGGGGGTGTCCAACCTTTTCGTGTCTCTGGTCCACACTGGAAGAAGAGTGGTCTTGGGCCATACATTAAATATACTGTGACACGTAACCACAAAAAATAAAATCTCATAATGTTTTAAGTGAATTTACAACTTTGTGTTGGACTGCATTCATAGCCATCCTGGGCTGCACTCAGCCCGTGGGCCTCGGGCCAGACACCCCCATTAGGGCTTCCCCCACCCCACCCCACCTTCCCGAGGCTCTCGGCATAGGCCCAGCTCTTACCAATTCGAACCCTCCAGGAGCAGGAGCTTCGGAAATAGGAGTAGAGGACGGGCTGAGGAGAGAAGGGACAAGGTGCTCGTTAGCCTGTGCTTGGTGGGTTCCCCGGCCCAGGGGCCCCCGGGGAGGAGGCACTAGCCCCCAGCCAGGGGTTCCAGGCCAGCAATGTCTTCCCCTCCGGCCAGGCCTCCTTCCTCAGGCCTATGTCTGGGCAACTCAGGCCAGACTCAGAACGCTCTGGATCGGAGGCCTCAGCGGGAGCCCCTGGGTCCCACACTGTGCGGTCACGCGTTCCCGAGGCCTGCCGGCCCCCCACAGGGCAGCGAGCCTGCAAGCGCTCTCCTTACCTTGCCAGGCTCAGTCATGGTGCTGCGGTAACCCTTGGCCTCCTGAGGAATGTCCCCTGTCACAGAGCAGCAGGACAGGGGGAGGGACCCTGAAGGGGTGGATCCCACGAGCCAATGGGGAAGTGGTTTTAGGCGGGCGCTGGGGGGACTTTGACTCGGACCAGAAGGGGCGCACCTCTTTCCAACTTGTGGGAAGTTCCTTATGCCCCTGGTGGAGCGAGGTTTGGTGTCCTGGGCAGACAAGGCAGCCTGGTTTTGAGGTAAGTAGCTCATGTGGTGCAGTGGGCAGGGGGGCTGGCATGCCAGGGTCTGGTTCCAGTGTGGGAACCAGCTCTGTGTGACCTTGGACAGGCCCCTGCCTTCTCTAGTCTTCAACACCCTCATCTGTAAAAGGAAGAGTTGCCCTAAAATGATGGCTTAGATTCCTTCCAGCAGTAGCAGAACGACCAGGAATCCTAATTCCTGATGCTTTGGTGCCCACTGCTTCCAAACCCCTCACCCACCAGTCCTCTGGGCTGTTAGCTGGTCTCATAAAAGTAGCTGGGGTACATGCCCATTCACTCCAAAGCTGAGGTCGCAGGCTGGCAGCCCAGTGTTCTGTTTGGTCTACACCACAAGTGGCAAACACCAGGCCCAGGGGCTGAACCCGGCCCTCCACCTTGTTTTATCCGCCTGGCTGGCACCTTGTTTCTACCCGGTGGCAGTGCCGAGCTCTCGCTTAACTGTGAAGGAGTAGTTACATTATACAGTCCTGAAATTACATTCGGCCCTTGGAAGGCAACCTCAAGGCTGATGTGGCCCCCGGTGAAAATGAGTTTGACACCCTTAGTCTACACAGCATTTAAAAATGTTTCAATTACACTTGGCTCTCTTCTTATCTGCAGGTGAGTATTCAACCAGCTGCAGATTGAAAATATTCAGAAAAAAATTACATCGTTACTGACGTGTGCTCTGTAGTTTTAAGCCTACAATGGTTGCTTTGGTTGGGTCTGTACTGAATACATACTTTTTTGTTATTATCCCCTAAACAATACATTAGAACAATTACTTACATAGCAGTTATGTCGTGTTAGGTATTGCAAGTAATCTAGAAATGATTTAAACTATAGTAGGCTGTTTTATATGAGGGACTTGAGCATCCTCAGATTTTGTAGGCATGGAGGAAGGGGTCCTAGAACCAATCCCCACGGATATCAAGGGATGATTGCAGTTTGGCAACATTAAAAAAATCCGGATTTTTAAAAAAGATTTTATTTATTTTATTTTTAGAGAGGGGGGAAGGGGAGGAAGAGAGGGAAACATCAATGTGTGGTTGCCTCTCATGTACCACGTACTGGGGACCTGGCCTGCAACCCAGACATGTGCCCTGACTGGGAATCAAACCAGTGACCCTTTGGTTCGCAAACTGGCACTCAATCCACTGAACCACACCAGCCAGGGCAAAATCTGGATGTTTCATATACAAATGATGTTTTCTACTTTTTTCTTTAAAAATCTGGAGACGGTGGACTTGGCTTCCTGAGCAGCAATTGACTGGAACCAATGAAGAGCCCCCTGACTCAGGGCCAGCATTCTGATCTGCCACGGCCCCGGCTTGGCTCACTTCTTGTCTGTGGTCTGCAGACCCCTGGAGGCAGCTGAGTGTGCCACCTCTCCTCTACAGTAGTTCATGGGACTCAAAGTTAATTCCTCTGGTGTTTCTTGGGTGACCTGCATTTCAAAGCAGTCCCCAGGACAGTTACTAGTAATTAGCACTCTTGAATCTCCCAGCAGACACATGTATCCATATGGATGAGGGAGAACTCAGTAGTTTGTCTACTATCCTCCTGACTACAGCAGACATTTCACCCAAGTTCCGTCTCCCTTTTGCATCCCCCAGCACATCAAGCTGCTATTTGAACCTGCTCGCACCATCCCCGAACGACCAACTCTGTCTCATAGGCGGGCGAGGGCACAAGTGATAACTAAGGCCCTCTCAAGCTGGTTTCTGAGCCAGGGGGTTCCAGCCAGCACTGAAGGCACCTTGTGTGGGGAAGGCGAGGGTGCTCCGGGCACAGAGCCCAAGTGATGGGCAGCAGGTGTCCTTGGAAGGGTGAGAATTGGGTGGCTACGATGGGAGATTCTGAATTTGGAGGTGCATCCTTTCCTTACCTGGGGCCAAGACAGGGACTGCTGGTGAGGGTTAGGACCACTGGAGCGGCAGACGTCACCTTAGAACCCTTCCACTTGTACTGAGGGTGACCAGAGTCGCTCTAATGCCACTCCTCTCAGGTTTTCTACTCATGGGCCACGAGGAGACATACTGAAGGGCAGTTTCTACTCTTTCTTTTACCAAATAATTACATAAACCATCCCGTGTTCCTTTTTGCACTTGTAGAGCTAAATTTTAAGTTCAAGTAAAGCATCCATCTCATCACCACTCTTGGGGGAATTGTTTCCAATTCCAACATAGATTCTGACCACTCTAGAAGACTTTATTTTTAAACTGTCTCTCACACACGACTTTAAAGACTCCTAAACCCCATTTGGGAGTGAGAGGGCTCTGCATTGTTAAAGAGATGCTATATTCACCTGATGTGCCTGCCACCGTCCTTTGAGCTACAGGAGCTGTGCTCAAAATTTCATACGATTCGTCTGGGGCGCATATTAAACATGCGGATTCTCGGGCCCCCTCCTCCAATGACCGATACAGTGGCTCCGGAGCGGGCCCAGGAAGCTACTCGGTGATTGCATAGTACCACTGCCTCCCTTCACCCCTAGTGTTCTCTCAAAACACATACAATCCTGGAAGGCCACGTAGAGGGAGATCTCGCGAAGTGTGAACTATCAGCGACTGGACCCCAACGGCGTGCGCCAACACGAGTGCAACCCTCCAAACACCACACAATTCCAGCGGGCAGCACGCAGACGCAAAACGTGGCGCACTGCAAGCAGGGAATCGTTGTCGGAACTGTGGGCGGGGCTGAGGCTCCTTTTGATCCCGCCCACTCCAGGTTTCTTAGTGTTTTGAGTAGCGCCCCTCTCCCCGGATGCATGGCACAAACCTTCCCCACTTGCATCTCGCACTTGCACTTCGGGCGATTCCCCCGTCCAAGTCAGGAAACTTCACAACCGGGATTCTCTGACTCTCCGACTCTCCGACTGAGGCCCAGTGGGACGACGACACGTTGGAACCTAGGCGAGGGGTTGGACTAGAATAATCCTTACGGTCTCCTCTAGGTTTTCCCGCCCTGCTGCCACGCCCCAGTCCCGGCGCTGCTGGGAATTGCAGTTCCTTGAGCCCATTTTCTCCCCGGCCCTGCCCGCCAGACCCTGGCGGTCCGTCATGCTCTGCGCCACTAGCCTCCTCCCAGCGGCCGAGGAGGCCGCCGCACTCCCCGCCCAGCCCAGAGGCCGGGGTTCACGCCCCGCTGCCGGCGCAGGGAACTACATTTCCCAGGGCACCCCGAGCTGCTCCTTTGAGGCTTCTTGGCAGGACAGCAAGCAAGACCTAGCGTGCCGACGGGCCGGAGGGCGATCCTGGGGAGGGGAAAGATGCCGTCGGCAGTGGGCAGAGGCCTGACAGGTTTTGAGCTACGTCCTCGGAAGGGCCGCTGTGGGCCCCAGGCTACTACAGCCGCGGGTCCGGAGGGGGCCGCCGAGGCTGCAGCGAGGAGCCCCAAACAGCCTGCTGGGGGCTCGCGGTGCTTCGAGGCGGCCTGCTGGTGGGCCCTGCTGGCCCTGGTGACGCTGCTGTCCTTCGCCACCCGCTTCCACCGCCTTGACCAGCCTCCGCACGTATGGTGAGTGATAGGTGGGACTCAGCAGACGCCATGGTAACCGGGAGGCGAGACGCATTCTCTGATTGGCCCTGGGGCACGGAGGGGGCGGGATTCGCAGGAATATGGGCGGAGTTGCGCTGGAGAGGGAAACTGAGGTTTCTGGTATTTGCATCTGGCTAATAGCAGTGTGCGTCTTCGCTTTGGTGGGTGGCGGTGGGATTCTTAGGAAACACTCTTTATGCCTTCCAGGTTATGCTACAGTGTCTCACCTGGCTCACAAGTTGTGGGTGTCTGCTTTGAACTTTCCAAAGAGAACCAAAAATTCTTAGTACTGAATTTCTTAAGGTCTGAGTTCCTAATCTGCAGAATTTCCAGGCATCAGTGGAGGGGAAAATTGTTAACTGGGTACCTTCGTCCTTGGGAACAAGGACAACTTGGGAGTCCAGGGATGGTGACAGGGATCCGGACAGCAGGTCTGGGATCATCCTGTGAGGAGAGATTTATTTTCTGAAGGGTTTTAGTTTGTAGAGTCAGTTGCAGGACTGAGGTATGGTCAAATTTCATTACATAAGCTTTAAGAAGTCACCAACTGGCAGAAGGAAAAGTTGTCTACAATCTGAAAATGGTTACTTTGTTTGGCCAACAAGTGATACCATATTTTCTCATTATCACTGAGGAGACAGCTAGTGTAGGCGATGTTAGAAATGAAACTCCGTGACTAAAAAGCAAGCAAGCTAACTATCAGGGCTCCCCTACTCAGAAGTTAATAAAGTAGCTTGTTGTTTCATGAGTCTTGGCAGAAGACATGAGACTCCTCTGTCAGAGACAAAGGACGTGTTACCGTGACACAGGAAGCAGGGTGAACGTCGGTACGTTGGGGTCAGTTTTCCTTGTTCCCCAAATTCCACAGGGTGAATGTGATGGGCTCGGGTCGATGACTGCACACACAGTGGGTTTCCTTGCAGCTGAGGATCAACAGCTTGGGGAACCTACTGTTTTATAGCAAGCAGTAAGCAAGCTTACTCTTTGTCTTGGAGAGAGACATTGCATCATTATTCAAGGTTGCTTGGTGTAAACCCAGCTCTGAGAAATGTCCCAGGTAAATGCAATCAGGGTCTTGCATCCTTGGCAGATCCAGCAAGATGCGTGGACGTACAAGAGACCCATGGAGGACAGTCTGTCCCAACAGTCTCACCCCTTGATCCTATACTGCTTTGGCTTCTAGCAGATTCTTACACGAATATGCAACTCCATCGGCTGCTCTGATTAACTTGGCTGACAGATGCAGGAACCAAATCTACTCAGTTTGTCTCCTACAGCATTTAATTAAGGCTGCTTTCAACAGGACTGTAAGCAGCAGGATGAGGACAGCCTGTGGGGTTGGTTAACCAAAAAGATCACTTGGTTTTAAAGTAAAAAACCACATTTTTCATTTTCACTAATAACTTCATTGAACAGCGTATTCACTGCTGTTCCACCACCTTCTGCCACTTTTCAGGCAACTTCATAATTCTGCCTTCCCAAAACTTTTTATCTTTTTGAGCAAAGAACTGTTCCAGGTGTCTTTTGCAGCCTTCCAAGGATTTGAAATGTTTTTCTATTAACAGAATTTTGTAAAGACCGAAATAAATGGAAATGCAAAGGTGCAATGTCTGGTGAATAAGGTGAATGAATCAGAGTTTCCCAGCCAAGCCGTGCTAGTTTTCACCTGGTCATCGGAGAAACACGTGGTCTTGCCTTATCCTGATGCAAGAGTATGCGTTTTCTGTCGACTCACTCCAGATGCTTTTTGGAGAGTGCTGCTTGCAGTTGGTCTAATTGGGAGCAGTACTTGTTGGAATTCATCATTTCGTTTTCCGGAAGGAGCTCATAATAGATAACTCCCTTTTGATCCCATTTTATACACAACATCTTCTCTGGATGAAGACCAGCTTTTGGTATGGTTGGTGGTGGTTCATTTTTTTTTTTTAGATTTTATTTATTTTTTGGAGAGGGGAAGGGAGGGAGAGAGAGAAGGAAAGAAACATCAATGAGTGGTTGCTTCTCATGTGCCCCCAACTGGGGACCTGGCCTGCAACCCAGACATGAGCCCTGACTGGGAATCGAACCGGCACCCCTTTGGTTTGCAGTCTAGAGCTCAATCCACTGAGCCACACCAGCCAGGGCTATAAACCACTTTTGACACATTCACTTCAGTTACAACCCCTTCTCCATACACTGCGTAAATCTTTTTTTGCATTTCAGTTGTGTTTTTATCTTTCTTGAAATAATAAAGCATAATATGCCAAAAATGTTTCTTTTCTTCATCTTCAATATTAAAGTGGCCACACAAAAGGTCACCAATTTTGATGTTTTTTTAAAAATGTACTCTGATATGACAGTTGTCACAATACAATCTAACAAAATTGTTTCAAATGAAGTTAAAGACAACTAAGTGCTACTAGAGCCATCTTACAGGAAAAAAAAGAACACTTGTCCAACTTGGCATTATTAACCTCAACCATGCTCCTCAGGGTCCTGGATTCAACCACCTCTGAATAATTATGTGTGAGGGTCAGGGGTGGGGGAAGGACCAGTAGGTCTTACTTTAGATAGCTGGGATGCAGTTTAAGACCAATCTGTTATCCATTATGGTCTCTGCACAGCATTTACACTGACCTCTAACCTTTGGTGTCATTGTTGATAATTATAGTGGGTTCCTGTTTTTTTTTAGAGCAACTCCCATACCCAATGGATGTGGCCCATTTTTCCCTACATCTTAATATATTACCTGAAGAGGTGCAGGTCACTCCAATTCAAGATGTTTTGTTAAATTTTATTTGCACCACCATCCAGTTCAATTTAGACCACATTGCAGTGTTTTGGTCAAGCCACACGGGCAGCAAGTGTCATTGAGTTGCTGCAGCCCGTGCACTTGCACACACAGGAGAAGGTCTGGGAGTCGGTGTTGGTGTTGTCAGGCCATCAGAATGTGAGTTTTCCTGATTTCGAGGCACGCCGACAAACTCAGTACAAAGGCCAATCGCCGGCTGCAGCTTCCACTTGGTTTAGGTGTGCCCTGTGCATGTTTTGCCAGGCGTTGGTGCTGGGCCTAGAGGACGAAGAGAGCATGGATTGCTTCCCTCTTCTTTATACGTCCAGGGGTCGAAGGTGTTACCTCCTCAGGTGCTGGAGTTGTTTCTTTGCTTCCACTGCCATGTAATCGGTGTGTCCCATTTAGCACCTGTGACTTTACCTTTGCTCCAGTTTTCCCCAGCTGATAACCACACCTTTGTTTGCCAAGACCATTATTAGAAAAGTGGCGGAGACTGTTGTATCTCCCACCTTGGCCCGCACGAGCCACTGCAGGGGGCCTTGACAAGCAGTGCACTCACCCAGCCAAGCGGTCATTATCTTTGTGCCCTGGGACCATGTCACTCATACAAGAAAATCCAGGTGACTGAACTGGAATTAGGGTTGAGTCCCATAGATTTCCCCAGGCTGACCTGGAGTTGCTGTCAGGGAAAGAAAGGCAAAACATGCCCAGGAATGGTTTGGGGAGAATCTCAAATTTTCAAAATAGGTGTATATAACCTTCTACCCCTTCTCTCCTTATCTTTACCCAGTTGGTCTCCAAGAGGAGATGAACCCTTTCTGGTGACCAAGCTGCTTTCCTAAGGTGTGGGGACTAAGAGAGGAGAGTCAGGAATCCTTCTGAGAGGACTGTTCGGGGCTTGACAGTATCCGATGCCCCCGGATGGTGGGGAGTGCGGAATGTCGTCCAGGATCTTGACTGTTGGCCCATTATTCGGTGGTCATTGCAAAAAAGGGGGAGCGCTGTTGTCAGATGGTAGCTGCTTTGGAAAGCTGGTAACATGACATTTCAGTTTAAAGGGTCACAATGGTGTATCCAGAGTCAGATGATGGTACTGAAACAGCATCGTCAGTGCTGTAATCTGAAAAAGTGTCAGCGGCAAAGAGGCACCAATGGCAGATAGCCCTGAGGGGCAGCAAAGTCCCCACACAGTCCGTTTGTCTGGAGCACTCGGGGTCCCCGCCCCGTGCCCAGGGCTTCCTTTACTGCAAGACCAGCGGGCCACTTTTGGCGGGAGGCACACGCCACCCCAGCGCAGCGATGGCTTCTGCCTCGGAAACATAGAGCCCTTTCCTTTGTGCCCAGTTCACGGCGGTAGACGTGCCTCCACGCCTGGTGCGGTGGCAGCAGTCTGGGCCGTACAGGCTAGTCCGCTCAGCGGCTGGTTCCAGCCGGTCTGATCAGAATATCGGCCCTTACCGTGGACACCTATGTGGGTGATCCGGGTTGTCCCATCGGCAGGCTCTGTGATTTTATCCCACAGGTCTCGGCTCCAAAGGGGGTGTTTTTGATCTCTCAGTCTGTAGCCTTCCAAGTGACACACCAGATGACTAGGCCAATGGCAAATGCCCAAGAGTCAAAAATATAAATTGTCTCTTAGGAGTATTGCCTAGGGCGAGGGCGCGGTCTTTAGTTCTGACCACTGTGCGGGTCCACCCTGACTGCAGTCAGAGGTGTCCCTGGGGCCGGGCGACTGCTGTCTGCCGCCCAGTGGGCCCCATCACCGTAGAGTGCAGCCCGGCCACCAGTGCCCCACGCAGAGCACTGAGGAAGACTTCTGTGCATAAGGGCTCCGCGGAGGCAGCGGCTTTGCTTTCGGTGGTAGAGTGGAAGATGGTCTTTTTCCCAAAGGGGGCGCTGTGGCCACCTCTGCGTGTAGAATCTGGATGCCTCGGGGGCCAGGTGGGCTATTGTCTTGAATATACCATTCCTGTCGGACCAGCGAGGCTTGTGGAGCCCTTTCCTTATTAGGCATAGATTCCAAGTTGACCCACTCCGAAGTGGCAGGGGTCCTAAGGCCTTCATGGTCAGGCACTCAATTTTCAGCGGGTTGCTAGTTGTCCCTTTAAAGAAGAGTGTACTTGGTGCCTCAGTCCAGCAGGGGGTGCTGTTATCCTGGAGAATGCCATTCCATCTTTTATTTATTTTTTAAATGTTATTGATTATGCTATTACACATTGTTCCAATTTACCCCCCATGCCCTCCTCTACCCAGTACCTGTCATGCCCTCTGGTGGTCCCCCCTCCTTCGTTCATGTCCACAGGTCACGCATGTATGTTCTCTGGCAGCTCCATTTCCTATACTTACTTTTAACATCTTCCTGTCTGTTCTGTAACTACCAATTTATACTTCTTTTTAAAAAATCATTTTATTGCTGTTCAATTACTGTTGTCTGCATTTACCCCCCCCCCCTCCTGCAGCCACCTCCCTGCCCTTGCTTCTACTCCCTCCTTGGTTTTGTCCATGTGTCCTTACCAATTTTTACTTCTTAATCCCTTCACCTTTTCCCTCATTCTCTCCAGAAGCCCCCGCCCCCCATTAACTGGCTGCCATCCCAGTGCTCTCCATATCTGTGACTTTGTTTCTGTTCTGCTTGTTTGCTTAGTTTGTTTTAGATTCAATTGTTTGTAGTTATGTATTTATTGCCACTTTAATGTTCATAGTTTTGATCTTCTTTTTCTTAAATAAGTCCCTTTAACATTTCATATAATAATGGTTTGGTGGTGATGAACTACTTTAGCTTTACCCTGACTGGGGAGCTCTTTATCTGCCCTCTGATTCTAAATGATAGCTTTGCTGGGTAGACTAATCTAGGTTGTTGGTCCTTGCTTTTCATCACTTTGAATACTTCTTGACAATACCGTCTAGCCTGCAAAGTTTCTTTTGAGAAATTAGCTGACAGTCTTATGGGCACTCCTTTGTAGGTAACTGTCTGCTTTTCTTTTGCCGTTTTTAAGATTCTCTCTTTATCTTTAACCTTTGGCATTTTAATTATGATTAAAATGTCTTGGTGTGGTCCACTTTGTGTTCATCTTGTTTGAGACTCTGTGCTTCCCGGACTTGTGTGTCTATTTCCTTCAGCAAATTAGGGAAGTCTTCTTTTATTTTTTCAGATAGGTTTCCAATTTCTTGCTCTTTCTCTTCTCCTTCTGACACCCCTATGATGCAAATGTTGAAATGCTTGAAGTTGTCCCAGAGCCCCCTTTTCATCATTCAAAGTGGTGAAAAGCAAGGACCAATGACCTCCAAAAGAAATTGGATTCTTTTTTCTTCTTGCTGTACTGATCGGATGTCTTTGGCTTCCTTATGTTCCAAATCATTGACTTGATTCTTGGCTTCATCCACTCCACTGTTGATTCTCTGTAAATTATTCTTGATTTCAAATAGTGTCTCCCTCATTTCTGATTGGGTCATATTTATGCTGCTGAAGTACCCACTGAGTTCCTTGAGCATCCTTATAACCAGTGTTTTGAATTCTGCATCTGATAGATTGCTTATCCCCATTTTGTTTTTATTCTGGAGTTTTGATCTGTTCTTTCATTTGGGCCATGTTTCTTTGTTCTTCTCATTTTGGCAGACTCCCTGTGTTTGTTTCTGTGTATCAGGTAGAGCTGCTTTGCCTCTGTGTCTTGGTAGTGTGCCCTAATGTAGTAGGTGTCCTGTAGGGTCCAGTGGCATGGCCTCCCTCATCCCCCAAGCTGGGTACTTGGAGTGCACCCTAAGTGTGGGCTGAGTGCTCCTGCCTCTTGTTGTTGAGTCTTAATTGCTGTCAGCAGGACAATTGGAGGAATTTACTCAGGCCAGACAACTGGTAGGACTGGCTGTGACCACTGGCCAGCAACCCCCTCCCTCTGTGGCTTGTGGAGGTGGTTGGTTGGTGGTGCTCTAGTGTGGTCTGTAACTGTCCTCTGGGTGTGCAGGCTCTTGGGTTTCCTGGGCAGTGCAGGCCAAGGTCAGCCTCCACCTGTGTTCTATCTGGGGCTGCTTGGCATAAGCTATGAAGCGATCTGCAGATGGCTGCTGCCAGTGCTGGGCCTGGGGCCACTCAGTGAGAGGGGTACGGAGCTGGGCTCAGCTGTTGCTTGTTTGAGAGCAGATTTGCGGATTCACAAAGGTCTCTGGAGCCTGCACCTAGCCCAGCCCTTCATATAGAAAAGCCACTGTTACCAGCTTGGGTAGGCGAATAAATGGGGTGGGGCAGAGCCCTAGGTAATTGTCAGGGTGGGCTCCTCTGTGGGTCAGGTGGATGGAGACTCAGATATGGTGCTGCTGCACTATGGCTGTGTGTGGGGGAGGGGGAGGGCTCAGACAAGAGACTGGCCGCTGTCTGCAGTTGTTCCCAGGGGGAAGCTGTCCCCCGGCTCTCGCCCTGATGCCAGACACTTCGGTTCCTCCCCATGTGCCCCAAGTTGAACAAAATCAGACTTCTGTGACCAGTAGCCCATGATGTAGTCTGTGATAATAGTAATGTAGTTTTTAGTAGCAAACATCTCAGAGTTAGAAGTTAATAGTCTTAGAAAACACCTGTACTACAAAATTTTCTGTATTATAGGAAAACTCTTTGTCTTGTGAAAATAAATAGAAGCTCAAGATACAGAATAAATACAGATTTAACTTAAATTTATTAAATTTATGGTTGGTAAATATTTGCTAACCTTTTTAATTTATCTAAATGAAGATTAATGACCAGCTTCCTCACATTGCTTATGTCAAAAGTTGTTTTTCTTTTTTTTTTAACTCAAATTTTCTCATTCATGGCTTGAAACTCATAGCCTCTGGTTTTAACTGTAATTTTAACCATGCTTTATTAAGGCTATTTGGATTGTATAATAATTTAAAAATTCTCATGTGTCTTTTTGCTTTTCCTTTAGTTGGGATGAGACTCACTTTGGAAAAATGGGAAGTTACTATATCAACCGCACCTTCTTCTTTGACGTGCACCCACCGCTGGGGAAGGTGAGCCGTGTGGGGGGCAGCGGCTCTCCCCTGAGGGCCAGAGCCACGTCTTGGTTTTGGACTTAATTCTTGGCCTCATGGGAAGAATTCCATGACATTCCAGACCAGTTGCTCTCTTGGAAAATCTGTGGTGTTTTTAGGGGTCCTCGGGGCTCAGAAATGGAGAGAGAGCCCATTGACGGATGGGTGGAGAAGCAAAACATAGTATATCTATACGCTGGAATGTTACTCAGCTACAAAAATGAAATGAAGTATGATTCATGCTACGACATGAATGCATCTTACAAATATTACGCTAAGGGAAGGAAGCCAGACCAAAAGGCCACATATTGTATGACTCCATTTATATGAAATGTCCAGAATTGGCAACTCCATAGAGACAGAACAAAGGTTAGCAGTTGCCAGGGTCTGGGGGAGAGGGTTGGGGGAATGACTTCAAATAAGTGCGGACTTTCTTTCTGGGGCGATGAAGCGTTCTGCAGTTAGGTAGTGGCGGTGGTGGGACAACCTTGTGAATACACTAAAAACCTCGGTATACTTTAAAATGGTGAATTTTATGATATATGACTTTTATCTCAATTTATACAAAGAAAAGAGAAATGGAGAGGAGAATGTTACAGGAAGCAGAAACAGCTTAGGGGAGCTGATGTCCACTCAGAGAGTGACCCTCTGACCCCCTCACTGCTCCCGGCACAGACACTGTTGGACCTGTCCTTCCACGTGGTTTACAGTGAGAAGTGCTGCCAATCAGAATTCTTTTTTTTTTTTTTAAAGAAACACCTCTGAGAAGGCTAATGGATTAGCTTTGGCACTCACTCTGTCCTTCCTAACTGGAGGCTGAGGGGCAAGGGGACAATAAAGTACTTGTTATAAAGCGGGGTCAGGGCGGTGGCTAGGGGTCTCGGAGCATGGAGTGCTTGGGGCGAAGGCCGGGCTGAGGGCAGGTGAGGATGGGGGTCTGGGTGATGGGCGGGCGTAGGAAAGCACCAGAGCGTGGGGCAGGGCCACGGAGAGGGCCCTGCAGGGAGGGAGGTGAGAGTAGGTGGGGTAGGAGGCCTATCTCAGACTGAGCTCTGAGCCCAGAGTAGAAATGTTATGCCTCTTTCTGTCTCGTTTATAACAACAGTGAAAATGAGAGCAATGGAACATGTAGTTTATTCTAGTCACTTTAGATGTATTATCTCATGTAACCCTCAGAACAGCCCATGAAGTAGGTGCGGTTGTGCCCCCATTGCACGGATGGGGGAACTGGGACTCAGAGCGTTTGTGGAGAGAGCAAGCCTAGTACGTGACAGGGTCGAGGCCCGGAGCGGCCCGGAGCGGCGTGGAGCCTGCTTTCTGAAGCACCACACCCCCTGCCTCGTGAATTTCCCTGGTCTCAGGACTCGGACTGCGTCTGTTACTAACGCAGAGTCAAGCAACGGAACGGGTTGAGTATTCGCACTGGGCCAGCCTGGGAACCAGACCTCCGGAGAGGAGGTGTTTCCCGGAAAACCTGACCTCGCCTTTCAGCCGGGCACTGCCTGTCTGCGTTCGGTGTCCCCTTGTGCTGGGCACAGTGGCAATGTGGACAACACTGGCCGGTTTGTTTTTGCTGAAGCCTCCAGTCCTCACATCTGGCCCCCGTGGGAAGGGGGACATGTGGGGCTTCTTTCCAAGGCTGCCCCTGGGGGTGCAGCGCCCCTGCTCCTCTCCTGTACCCCCTGGTGGCCCTGTGCTCCGCCCAGTCGCAGGAGGGCGATGAGCAAATCAGAAACCTGTGCGAGAGAGAGCAGAGTAGCTTCCGTAGGTTCCGTGGCCCAGCCAGTCGAGAATACAGAGCCCCTCTAAGTGGTGTGTAGGGGGTTTCCTCCTGGGGTGCTGGGGCCCAGGCCTGCCGTTTCACACAGGCCCCTCCCCCCCCGCCCTGGCCCGGGCACCTGGGCGCTCCAGTCATGTAGGGACTTTTAAAGAAGTAAAAATGCTTGCACGTGGTAACACATTTGATCAGTATGGAAGGAAACACAAGGTCAAAAGCTACCTTCCCTCACATGTCTGTTCTCCAGAGGTAAGCGTGGTCACCCGTGTTAACAGTTTCCTATGTGTCCTCCCAGAAACTTCCTATCCAGATAGAAGTGTGTGTCTGTGTACACACACAGAGATATTAATTCACACAAACAACACTTTATGCAGATGGGATCAGACTGAAATTGCTCAGCAGCTTGTATTTTAACAGGGTGTACCTTCATCCCACATTAACACATAAAATATACTGTATTCTTTTTAATGACTATATTATTCCATTATATAGCTGCACCATAAGTTATTTTACCCCTCTTCCATTGCTGGGCATTTGTGTTATTTCCAATTTTTTAGCCATAACAAAAGATACTGCCCAAACATCCTTGTGCATGTGTCTTTTCATAGTTATACAGGTGCCTCTAAAAGATTCTCAGCAAGCAAAGCAAAGAGTCAAATGGGCAGTTGAATTTTGTGTTAGCTATTGCTCAGTTTTCCTGAAGAAGTCCCGCAGCCATGTGCAGGCCCACCACCAGCAGAGTGTGAGGGCGTTTGCCGGCCCCCACCACGGCGGGCTCCACCGCGACCGCGCTGCCCAGCGGCCAGCCTGAGAGTGGAGCCCGGCGCAGCGCCGTTTCCCTCCGCGTGTCCCCTGAGTCAGGGCGAACATTTCTTTTTCGTTTGTTCATCCGTCTGTTTTCTGTGAACACGCCCATTTTTCTAGTAGGTCATTCTCTTTCTGCCTGATTCACAGGAGTTTTTTAGTGAGGACAGCAGCTCAGGGTTACTTTTAACCTCACGGGAGCTGGGAGGGAGCAGAGCTGTGGGTGCCTCTGGAGGACGCGGCACAGTGCCGGGGTTTTTACCTACAGCGCCACCTCTTGTCTGCACATCCCCCGTTCTATTATTACCTGTCGCTCAGAGACAAGGGGGCGTTGTCCGCGGTCAGAGAGCGGGCCTGTGGGCGCTGAGGTCCGAGCCTCCTGTGCGGTTCTCCCGGTGCCGGTGCCGGCCGCCGGCAGTCCGGGGATTCAGACCAGCCCAGGCGGGGCTGTCCTCTGCGATCCCGGGTCGGGAGGAGCGCCCGTTCTGCTGGTCGCCTGCCAGGTTCGATTCATCTGGGTATTTAGATGGCTCCGTTTTTTCAATACCTTTTATTATGTTATATTAAATTAATTATAGCAAGTTAACTTCCAGACCCTGGGAGTCCTCCTTTAAAAAAAAACTTTGTAATCAATAATCATTTATTGCAGAACTTTGGCTTCTGTGCCCACGTGGACTACAGAGAGTGACTCTGTTCAGAACTCCTTAGAGGAAAGGGTGAGCTGGCTCGTGGTGCACGCCCAAGCCCCCACCCTCAGTGTTGCTGGGAGGGGCTTTCCCTCCGCACAGCCAGCGCATTCTGCCCCCCACCCCCAGCTGCAACAGGGGCAGCCTGGGCCAGCCCGGGGCTGTTACAGATGCTTGGACTTTGCTGGTGGTTTTTATGACTGAACTGCTTCTGACTGCTCGTGTGAGGAGAGAATTTTACACTGGTGATGACCAAGGCAAGGTGGAAAGAGGCCGATCCTCCCCAATGTTTGGAAGCATTCACATCTCAGTTTGTGGTTGACTTATTCTGGTTCGGGATGTGCCGTGGTCGCCTCCCTTTGGAATACGGGACAAAGGAGGAACCAGTTCTGGCCTTTTGGTGTTTTTTCCATTGGAATTTTTCTCTTCCCTCCTGGGAAAATGCAACTGTCTTTCCTCTTTTCCATTTTCTTCTCTCCTCTCTATGCCTCGTGTGTGTAGAAACGTGGCCACTTCTCCCCCTCCTCAGTCTGACTCGGAGCCTCCTTTCCCTTCCGTGGGCCAGCCTCCGGGAACCGGCCCTGCCCGCAGCCGCCCCCGGGAACTGTCAGGCTTTATCTTCCCGCAAATGCAGGCAGGCCGAGTGAGAGCGCCCCTCAGTAGCCCTGCCCGGGATTTCTTCTTCCTACTCATTCCATCTGAGAACTTGGTTTTAATACAAGGAGGGTTTGTTTCAGGCAAGAGCTCTATGGACAGAAGATTCTTTGCTTTGCAACAGCTGCAGGAGAAAATGTCACACTGTCAACTCCCTCTGTGGACCTTTGTCAAGGGAAGCCAAAGTCTGGGTGCAGCTGGAGGGAGGATCAGGGGGTGGAGGAATCGCCCCTCGAAGGTCTCTCACTTTTTTTGTTTGGCCTCCTTCTCTCAGATGCTGATAGGCCTCGCCGGCTACCTGAGTGGATACGATGGCACCTTTATGTTCCAGAAGCCTGGGGACAAGTACGAGCATCACAGCTACGTGGGAATGAGAGGAGTAAGGCTTCCTGCCCTGCTGTAGCCTCCCTGGCCCTGGGGCCGCTCAGTCAGAGTGTTGCAGTTGGAAGCCCTGGAGTGGTGGCAGGGCTTCGGGGTGGCGGGACACCCCCCTGAAGTGGGACACCCCCACACCACTTCAAAGGGGACACCCCCATACCACTGCGGGTGGGAGGGCAGCCCGGGAGCCGGGCCGCTGGGGTCCCAGCCATGGCCTCAGCACATTGGCAGGCTAGGTGTTCTGCCTCTCTCATACCACAACTGCCGGAGTGCTGCGTATCTCTGAGGGCCTTTCCTTAAGATTTCAGCATCCCCCCACTCCTGTTACCAGGTTTCTGCTGCTTTCCCGTGAAGGTTCCAGGCGCACACAAGGGGTTTTCCAGTCTTCGAAGGGAGGCCTGGCTTTGCCCTTGGCCTCTGCGCCCCGAGACCCAGCACCAGCCTTGATGGAGCGCGGTGGGGCCTAAACACCCAACTCTGGGCACCCAGACCTGTAGCTAAAGGAGGCCTGAAGAAACTGACCTTCACTGGGGGCTCTCAAAGCAAGCTGCATTTACAAACCCCTTTCCTTGAGACGCTCACACACTTTAGATAAATGCAGAGTACCTATTTGGGCTAACCACTGGGTAATTTGCATACCACATTGACAAGAAGTGTCCGATACCCTCGAGTTCATACGCAAAGTGATCCTGTGTCTTCTTAATGCCTTTTGAATACCACATAGCATGCATAGTTGGATGTAGGCTTGACTCACCGTGAACTTGGCTGTGGGACTTGAGAAGGCCACACATCACAGCCTGGTTCACACTAGGGCACATCGCTTGCTGTGGACAAAAAGTGAAAACCCCCCCAAGTGAGGATTTCCATTCCCTCGGGCTGGTCTGTTTTGATGGACAAAGTAGGGAGGCACAGAGAAGGCTTCTGGTTCAAAACCGAAGCAAACCAACAAGCCCGCCAGGTACCGAAGTGTGAGGCAGTCTTTTTCCTAACATTACAATACAGCCTGTAGATGAAACGGTGATTGCCAGTGTGGCCGAAGCAAAGGGCCAAGGGAGAAATAGCAGAAACAACAACAGAATTCTCTAAAATACTGAAACACCTTCAGAAGCGTCTTTCTTAACTGGTACCACAGTGTTGTAATAGAAGCTACTGTTCGTCAAGTACTTCCTGTGTGTTAATAAACTTCAGGTCATTTCATCTTCAGAGTAAACCTTGTGAGGTAGGAACTGTTATTCTTCACATGACACGGGTGGGGAGGCTGAGACACAGAGGAGAGGTGGCGTTCTCAGAGTCACAGCTAGTGAGCCGTGGCGGACCAGCCCCACCCTGGCACCCCCCATGGGAAGCCAATGGGCCATCCGGCCCCCCCCTCCCCCTGCCGTCCTGGCTGGACTTGGCTGATTTCGTGCCCGTGCCCAAGTTGGTGCTCAGTGGAAACATAAATGCCACTTGACTGGATGTCTCACTGTTACGTTGGCCCTTCCTCACGCATACTTGTCCCTGGTGATTTAGGTCACTGCGTCTGTCTGCATTAGGGTCCTCCGTCTTGTACCTGAGTTTGTACTTAATCAAGGAGGTCCCTGAGGCTCAGCTTAGCGGGTTACTTGACTTCTTCTCTTTTCTTCCCGCAGTTCTGCGCCTTCCTCGGCTCCTTGCTGGTCCCCCTCGCCTACCTCACTGTGCTGGAGCTGTCGCAGTCCCTGCCAGCCGCACTGCTTGTGGCTGCGCTGCTCACCTTCGGTAGGTTGTCTTATACCACGTGCCGTGTCTTGGGCAGCTGACTAGGAATGTAGCTGGAGGTCAGCACGTCCAAAGGTCCTGTCTGTGGGCCCAGCTCTATGAAGTTAAATAACTTCAGGGTTGAGGAAATGTATTACAAGTCTTGTTTTATCCAGTAGTAATACTCACATACATAAATGCTTGTATGTAGCAAGCCTTTACATTATTGTAAGGGAGAGTTGGCATGGGTGATCCCAAGGAATAGACCATCTCCAGGTTGTCCACATTTGAGTTTGGATTGGATAAGAAGGGGTGTGTGTGTGTGTGTGTGTGTGTGAGAGAGAGAGAGAGAGAGAGAGAGAAAGATGCTTATCATTCTAATTCTGCTTCTCTTAGGTTATGGTCAAGATTACTTTGTATTCCTTAAAGTAATTTTAGTTGGATGCAAGGGCCGATGCCCCAGAAGTAGCTAGGTAGCAGGGGACGATCAGATGGGAACTTAGGTGTTTTCTGTGGACAATTGTCACGTAGGTAAATGAGAGCAGACTGGTAGAAACTGATCCTGTTGCTAGCCTTGTTCTTCGGAAAGTGACTTCATGACCGTAAAGAGCTTAACATGTAAAGAAAGGCAGACCACTTTAGGTGGGTATCTTAGGGGTGATTCTGGCCTTGTTTGATAGATGTGCTGCAAGATTGTGTGGCCTCTCTGTAGGGGGTTGGTGGCTTTTCCCCTGTGCCTTTCATTTCCCTTTTTAGTTATTCAGTCATTTATTCATTTTTTTTTTCATTCAACAACTGCTTTTAAAGCATCTCCTCTGTGCTAGGCCACTTTTCCTGGTCACAGAGGATTCCCTGATGAGAGCCTCTTACCTTGGAGCTTACTCACTAGTGGGGCAGACAACAAACAGGCCAGTGAGTTACTAAGTCTGTAATGTAACACCCTAAGCAATAAGTGCAATGCAGAAAAGAGAGTCGGGTGAAGAGTCTCGGGGAGTGATCCTGTTTTAGGGAGGGTGGCCAGGGAAGAGCTCCCGGAGGAGAGGGCCTCGAGCGAAGATGAAGCCTTGCAGAGATGGAAGGGGAGAGTGTCCGGGCAGAGGGAGCAGCGTGTGCGGCAGCCCAGGAACGAGGCGGCCCTCGGGGGAAGGGCAGTGGGGCCGAGTGGAGAGTGCGGCGGTGGTGTTGGGACAGGAGGCCGGATGGGCAGGGAGACCGTGCGGGCTTCGGCGATGTCGTGAGGGGTTTGTTAGTCTGCGTGAGCGGGGAGAGTCTAAGAAGGGGCATGAGGCAATGAAATTTTGTTTCAGAAAAATCACTTTGGCACTTGTATGTAACATGTGCTTCAGGTAAAATAGACGCTATCCTGGGTGTAGACCGTTTGTGGCTGCAGTAGCAAGGTGGCAGAATTCCCTTTTTGAGAGTGGAAGTGAGGAGTCCTCGTCTTCGGACTGTTCTGTCCGAGTGGGTGACATGATCCGTCCTTGGGTCAAGAGCCTAGAAGCAGTGTGAGATACTATATTTTTGAAAGATTTTATTTATTAATTTTTAGAGAGGGGGGAAGGGAAGGAGAAGGAGAGAAACATCAGTGTGTGGTTGCCTCTTGTGTGTTCCTTGCTGGGGACCTGGCCCACAACCCAGGCATGTGCCCTGACTGGGAATCGAACTGTGATTCGCAGGCCGGTGCTCAATCACTGAACCAGCCCAGCCAGGCCTGCAATGCTATTTTATGTCACTGGGCTTTGGTGTCGCCCAAAACTGTGGCCTTTCGCCTCCCCAGGACTCGGTGACGGCTCAGGGGCCCTCCTAGTCTCGGCTGCGTCAGTGCTCACGTGCAGCTGAGCACAGGGGGACTGTTCCTCATCGCCGGGGTGTTTGGTTCTCAGGGGCCCCTCTCTGATTCCCCCTTTGACCATGGAGCTCATGTTTTTCAGACACAGGATGCCTCACACTGTCCCAGTACATCCTCCTTGACCCCATCTTGATGTTCTTCATCATGGCTGCCATGCTGAGCATGGTCAAGTACAACTCCTGTGCTGCCAGGTCAGAAGCACCGTCTCTGGGGGTGGGGGTCAGAAGCCGTGGCAGCGCCGGAGTTTCTGTGACGGCTGGGACAGGGCGGGCGCCGGCAGGACTTGTCCTGAGGCTGAGTTGCGGGCCAGCCAGCTTTTTAAAAAACTTAGATTGCCCATTTTAGATCATGGAAATAGATATTAAAGTTTTCTATGCTTGTATTTTTGCTTATATAAGGCTAAGAAAACGTTGATTATAGTTTTCAGGAATATTATCATTTTTACAGTAGGGGTGGATTTCCACAGGTTTATGGATTATGAAGGGGTCCTCATGCCCCCCCACCATGTGTCACAGGTGCTGGGTGGGAGGTCCCGGGACAGCTTTGTCCGTCACATTCTCTGTCCTCGAGGGGCGGGACCCAGAGGAGACACTGCCCGGGAACTCCTTGTCTCCCTGTCCCAGTGGTGGTAGAGCCGGTCCCGACTAGCGCTGGGGACAATGGATGTTCAAGCCGGCCTTGGCTTGAATGGCCCGCAGCGGTCAAGAGCATCCCTGCAGGCCCTGTCGAGTTCTCAGGCTGTTCTGGGGGGCCTGGTCTTCCCCCTGGGTTAGTCTTTTCCAGATCACCCCTCTGTTCTGAGGGAGCAGAACAGGCCATTCATTCTATTCACACCAAAAGAGCTGGCCCAGGCAAGGCTTTTCCAGCAGTCAGCGTGGTTTCGCCACAGCAGAGCTCGTTACATTACGTCACACTAACAGAGCCTCATCCGGTGGCCCCCAGCTCTCTCTGGCTTTGGGTTATGTTCTGCTCCTACCACACTCACTCCCACCCGGCACTTCTTACATACATGCCGTGTGCCAGGCACCGTGCTGGCAGCTGGAGGTGCAGAGTGCTCACGTTCGGGCCGTTAAGGAGTGTCCACCCTGGCAGGGGAGGCAGCCCGGCCGTCTGAAAACGGCAGCACCTACGCTAGGTGCCCCGAGTGCAGCAACCCTGGGAGCCCACTGCCCGGGTGGGAGCCGCGCTCCGCGGCTACCTGACCTCCCTGTATTTCAATGGCCTCGTGTGGATGAGAGGGTAACATCAGGATCTGCACCCTGTGCTTTGGGTTTAGGGAAGGTTCAAGGTCAATACGTGCGCAGGACTCGGAACAGTGCCTGACACAGAGGAAGCGCCCAGCAGACGCTGGCTTTGACGGGGCCCAGAGGAGGCCCGAAGGAGAGCGCCGACGGGACCTAGCGGCTCCTCCGGGTTTTCCTCTCACTTCCGCCCGATCGGTTACTCCTGAAAAACAAGCCCCTTGCTCACGTTAAGTTCTGCACTTACTCAGGAAAGCCATGACCCCCCTCCCCAGAAAAAGGCCCTGCCCACCCGCACACTGTGCTTCCTGCAGTTTCCAGGGCTTCCCAGGCCACAGCCCCCCGGGAGCCGCCTGGGCCCCGAGGTTAGGAGCCCGAGAATGGAGGGCACGGCACAGCCTCTCAGAGTCCGAGACGCCCTGCCCTTTCCTGCTGCTGCTGCTGCTGTTGCTTTAGAGTCGGGCTCCAGCCGCCAAACTGAACTGTCTTGTTGGTTTTCAGGCCCTTCTCTGCCCCCTGGTGGTTCTGGCTCAGCCTGACTGGCATTAATCTGGCTGGTGCTTTAGGGGTCAAGTTTGTCGGCCTCTTTATCATCCTGCAAGTGGGGTGGAACACCGCAGCAGACCTCTGGCACCTGTTTGGAGACCTCAGTCTTTCACTGGTGAGAACCCAAGTGCTTGTAGAACTGTCTTGGCTCCCCAGCACTGCTCAGCACCGCCGGTGGCTTTCTCTGTCCCTGCTGCGGGCACGGAGTGGCCGTGTCCTGGGCCTGCGGCAGGCGGGACCCAGCTGTCCTCCGTGGGCAGCAGGACGGTGGGGACCGGGCCATGGCTGAGAGGCTGGAGGGGTGGAAAGGGGGAGGGTGGATTAACAATCTTGGGGTTCTCTTTTGGCATTTGTTTCTGCAATATTTTTTTAATGCTCTCCAAACTACTCAGCCAGGCGATTCTGGCCAGCCGGGCTCATGCCAAACGTATGGTAGACACTGGCTGCGTGGGACCTCAGGTAAAGTGGGGAGGGTGCCTCTCCCAGCTCAGGGTTTCCTTTTCCTGACCCTGGCTTTCCAGATGTGCAAGCCAGGAAGGGCCTTTAGGGCTCGTTACAGTACTATTTACTAAGGGCCGATTCAGTGGCAGGCTGTATGCAAAAGGCTTTGCCTTCGTTATGTCATTTTCTTTCCATAACAGTCCTGTGTGGTGGGTAGTTATCACCCTCTCTTTGCAATGAGGAACTCGAGGCCCAGAGAGGTGGTAGCATTCCCCAGGTCATACTGGTAGTCAGAGGCAGCTCTAGGGTTCAGACTGAGGGGAGGCGGACTCCAGGCCTGAGCTGCTTCACTGGAATGCTTCTCCATCGCCTCCGAGCCCAGTCCCAACAAGCTCGTCCATTCACTCAGGAAATGCAGACAGGCTGGGCACTAAGTGGGAGGCACCATATGCAGGGGAATAAAGCAAAGGCCCCTGCCCTCTGGCGACCAAGGAGAGCGAGAAGTAAGTGAACAGGCGACTACAGTGCAGCCAGCAAGTTCTGTGAGAGCACAGAGCAGGGCGTGACCAGTCTCAGGTGATGCCAGGGGGCTTCTGGGGAGAAACCGCAGCCCGGCGTTAACATAAGGAGCAGTCGGCCCTGTGACGGGTGGGCTGACACGGAGCAGGAAGGGGGAAAGTGCGAGGGGCCAGGCGGCGACTGAGGTGTCGAGGGGATGGACGAGTGACGATGCAGGAGGTACAGGCAGCGCTTTGTTGGTGGTGCAGTGACAGGGTGGGGTCCAGAGTGGGGGCCGGGACAGGCAGCGGAGGGCTGGCTCGCCGTCAGTCCCCTGCACTGCCGCAGTGGTGGGGTGCCGTGGAAAGGCTTCAGGTTGCCACTTACCCTTTCTTTACAGCCATTCGTTTTCATCCTTCTTATGATTATGACCTCCAGATATCTACAGATGACTTAGCAATCACTTAAGTCCCCGAGTTACATGTGATGCACACACAAGGTGTAAGGAAGGACAAAGGCCCACGTGCCCAGCCTCCGACACCGGCTCTGTTTGCAGGTGACTGTGGGGAAGCACCTGGCAGCCCGCACCCTGTGCCTCGTCGTGCTGCCACTGGCTCTCTACACGGCCGTGTACGCCGCTCACTTCCTGGTGCTGAGCAAGAGGTACTGCAGAGCCCGGCCGGCCCCTCGCTCCGCTCAGGGCTGCCCCGCGCCTCTGAGCCCACCACGGACGGGCCGTGTGGTTTCCTGGGTCTGTAGTCGGGATGATGGGGGGACCGGGGTGTTTCCCTGTTCGTTTTCTCCTGGGGCCTATCTTCTGGGTGTCCAAAATGCTCAGAAAGGCCGACACGCTTAGTAAAGAGTTTCCCCACAGCCAAAGCCCCTTGTCCCTGAACAAAGTCCCTTGTGCTCAACAGGGACGGGCCGCCATAAGGGTGCGCGGTTGGGGTGAGGGCAGCAAGGACACGGGCAGCAGCCCCCCTGGGACGAGCAGCTGCTGGGGGTGAGGCGCTCCGTGCAGCATTTTGTGTCCGTGATCTCTAACCAGAACCATTGTGTAGTTCTTCAGATGTTTTTTTTTAAGTCCCCAATTTGTAAATAAGGAGCTGAGGCTAAGCAAAGTCAGGTATCTTCCAAAGGTCGCTTGGCCAGGAACTCGGGATCTGGGCCTGTTTCTCCTGCTCCATCAGCCTCGTCTGTCTCAGATGCCTCACTGCCACGCTGGCTGCACTTCTTTAAACCCGCCAAGCAGGTGTCGGTGGGGCTGCTGGGAGCTCGTGATTCCCTCCGCTGACGTGGCTCTCCCCCTGCCTCTGCTCTCCCACAGCGGTCCCGGCGACGGCTTCTTCAGCTCTGCCTTCCAGGCCCGGCTTTCAGGAAACAGCCTTCACAACGCTTCCATCCCCGAGTGTGAGTGTCTGTCTGCCAGCCTTTACGAAGGGCAGAGGGTTTTCTGGGAGTTGGATTAGAAAGGAGGAGTACGACGGCTGTTATTTGAGCCTGTAGATGGCAGAGTGGGAGAGAGACCCGGTATTTCCAGTAGCATACTCAAGAGAGGGAGTCGGTTCGCAGGAAGTGCAGAGGTGGCCATGCCTCAGCATGGATTGTTTGATCAGCAGACTGTTTGCCCCTAAGGAGAAGCTTCTTGTTGCAGCCGTGAAAGCATCAGGGCCAGCGCTGGGAGGCCAGACGGAGAGAGTCTGATGAGGGAACAAGGGCCTTCAGGGCCACTGGTCAGTTTCCGCCACGGGCTTCCATGACTCACGTGCTTTCCCTCTTTCCCGGATAGTCCCTGAGCGTCAGTCACATTGGTGGCGGTAGGTGGATGCCCTCGAGTGCAGGGTCTGGTGTAGAGTATCTCCGCATGGTGCTCTACCAGGCCCCATGTGTTCAGTATGTGAAGAGGGAACTCAGCGCGATGGGGATCGAAGGGTGCCAGAGAGAACCCTGAAGGGGGCTGAAGGGGATCGGAGGTGTACGGAGTGAGGTGCCTCGGAGTCAGGTCCTGGAAGAACGGGCGGGTTTCAGCAGACGGAGAGAGAGGAGAGGGCGCAATGGGCAGACGGGACAGCATGATCGAGGCCGAGGACAGGGCAAAACTCAAGGCACAGGCTGTATGCAGAAAAGTACTGGAAGACAAGGTTGAAAAGATAGGTGGGGCCACGTGATGAGGATTTGAAACGTCTGGGTGAGGTGTTTGACTTCATTACACCAGCTCTGGTGACCCAGCGGAGGTGTTTGGGTGGGAGGAGGCCAGGAAGACTGTGCCGCAGGGAGGTGGCACTGGAGGCAAAGTGTAGGGTGGCGAGGGAGAGGAGGGGGTTGGGGCAGATCGCCTCCGGAAAGCTGTTGCAGGCACTGAGCTGGGCGTGGCGGTGGCAGCCACAGAGTTAAGGCAGACAGCAGACACGGGGGAGACTGGACGTAGGGAGGGAGGACGAAGATATACTAAGGACCTGAGCCCAGGTGATCGTTTCCTGGAGATGAGGACTGTGTCTCTCAGTCTCCCCGGTGCCTTGCACAGTGCCTGGAACACAGTGAACCCTCTAAGATGGCGAACGGAGTGAGAAATAAGAAAGCAGGCAAACAAGTTCGTTTGTAAAGGTCGATTTTGAGTTCCACATGAGAGAGGTTGCCTTCGAGATGCTTGGGGAAATCCATGCAGTGGGGCCAGCGGGCTTGGGGCCGCAGCTTTCAAAGGAGGAATCGGCCAAGTAAAAGGGTGATCAATGCCGTGGCCGTGGTTGTAGCCCATAAGGAGGAGGAAGAGGACAAGGCGGAGGCCAGGCGGTTGGGGCATGCAGGGGGAAGGGGACCTAGGGAAGGAGGCCTCGGAGGAGCGGTTCCTGAGGGAGCGCGGGGGTGTGGAGGAGGAGGGACGGAGAGTGTTTCTAAAAGCAAAGTGGCCCCCACGCGCCCCCCCCCCACCTTGGGCCCCACTGTGTGTGTGGTGCCGTCTTTGACCAGCTGCATGAACAGAGGAAGGCGGGAGTGGGCCCTTGCCGGTGGAGTGAGACCTGTTCCAGCAGGTGGGTGGGGTGAGTGGGGAGGGTGGGGCACAGCAGGGCAGCTGGGGGGAGGGGGAGGGGGAGCTGAGGGAAGAGGGGCAGTAAAAAGGAGTCAGTGCTTCTCAGTAACCCCAGGCCTGCAGGGGAGGGGATGTGTTTGGGTTTACTCTGTTATTTTTTTCTTTTAATTCAGAGTAAAAAAAAAATACCCAAACATCATAAAACAGTTGCTTTATACGGTACGATATTCAAAAGCACTAAGGTCTGTCCTAACAGTCTGTCATAACATTGATCTTGGAGAACGTTCCGGATAAGGATGTAAAACGCTTCTTCCTTTATTCCACTGAATGTATGTCCCGACCTTAACTGATGGACAAGTTGTTTCTAATCTTCTGCTACTTGAAATAGTGCCTTGATAATATTGCTACTACCCAGCTCCTCCTGAAGTGGGAGGGAAGGGGGAGCACCCTGCAGTGAGCTCCCTCCCGAGCCGGCAGGAGTGAGGAGGAACCCCCGGGCCCAGTGGGGTCTGCGAGAGGCTTGGTGAGCCCTGGGGCTGGGGAGGCTTCCCGCACTGCACTGCGTCTGCTCACGCCCTGCACTGTCATCCTTCCCCGTAGACCTGGCCTACGGCTCCGTGATCACCGTGAAGAACCTGCAGATGGCCATCGGCTACCTCCACTCCCACAGGCACCTGTATCCTGAGGGTGTTGGCGCCCGGCAGCAGCAGGTCAGCGAGCCTTGGTGTGCCTGCGTTGCAGTGACGCCACACTGTTTGTGGGGCTGAACCAGCCGTTCCTTTTCTCTGGCCCTTTGCCTGCTGTTTCCCCAGCTTGAAACATCTTCCTCCTCCCGCACCCTCTCCTCTTCCCTCTGGCTAACTCGAGCTTCTCTAGGCGTCCGCTGAGGCGCACCCCTCTGACCACTGCGACCCACCTCTACCTGGCACCGGGCCAGGTGCCTCGGGCACCCTTTGCAGGCCCATGTAGTAGCCCTTTGCACATGGAGTTGTGAGGGCTGCCTTCCTCCTCTCTCTGTGTTCCTTGGCTGTCAGCTCCTCAGTGCCTGGCACGGAGCAGATGGTGAGAAAACGGTGGCGGTTGCAAACATGGACCTGGGAACCAGACTGGATTCTCTGGGTTTCAGTCCTGGTTCCACTAGATATGACTTTGAACAAACTCCTTAACCTTTCTGTATCCTCATCTTTCAACTGGGGAGACGAAGTAGCACCTCTGCTCGTCACAGGATGTACAGAGTGCACACTGGAAGGCGCACGAGTATGGTCTGAATGCGTGAGCCGTGCTGTGCCCCTGTCCCTGCGGGGAGTGGGGTGTGGCTGTGGTGGGCGGTGCCCGGGAGGGAGAAGCAGGACAGGGAGAGGCTGGTGGGGTCAGACTGGGAGGCCTGGTGTGCTACAGTAGATCTGACTTGGTTCTGTAGACACAGGGGAGGCCCTGACAGTTACTAATGGATGACAAGCTGTGATTAGATTTCCCATGTAGAGAGGTAACTCCAGCAAGGCTGTGATGGATTGGAGTGGGTGCAGACTGGAGGTGAGGAACCAGTTAGGAGGCAATAATCATGACAAGGGGTGGTGACCGAAGGACTGAGGGGGGAACAGATTCTGGAAACACTTCCCAGGGTGAATGTCAGGGCCCAGTGACCAGTGGGTGCCAGAGGTGAGCTGTGTCCGGGTCTGTGGTTGGAGGCCCAGGCGTGCGTGTGATAACGCCGGTTCACGGATCAGAAACGAAGGAGGCAGAAAGACCTGGGAGGTGGGGGAGTTTCCTCTGTGTGTCTTAGATCTGGGCCTGTCACAGGAGGGAGATCTGAGTGTGCAGCGGAATGGGCATTAGGGACACAGCGGGCTTAGGTGACACTGCGCAGAAAGGGTGTGCCGAGGGAGAAGGGCCAGTGAAGGGACCACGGGGAACAGCCACGTGGAAGGTAGTGTTACAGGCGCTAGACGAGGCTGACGAGAAGTAAAAACACACAGAGTGCACACGTGAGCACCACAAAACCTTAACCCCCTCGAGCAAATCCAGGCGGGGCGGGCCATATACAGCTCTTGTTCAGGAGTGTGGGCTACCCGAACCTGTGAGCTTCTTGGCTATTCTTAATACTATTGTCCCTAATTTTTTCCTGAGAAAGCAGAGCCCTGAAATCAGCCACAATCCACACATAGTTATTTTCCTAAATGCTAATTCCAGATCTCTTTGCAAGTAAATCAGTCATGTCTTGTGCAGTTGGAGTTTTAAAAATGTATGCTGTATGAGAATGCCCGTATTTCTGTTGTCTCTGGGAGTCTGTGCCCTTGTCTACACCATCGGCCTGATTGTGTATATGGAGCCTCTATCCAGGGAGCGGTGGAGTTAGCTGCCTTGGTTCGAATCCTGACTCGCCAGCTAATGAGCTGTGTGACCTTGAAAAAAGTACTTAACCTCAGACTCACTGGAGATGAGGCGGGGACGCCCTGCAGCAGCGTGGCCCCTCAGCAGAGATCAGCCTCGCCCAGTGCCCAGAGCGGCGCCGGGGCTCAAAGGCAGTCGTTCGCAGCGTCGCATCTCACAGGCCGTTTCCTGCGCCGGTGAAAACTGCTGTGCAGCGCTCGCTGTGGCTGTGTGCTACTCTGTCCTGTGGACGGGCCGTCCCATTAACTGTTCCTCCACTGTCAGACCTGTAGACTCTCCGGACTTTTGGGTTAGACCAGTCACAGCCTTGCATGTGGGCGTACACACATACACGTATGGGTAAAGTCAGTGTACACACAAAATGACTGTGGGCTAAAACTGCAGGCTTCTGGGCTAAGATATTTGTGGAGCTTTTTCGTGTCCTTTGGCCACTTTCTAGAAACTGTAATACAGGAGGTTTTCATTTAGAGAGTTCGAGACATGCACTAAATCCTCTTTGTGTGCCGGAGGCTGTTTGGAAAGGGATCACAGCTCTGCCTTCCAGGAGGCTGGCATTTGAAAGACAAGGTGCAGGAGATCCGAAAGAGACAAATCAAAAGGCTCTTGTGGGAAAAGTCCCCTAAATGCACAAGGAAGGAGAGACCCACTCACCCACTTACCAGTGCTGCTTCTGAGTCCGGCTGGGAAACCTGGCCCCTCGGGTTAGTGGCTGGGGTTTCTGAAAGGCTGAAGCAGTGCTGGGTTGCTGTTGGGGCTGGTGTGCTTGTCCTGGGGCTGGTTGTGCTGATACTGATGGTATTTTCCTTCTCACCTCCTCCCCCTCCCCTCCACCAGGTCACCACCTATTTGCACAAGGACTACAACAACCTGTGGATTGTCAAGAAACATAATATAAACTCAGGTAATGTGGCAGGCAACCGGTGCTTCTTGTTGTTACCTACTCTGAGCCCTCCCTAACATCCCTCAGGCCTCCCAAAGAAGGGTACAGAGGTGGGTTTTCCTGAGCATTCCTGACAACATCTTTTTTCCCTGTCTCAGTTACCCTTTAACCGTTATTTGTTGAGCTCCTACTATGGCCAGAGTGCTCTTGTCAGCCGAGGGGATTAGCCGCGAGCAAGACAGATGAGATCTGTCACTTTGAAGCCAGAGTGCCCGGCCAAGGCTCAGACTTAATCCCGAGGATTACCTGGGCATGCCACCAGGGGCTGGTGAATGGCCCCAGCTGGGGCACAGGGCGGCCGCTCTCATTTCTAATTTAGAACATGCCAAGCATTGCAGACCCTAGCGCGTGGTGTACTCAGGTTCTGTCGATATGATAGAGTGCAGCTGCCTACTGGTCATCCTGGACTGGGCCAGCCAGAGGTCTGACAGCCTGCCAGGCCGGTGCTGGTCCCTCATTCAGAGCCTGCTGATCTGCCTCTGCCTCTGCCTCTGCCTCTGCCTGGCCCGGGCCAGGCCGCTCTGAGGCATGCTGTCGGGTTGTGGGGCTCTCGGCGCTTTATGACATGGACCTTGTCTGGATGTTCCTTTTTTTGGTCAGACAGAGAGCTCCTGCAGGTTATGCCTTCTGCTGCAGCCGAGAGAGAGCAGAGGGCATCTCCCACTCACCTTCTGAGCCCCCACAGGTGCTTCTGTGCCTCAGGTGTCCCCTGTGACTCCTCAGCAAACGCCACCAGGCTCAGCCTGTCTGGAGTCAGCTCCCCCCGAGCCTGTGTGGGGAATGGGCAGCTGCTCATCTCAGTTCACCTTCTGTGTTCACTTCCACACCTCCTCTTCTTGCCGTGGTGCTCGGGTTAGGAATGTGGCCCACACGATCACTGTCTTTGCCTACCACTCCTCAGTAGTATCAAGTAGGACGCTCCTGGGTGGGGTCTCTGTCTGTACCTCTTTAATACTGGTATCGGCTGTGTTTTGATTCAACAGGCCACACTTTCATGGTCTATCACAGTGAGGTGTTACGAGGGCAGGCCAGCTTTACTTCGAAAGTCAGGTGGGCACAGCCCAGATCTTGGAAGATCCCTGGTCTGTCATTCTGCCGTGGCTTCTCGGTAAAGTAGTTGCAGTTCACCCAAGCGCTAGGGGTTTGTGTGAAGGCGGACAGGTACCAGCACTCTGGGAAGTGGGAGCTGTGTGGACTGAGGTGACGGCTATAAATGCCCCCCCCCCAAAAAAAATTTGTGTGAAATAAAACTTTCCTCCCCATTGGCTTTTTTCATTAGTCATCTTGCTGATTCATCTTTTAAAGAGACCTTAAAAGGAGTGGGCATCCCTCTGGTTGAGTCTTCTAACTCTCCTAAGAGCCAGTGATCTGTGCTGGTCAATTTGTCTTCCTGACCGTGAGTGTAGGTGTCTCCCTGTCGGGGACAGGAATTTGCGAGGATTCTTCTGTGTTGCTGTGGTTACTGCCGATTCCTTTTCCACCGTCATCAACCTTTCTAGATCCTGATCAGCTGTGGCTTCTGGATGCTACAGAGTACAATCGACTCCTGAACAACGTGGGGGTCAGGGCGCTGGCCTCCTGCACAGTAGGAAATCCACGTATAGCTTCTGACTTCCCCAAAACTTAACTACCAGTAGCCTACTGTTGACCTGAAGCCTTGCTGACAGACAGCATCAGCTGTCGGTTAACACATATGGTTTATGTTATGTGTATCGTGTGCTATACTCCTAGAGTAAAGTAAGCCCAAGAAAAGAAAACGTTATGAAGTAAAGTCATAAACAGGAGACGATACAGTTGCAGTGTTTACAGTTGCAGTGTAAAAACCCGTGTGTGAGTGGACCTGTGTCGTTTAGACCTGCGTTGTTCAAGTGTCGGCTGGCCTCCCTCTTTTTCTAGCTTTTACTACTGAAAGGAAAATCTTAGCGCTGCTGGGCCGCCCAGCTGAAAGCCCTCCCAGCGGGGGCTCTGGTGCCCGTCAGCCGAGGGAGGCCGCAGCTGCGAGCCCGGCATGCGCAGTCTGGCCCCGGTTGTTCACGAGCTCACCTGCTCCCACTCTTCCTCGTGCCCACCCACCTGCACCATATGAGACCGTCGAATACTTTTGTTCTTTCACACCTTTGTGCCTTTCCCCGACTTGTGCACCTGGCAAAAGTCTCCCTCTCCTTTAAGAGTCTTTTCAAGCATTATCTTGAGACACCCCTCTCTAGGCCTCTGAAAGAGTCGGGGGCCTTTCTCTCTGGTCTCACAGCTCTGATAGTACCTCTGGCACCTGCCACAGACTGTGACTCAGTCCACAGCGGCCTAACAAGTGGGTGGTTTCGGTGTCAGCGCTTGTTTCTTCTTGGCAGATCACCTAGACCCTTCGTTCCCAGTGGAGTTTGTACGACACGGAGACGTCATTCGACTGGAGCATAAAGAGTAAGCAGTTTGATGTTTGGGGTAAATGGAATGGGTCCCGGAAGTAGGGAGATTTTTTAGGCTGGAAAGAAGCAGAAGTCAGATGCGGCTGAGGGTGTATCCGTGGAACCAGGCTGCGTGCTGGGACCACAGTTCCGCTTTTGCGAAGGTTGACGAGATAAGCTGACCGGCCTTTGCCTGCCTGCTTTGGCTTTGGGGAGCTTGGACGTTGAAGGTGTCTTTCTTAGAGAACAAAAGAAAAAAATTCAGTTGCCCAGAACTGCTTCTTCAGTGGCCACCTTTAGAAAGATGTAAGAGTCTTTTCCCAAGAATATGGCAAGCTAGTTTATTTAACCAGTGTTCTCATTGAAAAGGACTAGTACAAAAACTGGGATATAAATATAAAACTAGAATAATGTAAAAGCATCTTCTAAAAAGCACCAAAGAGCTGATGAGATAGGAGTCACCAGGCCGGAATCTAGGTGAAAGGGGACCTAGGGAAGTAAGGGGACACCGTGCTGTGATCCCCCAGTCTGGAGCTTCTGTCCTTGATTTTGACTGCCTCTTGAGAGATGGAGTTTTAAAGTCAAAGCCCTGGGTTCACCCAAAGTGGTAAATTCACTATTTGAGCCCCCAAATTGGGAGCCCCAAAAAGATTGCAGTAAGGGTAAATCTGCCCTGTCTGCGTATGGAAAGGTTACTTGGGTGCTGAGCAGTGCTTGGGAGGGCTTGGGGGCGGGGGGCGGGGGATGGTTAGGAGGCACTACTGCAGGTTCCCGAGATGATGTAACTGCTGGTCGGTTGATCCTCACGTGGATTTGCAGCCCAAATTCATTTCACCTGGATGGTCTCAAAATCTTCAAGCCAGGAGTTTAAAGAAACATGATGGTGGATTGGTAATGTCTCCTAACTGTCTGGCTAAAAGCAAAGGTAAATCTTCTTTTGGGAAAGACATTGTCATCTATTCACATCAGTGGCTTTTCAGTGACAGTGAAAAGTACACAGTAAAAAATAATTAAACACATAAGGAAATAGGACAACATATGCAAGAATGAATAAGAATGATAGACAGCAGAAGCAGCCCTCAAAAGCTTCATGTACTATCCCTGGCCGGGTGGCTCAGTTAGTTAGAGCATCATCCCATACTCTGAAGAGGTCTTGGGTTCAATCCCTGATCAGGGCACAACCTAGGTTGTGGGTTTGATTCCCCAGTAAGGGCCATATGGGAGGCAAATGATCGATGTTTCTCTCTCTCCCTCTACTTCTCTTTCTCCCTCCCTTCTCTCTCTCAAAAATCAATGAACATATTCTTGAGTGAGAATTAAAGAAACATTTTTTGTGTGTACTAGAATTATCATATACAGATATTTTTAAAAATCAGGGATTATATATAGAAAAGCTATGAGGGTATTTTTTTCCTGCTCATTATGATTATGGATATTTATAATTTTAATTGCATTATTAAATATTTTCATTTTATTAATAAATTAAACATGCTATTACATTTTATTTTTGAAAATTTCCAAAACTTTTATCATGAACATTGTTTCTTACTATGGATGAAAGGAAGCACAAAGTAAACAAAAGCTAAATTAGCCCCCACGTCCCCCACAGACCCCTCCTGCGTAACGCTGGTGGAGGGGGCAGGGGGAGCAGACGGAAGGAGCAGGTCTGCTGTCTCGGGCATGTGCAGGTTACAGGTTTCATTTTCCTCTCTCCACACCTGCGAGCTCAGTGCTTCAGAGCCACCGAGGGGTTGTCGAGGGGTTGTCGCCACCACCCCCAGGCTCCCTGCCCCCTGAGGTCAGCCCCTTGGTCGGCATGCGGTCCGGGACACCTACCATTTGTCCCTCCCGGTCTGGGCAGTCTCCAGTTCTCTGATGTTTCTTGTGAGTGCGGTAAATAGGCAAGAAGTCCCTGTCATGTTAAATTTAATATTCAGATTCTTTTTTTTTTTTTTTGTCATACTAACAGGTGAGTCTTAAGTATCCTTGGTTGAAGGAGAAATGTTGCACATCTCTTTTCTTCAAGGTAACGACACTTCTCTCTTCCAACTTCCAGGACTTCTCGGAACTTGCACAGTCACTATCATGAGGCCCCCCTGACCCGGAAGCACTACCAAGTCACTGGCTATGGCATAGTAAGTGAGCGACGGCAGAGTGAGCAGGATGTGAAAAACGCTGGGCCTGGCTCCGGGCCACACGGCGGACGCAGCCTCCCGGGACCCCAGCAGGTCCCTAAGGACGGCAGGTTTAGGCTGCACAGACCTCTGCACGCCGGGGGCCGTTGGCCAGGCTTGCTGTGGGCAAAGCGGCCCGTGAAGTCCGCTCGTTTCCGTCTCTCTCCTCCTATAGGAACCATGCCAGTTTTATGTTCTGACCCTTAATGAGTGTCAAATATGAGTACTGTTTGTGTCCTTTTTAAATCACATTGGACATTGAAGCCACAGACCCACAATGTGACTCCCCAGTGACTGTATAAGTTTATCCTTTGCCAGATCCCAAAGTCCTACTTGCCTTATGTTTAAGGATTACTTCCCTGTTCTGCAGACGGATATGAACCACATTGCTTTTGGATTTTCACCACCTTGGGGTGATGCAGTGAACAGAGGAAGCTCAGTGAGCACTTAGGGCTCGGGGAGTGATTTGAAAACAAAAGCAGCCAGTGGGTAACTAGACTTACGACTCTCAGTGACGTTCCCCTCCGGGGCTTTGGTGCGTCAGGAAAAGTTCTGGGTTTCATAAGGTGGATTTGAATCCTCTCCGTTTGCTCATCCCAGGGGGTGCTAGAGCCAAGACTCTGAACTTCACCTTGTGGGCCTCTGCTGAGGAGAATTAGACACAATTGTCTTAATTCCCAAAGTGCAGCGCCCAGGCCAGACCCTTCTGGCTTAGATGAGTGAGGGCCCAGACGGCCAGGGCGATGGAGGCAGTCGGCCCAAACGCACTCCTGTTGGCTCCGGGGGTCACACCTCGAGTTTGGTGTAAGGGCAGAAACGTCCATTTAGAACTCAGACGCGTGTCCTGTGCAGTGAGGGGCTGGACTTCCGGTCCCGGAGCTGGACCACGCCCTCGGCAGTGGCAGTGAGCAGAGCAGTGTCCCATCACTTGGGGTATTTCCGTGGCCCTCGCGTTCCCTTTCCTGCCTCAGTCATTGCGGGCAATTCAGTCTTCAACCTTTGTGACGTGGTGGCATCTGAAATGTCCTCTCTAAAGCCATCTCACTTTCTTTGTACTTTCTTCTTGATTTATCCGGCAGAACGGGACGGGGGACTCAAATGATTTCTGGCGGATCGAGGTTATAAACAGAAAACACGGAAACCGGGTCAAAGTGCTGAGAAGTCGCATTCGCTTCATTCACGCGGTCACAGGTTGTGTCCTGGGCTCCTCGGGAAAGGTTCTGCCCAAGTGGTGAGTCTCCGGGGCTTCAGCGTTCCGATCGAGGCTCACGCTTTCCCTTTTACACTACAAGTGTTCCAGAAGCTCCCGCTCCCCCATTGTCAACATTCACCTCATGTCTGCTTGTTATTAGTGGGAGGTGGAGGGAAAGCAGGCATCAGGTGTGTTACAGAGCACAGAGTCCCCGAGTTCCTTTGGTGTTTTATGTGTTTGGACATGCGAACGTTTGTACGTGTGGTTTGTGACAACTGCCTGGATCTGGAGATCTTTCTAAAATGGGCGTTCTGTATGCCAGAACACGGCTCGTGCAGGGGTGCAGAAGGCGTGGCCACTGCGTTGAAGAGAGAGGGGTGCCATGGAGGAAGGGCAGGTGGCGGCGCTTTGCTCTGGCGCGTGGTGGGTCTTCTGTGACTGCCTGTCTTCACAGGGGCTGGGAGCAGGTGGAAGTCACGTGCAACCCGTACCTGAAGGAAACCCTGAGCTCCGTCTGGAACGTGGAGGACCACATCAATCCCAGACGTGAGTGAGGACGCTTCCTGGGCCGGCTCCGACCTCAGAACGAGAAGCCGTTATAGACGCTGCCGCCACTTTGCCTCATTGTTTCACTTTCTTTTTAAATCTCACCTCTTCATAAGAGCTGTCTAGAGAGGTGGTGGCTCCTTTTCCTTCCCGGTCACTTAAACTTCCGCTCCTTGAAATGACTGCAGACCTCACTTGAGGCCAGAGCTCGCTGCCTCTTTTCGCTTTCCTTGCCTTTTGCTGGATTGTTCTCTTCTTCCCCGTGGCACCCGTGGTGCCTGTCCCTGTGTCTCGTCTCCTCCTGGGCCCTTCCGAATCCTGCACCGTGGGCACCTCCCCACCCCCAGGGGTCGGCGTAGGCTGGGGCTTTCCCTCCATCCCCTGTGGAGAGCGCCTGCCCTCCCCGCATCCAGCCAACACGTTTGCAGAAAGCGACAGCCTCAGCCCCGGGTCCGAGCCCACAGCTGCACTCCCGGGCTGCAGTTCGGCGTTTCCACCGCGGCGCCCTCTCCCACTCCGCGTGTCGGGTTCACCCTCTGTGCTGTTAGACTGCCCACTCCTTGCTTCTGCGCAGTGTCTTCTCTCCACGCTTCCTGTTCCATTCCTTTTACCACCTAATTTAGCCAACCGGCTAATTAGTTAACTAAACAACTCTGTTGAGTATGACTGGACCAGGTAGAGCCCGGGGAAACACCAGGGAATGAGGCGGACTTGGCCCTTGTCCTCACAACCTCCTGCTGAGCGGGGGGTGGGTGTGGGAGGTTGGGGGGGCAGCATTTGCCGCAGCCCTGAAGTGAGAGGCCGCTGTGCCAAGAGCCTCGGAGCTCCCAGAGGCAGGCCTGTCGCCACTTGCCTTTGTATTTCCCAGGGTGCCTGATGGGGCTTGGTTTGAGCCGAATGAACAGTCAAGGATGGGGCCAGGCTTCCCCCCCCACCCCCCCCCGCCCCCGTCCTTGGCACTTCCTCCTATGCGGCAGTCAGCCTGTTGGGAAAGCTGCGCTCAGACTTGGCATCCGTGTGGGTGCCACACGCAGCTGTGAGAGAGACCGTGTGACGCAGCTTTCCTGCTCTGTCCTTCCAGTGCCCAACATCAGCCTGGACGTGCTGCAGCCCAGTTTTCCTGAGGTCTTGCTGGAGTCCCACATGGTGATGATTCGGGTACTGTGCCCCCTCCCCCCCCCATGGTGGCTCCTCTGAGAGTGCTGGTGTAGGTGGCCTTCAGCGGCATTTCCGGTTATCATGGGACCCTGATGTTGATGGAGACGATGGTGATGGTGATGGCAACAGGGATGATAGCAGTGTAAACTTATGTAGCCCTTAGGTGCTGGGCACTACTCTAAGCCCTGTGCATATATTGACTAATACTTATTATGGTCCTTATTACGGATGAGGGTGTTGAGGCCCAGAGAGATGATGGCCTTGCCTAGAGTCCTCAGGCTGAGTGTTGGAGGTGTGCCCAGGCGTTTGAGCCAGGCTGGCAGGCTCTCAGGGGTGGGCAGTGCGAGTGACCGACACATTGCTCCACCCTCGGGGGTGCTCAGATCTGCGCAAAGGGCAGAGCTCTGCGAATCAGAGTGTCCTTGGGTGAAGATTCTGAGACACTGGTCATTCCTTCCATCCTATGAAGTTTTAAGCAATTAGGATGAATGGCTAATGTGAGTGCATCGTTTACATGCAGCGTCAAACCCTAACCATGAGCCCCTCATGTTCCCAGGCAGAGATGGGCCATTTAGGGGCATGGCTGATTGTCTTAGGGTTTTCTGAGACCCCTTGTTTGTGCTCTGGGTCCAGAGTAGCTGACAGCCGTTGTGGCATCAAAGGTCTGGGAACATTTGAGGGAGGAAATCGTTACATTGAGGAGTTTTACCCACTAGCGTCTGCTCTCCTGGGGGCGTGGGGCACGCCCTGCTGCGGGGGCTGCCGGGGGAACCCCTTTGCCAGGGGAGGGAGAGCCGGCATTCGGCAGGGACGGTTTGGAGCCACCGCACCCCACCCCCTGTGGCAGCTGTTGTTTTCCCCGGGCGAGCCGTGGCGGAGTGGACTTTTCTGGAAGCAATTACATGAGCAGTGTCAGTGACTACAGTTGACTTCAGTCACCAGATTAGATTTAAAAATGCAACTTTTGTCATTTCTGCACATTGGGAGGTGATGCGTTGACAGCAAGCCATCTCTGGGTCACATCTTCTCTGACTTCCTGCTTGTAGCTGTCACTGTGGCCTGATGACACAGCTCCTCTGAATGTGTGCCTGTCAGTCAAAGTATCCTTCCAGGTCTGGGTAGGATTTTAAGACCGAGTCTAAGTAGTCTCATTCGTTCTTCCATTATTGGAGAAGTAGAGTCCAAGGAGAAAAGGGACATAGGAGACCTTTCTTAACCAATGTGGAGTTGGGACAGGGAGAAAGATCAAAACAGTCCAGATGGCAGAAGCTGCAGGGCAGAGCGATTTTCCACCCGCTGAGTGGGGGGCGGAGAAGGCCTGGGCGGAGCAGGGTTGGCGGGGTTGGCGGGACGGCCCACTGCAGGCGTTCAGCATAGAGAACAGTGTACAAATGCACGTGCCGATAACGGTTACAGGTTTTTCCTTCCGTCCATGTCTTGGCTTAGTAAGGGAGCTGGCTTTCTCAGGGTGCAGTGTGGTGAGTAGGATGCCCTTGGCTTATTACAGCTCTGGCTGGGGTCCCTGAGTTGGGCACTGGACGGTACTGATTTGAAGGAATCGATTCCCCTCAGCTGGTGCTCAGGGGACCAGAGTGACTCATTCTTCACTCTGGGGCCTTTCCGATGGCCACACTGGTTCAGGGGTTGTGCAGCCGGCCCCTTTGGGTCTGACACCCCTCACCACCACCCCCCCCCCCCGCCCCGCCGTCCCATGGCACTTTGTCCCTGGAAGAGCAGCTATTGTGTGGGGCCTGCAAGTGATTCCCAACCTCTCGGGTGGTCGGATTAGTGAGGCACCGAGTAGTGGTTCACTGAACCAGACCTTCTGGGTCTGTCCTCTTTTAAAAAAAGATTTTATTTATTTTTTAGAGACAGGAGAAGGGAGAGAGAAAGAGAGGGATGATTGATGTGAAAAACATCGACCGGTTGCCTCTGACATGGCCCCATCCAGGGACCTGGACTTTGACCCAGGCATGTGCCCCGACTGGGAATTGAACTGGGGACCTTTCAGTTCACACGCTGGTGCCCAACCCACTGAGCCACACCAGCCAGGGCTTGGAGCTCTCCTGGGCCAGACTAGTGGTTCTCCACAGAGGGTGATTTTGCCTCCCAGGGGATATTTGGCAATGCCCGGGGACGTTTTTGGTTGGCATGGCTGAGGGGCAGGGCTGTTTCTGGCATCCAGTGGGCTGAGGCCAGGGATGTTAAACATCCTGCCCTGCGCAGGGCAGCCCCGCACCAATGGCTCCTCCAGCCCCAAATGGCAGCGCGGCTGAGGCAGAGACACCCCACCCTGACTTGCAGCACCTCACTCCTCTTCGGGGAAACGCCTCTCAGTGTGTCCCGATGACGGGGCAGGTGCCAGTCCTGGGGGTTAGGGTCCAGGGTCCTGACCCTCTTCCATCTGGGTTTGCCGTGTGGACACGGGTTGCTGGGTGTTCTCGGCGGCTGGATTGAAGGAGCTGAGCGTGGGTCCCGCGGGCTAAGCGTGCACTCTCAACAGGGGTGATAGCCCTTCCTGCAGGTAGAACTCGTCTCTGGAGGGCAGAGGCCCCTTAGCTTCTTCATGCGTGAAGCACAGGTGTTCATGGAGCACACAGACAGACTCCAGCAGGGCTACGGTATCACAAGGTCATAGTATGGGCCAAAGTTCAGGAATGCATCCGTGTTCCCGGGTTTGTGTTCGAAATCGGCCTTTGGAGGGGACAGATAAGTCAGCCCTGGTTTTATGTGCCTCCTCCTCACCCTCTCACACCTGTCCTCAGCCTGCAAGGTGGGCACACATTCTGTGCCCACAGGAAACAGATCCCTCATCCTCTTTCTCCGAGGCAGAGAGGGTCTGGCTGGACTCTCAGGCGGGAATTGGAGGGCTGCTTGCCGGGAGAAGTAAGGCCATTCATTGCGTAGGCGGGTGGACGGCGACAGCGAGTGGGCACGTGGTCCTTCCCGCAGGGAGGAGGAGGAGAGAGGGGTTCTCCTGACGCTTGGCCGTTCATCAGAGAGCCCGTGCCGCCCTTCTCCGTCAGCCCCTCGATCGGTCCCGACCAGCTTCCCTTTGCCCCCTTCCTGCAGGGGAACAGTGGCCTCAAACCCAAGGACAATGAGTTCACATCTAAGCCCTGGCACTGGCCTGTCAACTACCAGGTAGGGCCCCAGCTAGAGCTCCTCCCAGGAGCCAAGAAAGGTCCTGTTGAGACTTGGTGGAGGTGGGGTGACAGAGCGAGGCCTTGCCACCTGGCATGGGGTGGCTGGAGACGGGGTGCTGGGTCCTGCCCTGGTCCTGACCCAGCCTTCCCAGAGAGCTCATGTGGAGCTGCTGCCCAGGCTCCCTGTCTGTGGGAGGTGACCGGCCCCCTCCCCCCGGAACGCGGGCGGCTGGGAAGAGCTGGGCCCCAGACCGGCAGCCTGTGCTCTGCTCCCCAGGGCCTGCGCTTCTCAGGGGTCAATGACACGGACTTCCGCGTGTACCTGCTCGGCAACCCGGTGAGTGCCCGCACGGGCCTGGTTCCGGCCCTCATGCTGGCCCGCCGAGAGCTGCGGCTGCCCTCTCACCTCCCCGCCCTCACCTCCACCTCCCCGCAGGTGGTGTGGTGGCTGAACCTGGTGAGCCTCGCCCTCTACCTCCTCTCAGGGAGCGTCGTCGCTGTGGCTGTGCAGAGAGGGGCGCGTCTGCCTGTGGAGGTCGAAGGTCAGGTCCCTGGGCCTCTTCCTCCCTGACCTGGCAGCTGGAAGGCAGGCAGGCGCCTGCAGGCAGGGGAAGGCCCGCCAGTGGACGGGCAGCTCTTTCCCTTCTCCTTCGCCTCTTAAAGCTCAGTCGCCGAGTGCCTGGTGCTGTGTTAAACCCTGCCCCCTCCCAGCAGCCCTGGAGGGTGGGGGCTATTGCCCCACTCCGTGGATCAGGGAACCAAGGCACAAGAGGTTAAGGAACTGGTCGCAGGACACATGCGTGTAAGTGCTAGAGCTGAGGGTCACACCCATGCAGCCTGCGTGCGGAGTCTGCACTTTTAGCCTCTGCTCCGCACAGAGCCGCCCGTCTTTTCTCTTCTGCCCCTTCCTTGTTCCCTGCCCTGTCCTCTGCTGGCGTAGAGAGGAGCCCGCACGGCACCGTCCGTGGGTCCCCGTCCGAGTGCTGTTCCTGGTAACTTCAGTGGCCAGGCCACAGACCACTGCACCGGAGACACCTGCACAGGCTGTCTTGGCCTCTGCAGCTCCCTGTCTGAGCAGCCGAATCCCAGGCTCCCTCCTGTCCCTCCTCCATCCTCCTCTCTGCCCCCACCTCGGCCCTGTCCGCCGCTGCCAAGATCTGCCTGGCCGCAGAGATGTGGGGGGTGGAGGTCGGGGGAAGCTGCCTGTAGGGCGTGCGGGATTTTGGTCACACTGGAGGCCACACCGCCTCCTGCTGTGGGCGCTGAGGCCTCGCTGGGTTGGCTGGGTAGTGAGCAGGGCTGCCGAGTGCCAGCTGCTCCTCTCTTCTGCCGGCTGCCGGAGGGTTGTTGGGCTTGGTCCAGGGGAGGGAAGGAGGACCCCGTTAGGCAGTGCGGCCTCTTCATGTCACACAAGGAAGGAGCAGGGCCGGCCTGAGCCCAGGTCTCTGCCCCCCCTCCTGCCTGCTGACTGGGGCTCTGCCCCTCGGACCCAGGGCTGACCCAGGTGCTGCTGCGAGGAGGCGGTCAGCTGCTTCTTGGCTGGGCGCTCCACTATTTCCCGTTCTTCCTGATGGGCCGGGTCCTCTACTTCCACCACTACTTCCCCGCCATGCTCTTCTCCAGCATGCTGACAGGTCAGCACCGCCCCCCTGGGCTGGGCAGTAAGGTCGGGGGTGGGCGGGCCGGGTGGAGGCCCCCTGGAGCAGCAGTGCTGAGAGGGCATCTCTCTGACCGGCGGGGCTGGTTTCTCTCCTGCCCGCCAGCCGTCCTGTGGGACACTCTCCTGCGGCTCTGTGCCTGGAGCCTGGCCCCCTCTCCTCTGGCCGGCAGCATCCACGGGCTGGGGGTCCTGAGCCTGCTCCTGGGAACGGCCTACAGGTGAGCGTCCCCTGCACTTTGCATCGCTGCTGCCCGGCCTGCACACTGACGCCTCAGCCCTGGGTGCGTTGCAGCGTCCCCTGGGGCGCTCTCAAGGCCTGTTGGTGCCTGGCCTCCACCTCCAGAGGTTCGACTCATGGGAGCCCCATTTGGGCCCCGTCAACCACAGTTTTCAAAGCTCCCAGGGGACCCTAACGCAGCCAGATGGGAGAGTCGTGGGGCTAACTCTTCGCACTCTTTCCTTATGCCGGCAGTCCCCAGCTTCTGTACGGCCAGCCCACCTGGCGGGCGCCCCTCTGCAGTCACAGTGGCTCCCTCCTGGGACAGTGCGCGGTGGAGTCAGGGAGAGGGTGGGCCCTGGGGTGAGGGGCACGTGGCGTGGCTCCAAATAACCAGGAGGAGGGTGATGTTTGGAAAGCCACCCCGCCTCTCTCCTCCTTGCGGGCCTCGCAGACCAGACCGCCCGTGGGGAGTCCCTGCCCTGTTGGGCCGGGGGCCACAGGAATGCGTGGGCGGGGCGTGGTGACCTGTGGCCTGAGAGCACTTCCCCGTTTTAACAAACACTCTGGTCTCTCCCCTGGGCCTCTGGGGAAGAGCCCTCTCGCATATTTCATTGAGTCAGCATCTGCTAAGCTCTCAGGCTGCAGTGTGCCGATGGCAGATTCCAGCAGGCAGGGTGACGGAAGGGAATAGGTCTCGTAGGCGGAGAGGCTCCCACGAGCTCCCATGGGAGGAGCTTCTCAAAGGCCTGGGGGGCCGCCGGTCCCTGCGGACGCCCCGGGATGCCAACTGCCTCCCTCTGGACTCTCCCTCACAGCTTCTACCTCTTCCACCCTCTGGCTTATGGGATGGTGGGCCCCCTCGCCCAGGACCCCCGAAGTCCGATGGCAGGACTGAGGTGGCTAGAATCATGGGACTTTTGAAGCCACTGCAAGGACTCCTGCCTCAGTCCAGGAACTTCCTGGGGGACAGCCAGCTGTGGCACCAGGCCCCGGACCCTCCAGCCTCGGGGGGAGCTGCCGAGGAACCCTGTTGCCTGCTGGGACCACGTTCCAGGAGCAGACCCGGACTTCACCCCGGCACCAGAGGGAGCCGAGGCTCTGCTGCAGGCTGCACCGCTGGCGCTGGCTCAGCCCCGAGGACAGGACCCCTCCGCTCAGGCCCGTTCCGTAGCACATGCCGCCTAAGAAAGGATGAGTGTGCAAGCGAGCAGGTGGGAGTGTGAGGGCACATTCGTCCACACACCTGTGGAGCGTAGACTGTGACTGTGGGCAGCTGAGTGTCACACTAAGAAGTAGTCCAGGGTGACAGTCGTATTTTCTAGAGTCTTTTTCACACTGGATTTGGTTTGCAAGGCCCAGCAGCAATCCTCTGACTTCCAGAGGTCGGCTGAGGGCACCGACCCCACCTTAGACGTCGGCATGGGAGGGGCAGCTGGGGCAGACAGAGCCGTGCTGCCCTCCTCCACACAAACGAGCAAGTATGGCTGAGCGCCCCGAGCTGGAGGGTGACCTGTGTGGCTGCCGCCGGGACGTCTGCGTGGCAGCAGGTGGCTGGATTTCCGGCTGCGGTGTGCACAGGGGACGGGGCTCCCGCACGAGGCAGCCGAGGACCCTCCAGCCCTTGGTTGGCCCTCTTGGCCCTCGGCCCCTCGCCCTGTGAGACTGTCACACGATGAGATTGGCAGGAGGAACGGCGTGCTGGGGGCCAGAGGTGGTTTCTCGCTGCCCATGCTTTCCCTCTGCATCCGGCGTGGCTGTGACGACAGGACAGATGTGTCCTCCTGGTGGCTGGGGCGCCCTTGGGCCCCTTGTTGGGCAGCCGAGGCAGATGTGTGGCAGAGCAGGGGCCTGTGTGGCACCGGTGTCACTCACTCAGTGCTCCCTATTTTTACTTCTCAAGTCCTCCCCTGCCAATGCCCCCATTTACTCCCCTTCAGCCCCCTTCCTGTGTGTCACGGTCTCACCACTCTCTTTCTCCCCGGAGACCCCAAGCACCTAGGAGCACACTAATGCTTCTTCTCTCTGTCACTCTGAAGTCCAGGCAAGAAGCTCAGAGCTGTTCCTTTCACTCCCTCCCCAAACGAAAGGGATTAAGAAAACCCTTGGGTCGCAACAGAACCAACCCCAGGCCAGCCCTTCCACCTGCGCCCCCCTCCCAGTGCATGACGGTGTGTTTATTTGGTCTCAGAGGACCAGGATGCTTCGGGGTTAATGCTGAGTCCCTGCCACACTCCATCTTCCCTCCTCTGTAGCCCCTACCAACTCTGACAGGGTCAGGGCTCTTTAGAGCATCGGCAGAGGCGGTTGCCACGGAGACTGGAAACTGATCCTGGGGACAGGCTGTGCTCCCTACTGGGTGATGGGGAGGGAAGCTTCTGGTCATGCGTGGACGTTCAGACCAACCATCATTAATGTTAATAGAGGAAATACAGCAATATCAAAAGCAAGGCACGTTTGTTAATTAGATCTGGGGCCTGGTGACCTCCCTCTCCCAAGGCTGCCGCCCTTTTGACTTCCCCAGCAGGAAGCGCTGCCTCCTGTGTGCTGAGTCTGGACTGCTTGCTTAATTGCGTTTCTAGAAGCCAAGGAGAGCAGGGATGGAGAAACCTCTGCTCACCCCTTCCACCCCGGCACTACCCTCCCCTCCTTCCCGGAGGTGGAGTTGGTTTCTTCTGAGCTGGGTCGGGGCAGCCACCTGGTGCCCTCCTGGAGGTAGGTCGCAGGAATCCGTGCTTGGCCCTGAGCAAAGAACAGTGGTGTGCAGTGACAACCACGAAGTGGCTGGTGTTCCCTTGTGCCTTGTATTTCCTAATAGGAACTCTTGGGAAGGGGGGCGTGGCTCTGAAGGAGCCAGAGGGGCAGCCACTCTGAGTGTGGGTGAGGAAGGGGGGATATCAGGCAGCTTCCTGCCCATCTCTCCTGCAAATGTGGCCACACTGGGGACAAAGGGTTCCTCTGTCTCTTGCACTGCTTTCCGAGGATGGGAGAAGGACTCTTTCTCCTTGCCCAGACTGGCAGCTACTTCTCTGGGGACAAGGCCCATGGTTTGATGCAGCTCTGAGCGCTGAGGTCCTCCTGTTGGAAGATGCTGGGAAGAGGGGCTGTGAGGGTGGCGCTTTGCCTGCGGCCTCCAGCCCCCCGCCCCCATCCCAAATTGGCAGAAACGGACACGTCCCACAGACTTGCCAGCAGAGGAAGAACACATCTGTTGGTCAGCCCAACCTCCAGCCAGCTTCTTTATATTTAAAAAAAAAAAAGTTTCCACGGATAATCAGAGGCCATTTACTTTTGTAATAAATAGCTCTTATTTTGAATGGCATGTCGTTCTTGTACTTAATCGAATTCGACTTGCCCTCTGCCCCCAGACAGAGAAGAATGTTTTGAGTGCAAGAACCGTTCTACTGTGTCTCGTGTCTGAGGCCGTTCTCGTGCCGGCTGAGGCCCTGGGCTGGGCAGGGGAGGAGCGATTTACCCCAGGGGGCATCTGGGCCCTCCCATGTACAAAGTTACTGGAGTTGTGTTGGTTGTTTTGTTTTATTTAAATTTATTGCAAAATATATAAGAAGCTGGGCCTGTTTTTTTCTTTTTATCTGCCCACACAGTATAGAAAGGGGTGAGAGAGAGAAACAGTCGTGGACTTCTGAGCCAGCTCAGTGGCCCAGCATTGCAGCAGCTTCCATTCTGTCCCCATCTTGACAGGGGCCTTCTGTTATGGGGGGGGGGGGAGGTATGTCAAGGATCCCAAGCAGCTAAGAGCCGACTTGAGTCGGACAGCAGATGGGGAGGAGGGGGTGGCACTGCAGTGAGCAACCGGGCGTCCTCTGGGCTACCTGACCACCTCCCTCTTAGGACCAAGGGTGCTTGGAGGAGCGGGGGAGGGAGGGGTCGGGCAGATCTTCAGCAGCGGGAACATGCTGAGGGTCAGCCAGTGAGGAAGGGACCAGACGTTTCATGACTGGCACAGTTTATTTAGTTTACCACGTCCTGACACACCTGTGACACTTAGTCTCATAGCGGCCCAATGCAGTCACTGCTGTTTTTGTCCGCAGTCTGCCATCGAGAGATTAACTTACTTGCCTAAGTTCCCACCATTAGTAATCAGTGGAACTTGGACTAAGCACCAAGTTGGGTTTTTTCTGCCTCTGCAGCCTGGTCCCAGGTCCAGAAGCACCTTCCCAGGACACCTTGGCAGATGTGCATCCCTGGAGGAGACGGCGTGGGCTCAGCCCAGGGGTGTCCACATCCAGCCTGTCCCTTTGGCCATTCTGCTTAACGCGCTGACCGTTCCTCCAGGGCTCGGTGGTTCCTGGTGCGCCCAGACCAGTGGCTTCCGAAAGGAGAAAGGCCCTGATCTGTAGCCTTTGTCAACTTTCATGGTGTAAGTGTTCCCACCACGCCCTGTTTCAGGCCACCGACCCGCTGTCACTGTGTGGGTAGGAAGGATGCAGACACGGGCTCTCACAGCCGTCTGAGAGCCAGTTCCACTCCGCCACTGGCCCAAACCCGGCGACCTTGGCTGGTCTGAACTGTGGACACAGCGTTTGGCCAGAGTCCATTGAAGTGAGCGAGGCAGCAGCGTGTGGAGGCCTAAGGATGGGCCAGAGCGAGACCTGAGGTCAAGTCCTGGCCTCCCACTTGTTAACTGTGTGGCCTTGACCTCTTTGCCTGTGTTTCCTCAATGGTAAAACGAGGGCACAGTAAATAGTCCCTACTGTGTAGCGTTGCCACGAGGATGAAAAGAGTTCATGATGTACCAAAAAAAAAAAAAAAAAAATGAAGCCAAGTGCCTTGCACAGTGTCTGGACATAATGCTCAATAAATGCCAGCTCTTTATTACTGTTGATCATTGATCCCAATGGCAGCACCGGCTCTAGAACAGTATTTGAACACTCCCCTCGGTTAGAACCTCCGGCCCAAGTTGTGGGCAGGTGCCAGGCAGGGAGGGGAGCTCCTGGGACTTCTTCCCGGCTGCTCACATGAGGGTTCAGACCCTCCCCTCCATCTCTGGTTGGAGAACAGCACCTCGACTACTTAGGCCCAGCCGGATTCTTGGGCCTTTTCTCCAAGGGGACAGAGGTTAGACTGTGCTTAGCCCTCTCCCGGCTCCTCCTGGCTCTAGAAAGGCAGAGCAAGTGCTGACTTCACCACTGAACTCGCTAAGGCCATCACCTCCCATGTACTTATCAGACCCCAGACCCTGTCCCAGGGACAGAGGCGGCGGGAAGGGTCCAGGACATATAAACAGGGTGGAGTGGGGAGACTCCAACGAGCCAGGTGGCCTGCATGGAGCACTGGGCGCCTGGGCACTGAAAAAAAAATGTCACTGGGCGCCTGGGCACTGAAAGGAGGTAGATGTCACTGGAGCCGCAGCAGCCTGCGACCTCCTGCACCTGGCTGCAGGGCCACAGGCTGGCCCTCTGGAAGTCTGGTCCCTGAGTGTCCTAGCCTTCTTCTCCCTGCAGCCTCTGGCCCCTTTGTGCTCTTCCAAGAGGCTCTCTCGGACTCTTTAGGGCACGAGCCGGGCTGCCTTACAGCCTTGCTCCCCTACTCCAGCCCAGGGACCTGAGATGCATGGCAAGATGGGAAGAGAGGAACAGGGTTCTCAGACTCCGGGGTCCTCAGAAGAGGGAGCGCAGCTGGGTGTACTCACTGGGCTTGGTTGAACGCAGTGAAGACCAGTTCCACTGAGGCCCTTGATCCTGATTTAGGGCCCGAAGGAGAAGTTCTAGGAGATGAGGACTCAACACGCCTTGCCTAGCACGGGGCTGGCCGTGGAGCTGCAGCTGTGCGTGACTGGTGGCCCAGGACACCCCCCCACCTCCTGTGTATCCGTGAAAACAGGAAGTGGGCTGAGAGGTCCCTGGAGCACTCAGTACCCACCCCAGCCAGACGCTAAGCACAGGTGAGGTAACCGCAAGGAGCGGACAGACGGAGAAGACAGGCTCAGACACGCGCATGTAATAAATGGGGCTGAAAAATGTGCTGCTGTCTCCCAAAGTCGGGCCACTAGAGCTGGGATGGGGCCTGAGCAACTTCCGTGCTTGAGAGAGAAAGTTTAGGTCTGATGGACAGGAGACCAGCTTGACACCCTGAATGGCAAGCCTGAGGTTCTGTGCTTGAACTTCTATTTAATAACATAAATGGTGCTTCTATTTAACCTTTTTTAAAAAGATTTTATTTATTTTTAGAGAGGGAAGGGAGGGAGAAAGAGAGAGAGAGAAACATCAATGTGTGGTTGCTAGGGGTCACGGCCTGCAACCCAGGCATGTGCCCTGACTGGGAATCGAACCTGTGACACTTTGGTTCGCAGCCCGTGCTCAATCCACTGAGCTACGCCAGCCAGGGCTCTATTTAACCTTTTAAAAAGTCTATTAAAAATCGTGGGATAGTAGAATGTTCGAGCTTAACCCCCTCCATACCCGGGTCAGGCAGTGCTCACAGCTGCTGCCCCCGAGACTCCCCCCGGCCCAGCAGAGCCAGGCTGGCACGGGAGCCCACAGATCTCTACAGACTCGGAAACACCCAGCCTAGCTGGGAAGGGCCCCGTCTGGGCCTGCCCTTGAGAGGCCTGGTGGCCCGGACGTGGGGCGATGCCTCAGTCACATCCAGAACCAGGGCAGAGGGCACCCCCGCCTCAGCCTGGTCACACGGGTAGGGCCCTGGCATCCCCAGTGCTGACCCTGCGGAGGAGGGAAGGGGTGACAGACTCAAGTGCGTCCAGGTGCTGTTTGCGGAGGCTTGTGGAGAGCCCACCTACGGCAATCGATTGAATTCCTGACTAGTAAGTGGGTGGTAATACTAGACCACCCATTTCCAGGTGAAAATCTGAAGCCCAGAGAAGCTCGACGATTTCTGTCAAGCTCTGAAGCTGGCGTCGCCCCTGCCACCAGGTCGCCTGGGGCCAGAGCCGGTTGCCCAGAGTCGCGCGCTTTGATGGACGGAGGGGGCGGGGGCGCGGGCGCGGATGCTTTAAAGCGCCCCAGTTGGTCGGCTCCCAGCGGTGCGAGGCGGGCACTCTCAGAGCCGCGGGGCGCGGGGAGCAGTGGCCCGAGCAGGGTCCCCAGAAGCATCAGAGGGGCCAGCAGAGCTGGGGCGCCTCCATCTACGGTGGGGAAGGAGCGAACCCCTACGGATAGAGGCGCAGAGCCTGCCAGGGGTGCGGAGTGTCCCACGTTGCCACGGAGATGGCACTGCACGTGTGGTGACGGTGCTCGCGCCCCGAGGGTCCCACCCCCGTGCCCTGCGTCCCTGGGCGAGCATGGAGCCCCCAGAGCCCGAACTGATCCGGCAGAGCTGGCAGGCGGTGAGCCGAAGCCCGCTGGAGCACGGCGCAGTGCTGTTCACCAGGTGAGGGTGGCCCGGGAGCCGCGGTGGGGGGGGGGGGCGGTGCAGGGGCCTGGTCAGGAATGGGTTCGAGGTGGCGGGCCCAGCTCCAGAGGAGGGAAAAACTGACCGTCCAGATGCGCGCAGAGGAGGTGGGAGCTGCGAGCCCTTCTGCCCTTACCCGGCCGAGGGAGCGTCTTGCTTCCAGCGCCCCACATTCATCCCGAGGAGGCTCTCTGGGGGCAGGAGTGGGTCCTCACCATTCCCTTGCACCCGCCACCACGCCCGGTGCTGTGCCTCGTGGGTGTTTGCTCCTTGGATAGTAACTCCAGGGGTGCCTACCGGGCCAGGAAGGGAGGGCTGAGGTGCCCATCCGCAGCTCCTACAGGGGGTGTGGGCTGGATGCAGGGCTGACGGAACACGGGGTCCAGACCCCAGGAGAACGCACTTCCTTCCAGCAACCAAGGGAAGGTTAAACCTTTCCAAGGAGAGGACCAAGCTAGCACATAGAACGGGGAAGGGATGACAGACGCCCAAGTCTCACCCCTCTGGGAAGAGGAGTAAGGGGTTGCCAGCCCCTAAGGGGGAGAGGGAGCCCAACCTGCAACCTCAGCTTGAGGGTCTCTTGGCAGCCTCTCTGCCAGCACCAGAGAGGCAAGACTCCCTCCCGCCGCAGTTTTCCAGGAGCCTCAGCTCCCTAAGCTAGCCCAGAACTTCTGAGGAAGCTTTTGCAAACCCCACCCCACTCCCAACTCCCAGCTCTCCACCCCTACCTCCCCTTAAAAGGGAAATAAATAACCCCTATGAGCCCTCCCAGAAGGGGCTGAGAGCTGCTGCATCGCTTCTCTGTCTCAGTGCTTTCTCCCAAGCCCACTGTTGACTCAGGCACCCTCTGTGGTTGCACCACTCCCAAGCTGTGTGACCTTAGGCAAGTTGCTTAACCTCTCTGGGCTCTTGCTGCCTCTATAAAACTGGGATAACTATTGTACCCACTGTTTAAAATTGTGAGGCATACACTAGTTAACAATGTGTAAAGTACTCAATGCTTAGCGAGTGAGTGTAAGGAGTTCTTAATACTATTGTTATCATGGCTGGCCAGAACCCTCTCAGGCCTGATGAGACTAGGAGATTCTGGCCCAAGAATGGGGAAGGTGGAGAGAGGGGGCAGAGAGAGAGTGTGTGAGGATCCCTTCCTGCCCCAGCACCCCTCTACTGCTTATGGAGGGGCTGCCACATGCCAGGTCCTGGGAGCGGCCTGGGGACACATGCTCTTTCTAGGAAGGAGGTGCTGTAGTTTACGGCTGAAACTCGGCACCCCCATTCCCACTGTGGCAGCCCAGCCCGTGCAGTGCTCGGTGCTTGCGGGTTTGCTGGGGCCTGCTGGGGCCCGCAGGGGGTCACACCCAGGGCTGACATCGGGGCCTCCCCCTACAGGCTGTTTGACCTGGAGCCCGACCTGCTGCCCCTCTTCCAGTACAACTGCCGCCAGTTCTCCAGCCCAGAGGACTGCCTCTCCTCCCCTGAGTTCCTGGACCACATCAGGAAGGTGAGGGGAAGGCCCTGCTGGAGTGGCCTCTGAGACCCAGCAGAGCGCCTTCCCGGGAGAGAATGAGGAACTGGGGAGAGTGAAAACCCCTTCTGTCTTCTGCCCCAGCCTGGTCTTACCCACCTCCTGCTCCATCCCTCTGCGCTAAGCTGGGCCCAGGCTGGGGCACCAGGGTCAGCCTCCTCCTCCTCCTCCGCCCTGCGCTTAGTCAGCTGGCCCCAGCTCTGTCACTGCCCTTCGCCTTGACCCCTAGCTCCTTTAGGTGGTGTTGGTGCTCATCCACTAGGGGCCCTCTGCCTATGAACACCAGCTGGGGTTTTCTTAGAGGCGCTCACAGGGCCTCAGTTTCCCTTCGTCTCAGGCAGACAACATGGTCTTGCAGGCGTGTTTAGGGCGTTGAGTCCCACAGAAGAGGGGGCTTCTTTCAGCGTGTAGCATTAATAGTTTGGCCGTCACACACCGAGAGCCTACTGTATGCAGGCACATGTTGCTTTCTATTTCTGACCCCCGAAAACCAAGTGTCCTGGTGACCTCTCATACCTCCAGTTGAGACCCCCAGGTTCTGGACTGTGGCTGTGAGCAGGGAGATCACTCCAGCTGCTGTTCTGTTTCACTGCCACCTTGGCCTTGACAGGTGATGCTTGTGATTGATGCTGCGGTGACCAACGTAGAGGACCTGTCCTCGCTGGGAGAGTACCTGGCTGGCCTGGGCAGGAAGCACCGCGCAGTGGGTGTGAAGCTCAGCTCCTTCTCGGTGGGTAAAGGGACTCTTCTCTGTCCTGAGCTCCTGACCGGAGGCCGCCACGCTCTGCTAGTCCTCCTTTATCTCCACATGTCCATACCCTCACGTGACTAGGGCTGGGGGCCTTGTTACATACCTGCTGTGCGACCCTGGTGCTGCCTTGACCTCTTGGAGCCTCCAGTTCTTCTCTAGTGTGACTTCTTTTAGAACCATAGAAAGTTAAGAAACCTGTGGGATTCACTGGTCTGCTCAGTTTTCTATTGCCGTGTGTAAGACCATCCCAAACAAACGAGGATTTCTAATTTCTCTGGACTCAGTGGGGTGGGTCTTCTGTTCCCCACGGGGTGGCTCGAGTCACTCATGCAGTGCATCCAGCCGGGAGCTCAGCTGGGGATGGAATGTCCAGAGTGACCTGTCATCCTTGCAGTCCCTCTCCCTGCAGCCTCATCATTCAGGGATGCAGCCGAGCTCCTGTCCAGGCAGCAGCTGGGCTCTACGAGGGAGCGTTCTGAGAGGACAAGCCCGCGCATGCCAGTGCTCTCTGGGCTCTGCTTGCATTACTCTCGCTGCTGTCCCGTGGACCAAAGTCCATCACACAGATGAGCCCAGGGTTAAGGTGGAGGGCCCCTGCTCAAGGCAAGGTTCACTGGGGGCCCCTGAGGTGACTGTCTACCACATAGTCCCGTCACCTTGCCCGATGGTCAGCACCTTGAGGAAGGGCCCAGATCTCTTGTCCTCCCTCTCCCCAGCACTGGCACCGGGCCCGGCCCTCAGTGGGTAGTCGGCAAGTATTTGTGGCACACATCAACCTCATTCTATTACGACGCACAACAAGTGAGGGCCGTTGTTTTTGTTGGAGGCCTACTGTGTGCAGATGCTGTGCTAAGAGCTTTTCATCGATGATCTCAGTTAATCATTTCAAAAACCCAATGAATTAGAACTTTTTTTGTACTTTCTCCGTTTAACTGATGAAGCAACTGAGGCTCAGAGAGGTGAGACGACTTGCTCAAGGTCGCAGCTCGTGAATGGCGGAGTCAAAAGGAGAACTCAGGTCCATCTGGCTGCAGAGCCTGGGCTCCGAGCACCGTGAATGCTGCCTGCAGGGGGCACGCTGAGGCCTGCAGGCAAAGACTTTGCTTGGTCTGAGCTGGTGGTCCTGGGCAATGCCTTGGCCTCACTTATGGGGCGGTCACAAGGTTGGGAGTGGAGTGAAGTGCTTTGTTCCCTATAAGCCCCACATTTCAGGGGGAAAGTGGGCACAAAGTGGCACCCCAGGACTGGGGCAGAGTCCTGCTCAGGGGAGAAGAGAGGCCCGGGAGCCTCTCCCAGTCACAGGCCTCGGCCTTCTCACCTGGGGAGCGGGGGACGCCTTCCTGCCTCTGGGAATGACGGCGCTCCTTCCTCTGCAGACGGTGGGCGAGTCCCTGCTCTACATGCTGGAGAAGTGCCTGGGCCCCGCCTTCACGCCGGCCACTCGAGCAGCCTGGAGCCAACTCTACGGGGCCGTGGTGCAGGCCATGAGTCGCGGCTGGGATGGCGAGTAAGAGGCGGCATCTGCCCAGCGGCCTCCACCTGGTGGCCTTCATCTGTCTGTGTCTGTCTGTCGGTCTGTGTCTATTGTAGCCCAGGCTCCCCTAGGCCTGCCTGCGTCTTGCTCCTTGTCCCCTTGACCATAGAGAAGAGGTGATAGAGCAGGCCTGGGTCTCCACCCCCGGCCCCCCGAAGTGCAGACGGGTGGCTTTTCCTTCAGCATAGGGCTTCTGGATTTTCCTGCATCCTCGGTGGCTTCTTCCCGGCTTGCCCTCTTTCCCCTCTGGAATCTCTCCTTCAGCCATGAGGAGCAGCAGCATACTGGTGGCCCTGGAGGCCTGGGGCCAGGAGGGTGTGGGGCTCTTCTGTCAGCGTCCCCTCCGGGTGAGCCTGGGCCACGTCGGGGAGTGAACGGCTGAGCTCCAGGCTCCTTCTTCAATGCTTTGCTCTCCCGGGTGTTTGCCTTTCACAAGGGAAGGGGAGGGACAGCTTGAGCCTCCATGGCGGAATCCCAGGCAGGTCAGTGGGAGAACCGCTGAGGAAGGGACAGGTGAGACTCTGTGAGGGGCTCGTCGGGGCCTCAGGGACCTACCATGGTGTCCCTGCAGTGTCATCCCCCCCCCATCCCTCCCGCAGCATTTCTGGTGGCAGCTCCCTTTTTGTCACTGTGTAGGAACCGGCTAGCCAGCCAGGGTGGGTGGGGGAGGGGCGGCTGTGGAAGGCCAAGGAAGGAGGGGTGACTTCATTCCGAGAGACGGGAGTCTCCTCTCGCCAGCCTTCCTTCCTGCCTCTGCCAGCACTGCAGGCGGGCCCTCAGCACCCCGTCTTTCATACTCATACTCGGCGTGTGCCAGTACTCGGGGGTGGATAGGCAAGAAAGCAGTCCCTCTACCTTTGCCCCGAGCTGCCTGCACTTTTATCCTTTGCTCTGTGCTGTGGTTGTGTAAACTCCTGAGGAATAAACCTCTTCTGTGTGACTCTCTGGCCCTCTGGGACTGGTCTTTTCTTGGGTGTCAGCGTGTGTCAGATGAAGCTGCAGGGTGGCGGATCTACGGCTGGGCAGGAGGATGGGGTCATGAGGGCCGCTGTGAGAACAGGTGGAAAAAAAGAAAAGGGCCTGGGGAAGCCAATGGTGGAGATGGAGCTAGGGGTCTGTGGTGGAAACTGCCGGGCTAGGCACCAAATCCAGTTCTTCTGCCTGGGCTTGACTACATCTCCCAGCCTCCCTTGCAACAAGATGGGCCATGTGACCAAGTTCTGGCCAATGGAATGTGTGGACATGGATGCTATTCCAAGACCTAGACCCCCAAACTCCTGCAAGCTACTCTGTGCTCTGTCATCCTGCTGCTGGTTTGATGCAGACCTTGCAGTGACCTTGGGGGCCATGTGTTGAAGCTGCAGGGCCATTAGCTGGAAGGAACTTGGGGTTCCCTGAATCACTGCTTGGAGGAGAGAGCCCACTAATCAGAAGTGCCTGGTGGTGCCCAGGTACTTCTCCTACAGGTAGAGCAGGGACTCATTTTGAATTTTACAGGAAAGAGACATAAACTTGTACTGTGTTTGTGTCATTATACATTTGGGGGTCAGCGACCTGCTAGCCCCCCTGCCAGGGATAGGAATGGGCCAGGACAGCAGCAAAGGGCACCAAAGACTCTGAGGAAAGCTCGTAGATCCTCCTCGGAGGGGAAGGTGCTGATCACAGGGCAGGCTTTTAGCAGACATTAAGTGAGTTAATCTGGAGTGTCTATTGGAGTTGAAGAGCAGGGGTGTGTGTGTGTGTGTGTGTGTGTGTGTGTGTGTGTGTGTGTTCAGGAGGGTCAGGCAGACAGGGGGCCGGGAAGGGTGCAGCATTAAGAGTGGACATCATGCCAACAGGCGTGGGGGTTAGCTCCCACTCCCTGCTCCTGGCCTCCAGTGTGTGGGGTCCTGGAGCTGGGCTGTGAGTGGCTGGAAGGGCTGTACCCAGGCCACTGTCCTCACCCTGAGGCTTCAGTTTTCTCAGCAAGACCGAGGCTGCTGCGGCCAGCAGAGCCTCCCAGCCCCCAGCCAGGCTCAGGTGGTGAGGCCTGCCAGGCAGTCTGCCTGCAGGCGTTGGGGCTGGAGCACGTTAGGAATGTCTTCCCACTGTGGCACCGAGGGTGGGTTTTTGTCGAGCCCCACCGTAGCCACTGAGCCAGGGCCTCCACACTGTGTGATCTGATGACAGCTCAGACTCAGGAGGCCATGCCTGGCCTACAGTCCTCGACTGTGCGGCACCCACTCAGGTGAGTGGGGTGACGTGGCTTTGGAAAGACTGAACACTCTCCTCTGACCCGTGTCTTCAGCCACCTTAAGCACAGGTGCTTTTCACCTCTCTTGAAGGCTACCCTTCTGCTTGTGCGTGCGTGCATGCGTGTGTGTGTGTACGTGTGCATGCACGGGGGGGTAGGATGGGTAGCTCCTTCCTTCTCTCAGCCCTGCAGTTCTCTCTGTCTTGTACTCCTCCCCAGTCTATCAGGTCACGTGTCCCATCTTCTACAAAGAGCCGCCCCACCCTACACCCCTCTTCTCTCTCCAGCTACCACTGTTTCTTTACTTCCTTGGACAGCAAAACTTCAAAAGAGTTGTCTTTCCCTGCAGTTTTTCATTTCCTCACTCTTGTGAGCAAACAGGAACCTATCTCACCAGGCTTTCAGCCTCACCCCTCATCAGTTATGGTCAAGCCACCAACAACCTAATTTATCCTGCAAAGTTCAGGGTCAGGTCTCAGCTGTCCTCTCGCTCTTCTGCTCAGCTGCACTTGGAAGAGTTGGTCACTCTTCCCTTTATTTTTAAACTTTTTATGATAAAAAAGTTGTTCACGTGCACAAAAATCCGAGGCTAGAGAATCTCCATGTGCCCTTCACCCAGCCTCAAGGGCGAGCGCTCAGGGCCCCCAGCCCCTTTCATGTTGCTGGAGACTTAGTTGTAAAGCACATCCCACTTCCTGTTCCTTCACCTGCAAAGTCTTCTACGTGAACTACTAGCTGATGCTTTTTTCACTACTTAACCCCGGCCCTCAACACACCAAGAAGAACAGGATCTCCTCACCTCACCTAATGCCCAGTCCGTGTCTGAAATCCCCTGATGTCTGAAAGATGTCTTTCTGCAGCTGGTTTGTTCCACTCGGGGTGTGACCAAGGGCCTCACGGCACATCTTGCTGTGTCTCTTAAACCTTTCATTCCCTACGGTCTCTCCCCCATCTCCTATACCTTGGGTTTGTGGGAGAAACCATCCTGTTTGTCCAGCGGCACGCGCAGCTGATGCTCTCCGTGGTACCTTTGAATTTGTTCTTCTACGGCCGTGTTTACCGTGTTTGGGGCTGGGGCTCCCTCCTTCCTTCTGGAGTTCCTCTTTCTCGGGCTTCAGGGCCAGCAGGCTCCCCCGGTTTTCCTCCTTCCTCACTGCTTCTCCTCCTGCTCCATCTCCTGTGGGGATTCTCCTCCCAGCTGCCTCAGACCCCCTCCTACCTCCACTTGCCCATGCAGAGGTCTCAGCCAGTCCATGCTTCAAACAGCACCCGCGTGCTGGTGGCTCTGAAGTGTACGTCACCTCCCCAGCTCTCCCCTGCTCCAGACTCCAGTATCCGGTCACCTGCCCGACATCCCCACGAGGCACCTCAAATGGGACGTGACCCAAATAGAACTTGGTATTTTCCCCACAGCCGGCCTTCCCAGCATCCTCTGGGCTACGCCAGTTCGCCCCAGTTGTTCAGGCTGAAGAACGGGGAGTCGTCCTTACTTCCACGCTCTCTGTCAGACTCCACGTTTAACCCATCTCCAGACTCTAGACTGGATTTCTCCACCTCTTTCCTCACTCACTGCCCTGTCCTCATCTGCGCTGCCGTACTGTTGCTCCTGAGGCTCCCAACAGAGCCCCAGGGGGGTTTCCGCTTCCATCCTGTCCCCACCCAGTGGCTACATGATCACTTCAGCACCTCACGGGATCATACCGCTCCTGGGCTCCGAATCCCCCAGGAGCTTCCCCCATGACTGGAATAAGCCCTGGAGTCCTGGCTGGGACCTGCAGAGCCCCGCCACCCTTGCAGCTCCGGCCTCACTCTGTTCCAGCCACTCCGGCCTCCCCACCCGTCCTCGGCTGCCCCAGACCCGCTCGGGGCCCCGTCCTGCATCACCTAGTGCCCCGCCTCTTCCCGGCCTCCCCCTGCCCTCCCGCTGACACTGGCCGAGGACGGTGCAGACCTCAGCCCCGAGGGCCACTCTGGGGCCCACTCTGGAAATCTTCATCTGGTCAAATGTGGCTTCTAGTCTGGCCAAAAGCCCAGTCTCACAGCCCAGCACTCACCCTGGAGTTTCTCTGGCCAGGGGAAGGCTGTCACAATGGTGCCTGGGTAGCGCACAGTGCAGAAAGGTCTCCTTTATTGCTCAGGGAGCTCTCAGGGTATCCACAGCAGAGAGAGCGAGGCAAAGCTCTCGCTCTCTCCACCTCTCCAGCAGACCAGGCAGCACTTCCCGGCATTTCCCTGCGAGGGTGGGGCCCCCAAAGGCCTCGGGGGTGAGGGGACCCCAGAAGGGGCAGCTCTGGCCCCAGGGACCAAAGCTGTGAAGGTGTGCTGCTCCAGCCCGGTGACCTCAGGGAGGTCCATCCCTTAGCAGCTCCAGCTCCTTCCAGGTGGAGGGAAAGCCGTGCTGGGCGGGTCCGGATGCAGAGGCACAGGCCAGCAGAGGTCGGGAGACTGTTTATTCAAGGCACGGTCACAGCATGAGTAACAAGAAGGTTCAGCATTCTGGCACATTCCTTTAGTGGTAGCGGCCAAGGGAAGTCCATACCCCTCACCTGGGTCCCCGGAGGATGCAATGCTGCTGATAGGCACTTGGCTTCCAGAAGCATCTGAGGAGGAGGCAGGCAGGCAGGCAGGCAGTCGTGGAGCTGCTCTGGACCAAGTAGGGCACTTCTCAAAGGCTCTGGGCAATACTGGGTCCCCCCACCCTGGAGGCAGCCCCCTCCAGCACAAACCAAATCTGAAAGGGGGTGCTTCGGTGGACAGGTAGGGGAGGGGCGACTGGGCAGTGGGCCGGCAGGCGAGGTGGAGGCCAATGCGTGAGGCAGGTGTGGGCCAGCTCGAACTGGAGGGCAGGTGCCTGGCTGTGGGCTGTGAGGAGCCAGAGTACGCCCATGCTCCACACGGCGGTCAGCAGTGCTCTGGCAGCGCAGTGTGGCCTGGCCCTTGCCCTGGGTCTCTAGGAAGGGTAGAGAAATGAGCGGACTCTGGAATCTTCCTAACATCTGCCTTCTCTCAGAACCAGTCTGCACTTGACCCACATTCAGAGGGGGAAGCCCCAGACACGCTGCCGTGTCATCTGCTGGGATCACTTCAACACCCCACGGGATCACACGGCTCCTGGGCTCCGAATCCCCCAGGAACTTCCCCCGTGCCTGGAATAAACGCTGGCGTCCTGACTGGGTCCTGCAGAGCCCCGCCGCCTAGCCACAGGGCTAGGACCTAGCCACAGGCAGCTTCCCCAGGCTGCCGGGTGGGCAGTGGGAGGAGAGCGGAGGGCCAGCGGCGGCAGCAGCAGCAACAGCCCAGGTGGGGCTGCAGAGACTGGAGGCAGGTGTCCGCAAGTAGCGTCCTGGGAGGGCGGGTCTCAGGCCAACTGCGGCCAGGGCCCCCCCACCGCCCTCCTCACACACCACGTACACGCTCTGGGGGTTGCGCAGTGCCTGGAACTCGCTGCTGGGGCCCTGACCACCCTGCTCTGGAAAGGACCCATCCCCTCGGTGGCTGGTGAAATGCTTGGGGGAGGGGGCCCTGTGGACCACTGGTTTATGAAGGGCTGGCTGGGGATGGTTTCCTCCTTTCCCCAGCTGGACAAGGCGGGGAGGGCCTGCTGCTCCCTGGCAGACTCCAGCTCTCAGGAAGATGCCTCAAGCCAAGGTCTGGGCCAAGGAGAATCTACGGGGTGCAGCTTGAAACTTCTGGAGCGGGGATGTGGGCAAGGATGAAGCAAGGACAAGGCCCAGGTGATCTCAGTTCAGGGGCACCCATGTGCCTGGGACTCAGTGACAACGCCCAGGTGAGGGGCTCCTGGAGCCCACCTTCAGCAGCTTGGCTGCGAGGACCCTTGCCTTTGGAGCACAGGTGGCAAACACAAGGCCTGGGGGCCGAATCCGGCCCTCCACCTTGTTTTCTCCGGCCTGGGACCTTGTTTCCACCCGGAGGCAGCACCGAGCTCTTGCTTAACTGTTAAGGAGCAGTTACATGTATGCAGTCCTGAACTTACATTGGGCCCTTTGAAGGCAACTCCGAGGCTGACGTGGCCCCGGGTGAAAGTGAGTTTGACCCCCTGCTTTGGAGGAAGGAGCTCAGGAGAGCTCCAGAGCCTGCGGACCCCATTAGACTTGGCTTGTCCTGGTCCACGGAGGCCCCGGTGGCCCTTCGCTGTGTCCTCCTCTGCTGGACGGCCTTGTTGTCCAGATGTCCCCGGAGGCAGAGGCCTGCCTCCCCCTCCGCCCGGGGCAGAGGTGCTGGGTGTCCGCAGCACTGTCTCTGCTCGGGACGCGGTTCCAGGACGCAGGACGGGGAAGCTCTGGGAGGGCTTGCTCTGCCAGAAAGGGCTTCTCTGCGGCAGACACAGCTCCACCCCAACATCACCCTGGTGACGCAGGGCATCACCGGGACCACCCTGGAGACCCCTTGAGTGGTCTGCAGTCCGAGAGTAGAGGAAGGGCCCTACCTGGAGGGCCGGGCATGACCAGTGCCTTTGGTTGCAAGCATGGACCCCTTACCCTAAGCTGGGGCCCACCTTGGCCACACTGGGGGCCCGTGCACTCACGGGTGGGCGTGAGGCAGAAGCAGCTGGCAGTGGCCACATCCTCGGCCTTGGGGTTCCCTTCATTAGGCCCTGGGGCTTGGGGAGGTGTATCTGGTTTCCCTCCATGCAACATTTTGGGAGAAGAGAATTCCGTGAATTCACTCGGTCCATGAATTCTGCCTCTGCCCCTCCCACCTGATAGTAACAGCCGAGGTTTGCTCTCATCAAAATGCACACAGGTCCCATTTAATGAGCCCCGAGGGATCGTGTCCCAGCTCCCCTTACAGGAATGGCAAGGAGAAGGGTCTCTGCCCTGCTGCCCCTGGGGACATCCGTCAGGGCCAGAGGAACAGGAAGGGCCTCGGTCACCTTCTCTCAGGTCTGGGCTCTCAGCTGCCCCTTGCTCCGGTGGGTGCAGAAATGTCTTCTTTACAGTCCCTCATGCAGGGCACCTGGGTGAGTCAGTCACCTGCGTTGTGTTGACGAGGCCCAGCACACACACCTTCACTTCCACAGACCGCAGGGGAGGGGTGGGCCACGAGTGGGGGTGGGGCAGGGGCAGGCGCAGCCGCAGGAGTTCCTCGGTGGGGTAGCTGGTGGAAGGGTGCAGAGACCCGGGAGAGTCTTTCGTGGGTTTCTTTCTGCCTCTTCCTTTATACACACATTTCTCCATCTTGACCCCAGGTAGGTCCCCCAGCCTTGCGTCTCTGTGCCCCAGGCTTCGGCCACCTCTCCCAAGACGTGGTGCTGGCCGGCATCCTCTGCTCCGTCCGGGGGTCCCTGTGCACCGCCCAGCACCTCCCATCCTAGCTGGCTGGCAGGCCGGGGCCTTCACTCAGCCAATGGCCAGGTTGGCAGACGTCTTCATCAGGCCTTTCTAAAGTCTGCAGGAAGTGGTGGGGGTCCAGGCCGCCCCCTTGCCGCTCCCTGCCTGGCCCTCCCATGGCCGCCACTCCCGGCTGGAGTCGCCAGGGGGAGGCCTCGGGTCCTGGTCAGTGGTACTGGCTCTGGCCCTGCAGTTCCAGGCCTTCCTGGAACTGGGCCGAGTCCAGCTCCCTGTCGAAGCCCCTCACAGCGTTCTCCTCCTCCTCTTCTTCTTCTTCTTCTTCTTCTTCTTCTTCCTCTTCCGGCTCTCTGTCCATGGTGCCGTAGGTGTGCTGGGCAGGGGAAGAGGCTGGAGTCAGGTTCATCTCTGGCTCTTGCAGCACGGTGGCCACGTACATCTGCTCAGGACAGAGAAGGGAGATCAGGGCGAGGTCACATTTGGGGCAAGGCCCTGGACATCCCCTTCCCCCTTACACCCCACGCCTCAGATGGTCTGCCCCTCTAAGCCATAGGCCCTTCCTCACCAGCAGCCCGAGGCCAGGCCATGCCACCTGCGCGGCTGCTTCTGCTCATTTAGTGAGCACCTGCGAGCTCCCAGGGCCAGTTAGTGCAGGTCTCCTAACTTCTGGCCACTGTTCCTTCGGCCCACGTGCCATTCACCCCTGGTTCCAGGCCGGGCTGAACCCGGGGGAAATGACATCAAGGCTCCCCTAGGCTGGAGTCTGGAGAGACCCCCCCTCCATTCCTGAGCTAGTGCATTTTCTAACTCGGCCTCAGAGGTGCATCCACACTTCCCTCCACTGTGTCACTGCTTCGCCTGTGAATCAGGATTTGAAACCGAGACGACTATCTGAGGCCTTGGCCATGTGACCTGCCAAGTCCAGGAATGGTCCCAGGACCACCTGGGAGGGCGGCAGGACAGAGAAGCTCAGGAAACGCTAGGCATAGCGCTGTCTGCCGTCCTCTGAAGTGGCTTTTAAACCAACCCCTTATTTTGAAAATAGGTCATTATGGGATAGAATTAAGCCTTTCCTGTGGCAATTCACTTCAGCGAAATCAAAGAGCCCTAGCGGATGAGGGAACAGCTTTCCTACAGGAGAACCTAACTGTTGCCTAACACCCAAGGACACCCCATAGATGGCCTTCTGGCCATAAGCAGAAAACGCATAACTGGACGATGGAAGAAGCCAGCAGTCACCCTCCTGCTTGGGGAGTCATGTTACCATCATCAATGGGGACAAACGGGAGATTACGTATCTCTTGGTGTGAGGCACAGCGCGACCTGTAACGTGCTCTAGCACTGAGTGTTGAACTTGAATCTATCAGGCCTTTGGCTTGAACTCCTCATTTTTAGGAGATGCAGGACCCAGTGGAACCTGCTCATGAAGAAACAGTCGGAACATCCCAGAGGTGAGACATGCTGTGGGATCACCGGCCTGGTCTCTCCGTTGAACGTTAAAAACAGGCGGAGCTAGAATTAGGGGGGCGTGCCCAGGTGCCAGGTTACCGGGGCACAGGTACCAGACTGGATCTTGTTTTGGACAAGCCGTAAAAGGTATTTCTGGAAAACTTAGAGCAACTTGAATGTGGACTGGGTATTGGAAGTAGTAAAAATGTATATGGAAAGATGGCGATTGTTAACGAAAAATGAGGGTTATAAAACATTTCATTTTAGCAAAAATTATATATATATGAGAATATAACTTGGGTATCATTCTTCATTTCTGGGTGGTGGAAATATGGACTTTTAATTTTCTTATTTTTAAAGACTTTATGTATGTTTAGAGAGAGGAGAAGGGAGGGAGAAAGACAGGGTGAGAAGCATCGATCGGCTGCCTCTCACACGCCCTCAGCTGGGGACCTGGCCCGCAACCCAGGCATGTGCCCTAGACTGGGAATTGAACCGGTGACCCTCCAGTTCACAGGATGGTGCTCAGTCTACTGAGCCACACCAGTTAGGGCTTTATTTTCTTATTTTTGCTTGTCTGTTTCCCCCCCGATAATCTTCACGATATTCATATACCCTGTTGCAGTACTAAAAGATTCACAAAATCAGTTCCAGTCCTGTGTTTAAAGCTCAAGCTTCAGAGGCAGACCGGGGTCCCACTGTGTTCCGCCACTTGCCTGCTCAGGAGCACCCTGGGGTCTAAACTCACGGACTGCTTTGAGCCTCAGTTTCCCCCTCTGCAGAATAAGGACAAAACCCTTCCTGTGTAGGTGTGTCCTGAAGATCAGGCGCAGGAGTGGCGGCCCGGCACTGCTGTGTGTCTGTCTGTGCTCTCGCCCCACTGCCGCAGCTGCTGAGCCTGCTCCCTGCCGGGCCCCGCCACCCACTCTGCTCTTCCAGACAGCTGCCGACGACTCCCCGAAGGTTCCCCATGGTCTCCTCCAGGCCTCGGCACAGGCTGATCCTCTTCCTCAACTGCTCTTTCCCCAAACCCTATTCCACTTGGCAACTCGGACGTCCACTCCTGGAGTTGGAGCGGATGTTCCCTCCTCCGGGAAGCCTTCCCTGATTGCCCTTGTCAATGTCCCTCCAGCACCCAGCTCAGGGTGTGCATCCGTGGCCCTGCACTCACACTTGTGGCTGGGACATGGTAAGGGCTCATTCCCCTCTAGGCTGAGCCTCGGTGTGGGTGCCAGCGCCCAGCCTGCTGGACCCCTGCATCTGAGTCTGGCCTTGTCTCTTCACGTGCGGATGGGCTCACCCATCTGGCGCCGCCCCAGGCCTTCCATTCAGTCCAGACCTCCAACAGCTCCCTGCAGCCCTGTCTGCGCACCTGTGCCCCTTGGAGGCAGCCTTCGGTCCTGAGGCCGGGCCCCAGTGCATCCCTGCGTCTACACGACTGAGCTTGCTGTGGCTGGGTTCTCCCTGACCTTTCTCTTCCTCTCTGAGTTCCTTCTAGGGACTGTTGAGTTAAACTTGTGTCTTCTATCTTCCTCAATCTTCAGCCAGGGCCACGGCAGCAATCGGACCTGGGCCAAGTCCTGCTGCATCAGCAATTGGACCTGGGCCACGTCCCGAATCCTCCCCAATACCCAGGGCGGGCACTGAGTGCTGGTGCCCGCCCCCCCCGCGATGCTGCTGGAGTGGCCCGCCCCCTGTGGGCACACCCCACCCCCGGCCCGGCCCCCAGGGTGAAGGCACTGACTCACAAGGGAGGTGGGCGTAGAGGACGTGCTGCTTGGCTCCATGTCAAACACGGTCTCCATCTCCTCCTCCAGCTGCAGCAGTGGGGGGAAACACGGAGGGTCACAGGAGGGGCGTATCTGCCCTTTGCCCCCTCCCTCCCCACGTCCGAGTAAGTCTGGGCCCTGCACCTGGGCCTGTGGCTCCCTTTGAAATCAACTGATCTTCTGTTTTTCCAGGACTGCAGCCCAGATGACAGAGCTGAAGCCCAGGGGGACAGAGAGATGACTGGGGTGCTGGGGTGATCCTTCCAGAATGCTCTGTTCTTGAGGACCGTAACGGTGGCAAGTAAGCAGGTGTGGGACTGGGGTTCCAAGAAGATCCTTCTTGGAGTCTAAGAAATGCCTTGACGTCAACTCTTTCTTCTCTCCCCCCCCACCCCGGGGTTCCCCTTTCTGTCTGGAACGAGTTCTAAACCACTAAGGTCTAGGTCCCCTGCCACCGTCCTTCCCCAGAGTGGGCACGTGGACAGCCAGATCACGTGGCAATGTTGCAGTGGGAGGGAAGAGCCAGAGGCGCCATGCACTCTGCCACCTCTGCAGCGGGCGCTCGGGCCAGGGCACGAGGAAGGGCTGGGGAGGGGGCAGTGGGGGCTGCTGCCCTGGGTCCCAGGGACGGCGCAGGCACCTGAGGCCAGAGAATCCTTTTCAAAGGGGCTCCCTGCTCTGACTCAGCTGGGTGACAGTATTTCAGATCAAGTTACTTTCTTTTCTTTATATAAATTCATTTAAAGAGGACACACTTTACTATTATAAACAGATAACTGTGCCATTTGCTACAAGTGGAAAAATAAATTGATGTGAACCAGTAGAAAACCAATGTGTAACCATGGAAAGTAATGCTTTAGTCCCCTGGAAGTCCTCCCAGTGCGCCAATACAGATGCCTCACTGCGGCAGCGCTGGCCTGCAGCAGGGGCTGTGCGGGCACAGCTCCCCGTGGGCCCGGATCGGCCCCTTCTCTCAGAGTAGGCTGCCCCCCACCAGCGAAGAGCAGAAGGAGTCCTGGGGCCCAGAGAGCCAGGTCCCCTCCAGTGAGCCTCCAGTCAAAACCCCAGAACTCCTAAAAGTGACAGCGATGCCCCCTGCCCCAGGTCACTGTCCTTTACTGCCCCCACCCCTCTCCTTTACTCCACCCCCCCCCCCAGCCCTCCCTCCGTCCCCTGGAATGGTGCTCGCAGTTCAGTGGCTGAACAGGCTCCCACTGTGGGGGTGTCAGAGGGGAAAAGAGAGGACAGCTGTCTTCCAGATGTCCCCACCCTGTGAGGGGAGCAGTGTCAGGGCCAGTGCGAGACACACACACACACACACACACACACACTCTGAATTGGCGCATCCCATAATGAGAGAGGCAAGAACCTTCATCTATGTGGTGCTGTGGGAGCCCAGGCCAGGAGGGCGTCCTCGGGCTCTGTCCCCCAGGGACCAGGGAGACGCAGTGGAGGAAGGGCAGGCTGGCAACTCACCTCATAGGTGCGTGTGCTCCGGAACTTCCCCAGAAGAATGCCCACGACGGCGATGACCATGGAGATGATGAGGGTGGACAGGGAGAAGATGGTGATGCTGTGCAGCGACCCTGCCGAGGGGAAGCAGAGGGGCTTGGTGCCTGAGGGCTGGGGCGTGGGCAGGGTCCCCCGCTGAGATGGCCCCGGACTGACAGACGCCTGGGGCCGCTCAGCACCTCTGCGGGGGCTTCGAGCCCAGTGCGGAGAGGCCCCTGCCCAACTCTCTTCCTAACCACTGGCCCCGATGGCCTGACACAGTGACGTTGTCCCTTCATGCTAGGGGACCAGCTTAGCACTGGGCATCTTGTGGATTCCACTGAAAACAATTAATTCACTTAAGTATCCATTTAAGTGCCCATGAAACACGTCCTTCTCCACCCATGAGTTGCCTCCTTTATCACGGTCCCTGCCAAGTGTCGCTGAGTCACTCGTTGGTGCCACTGCCCCGTGTACGACCCCGGCCACACCTCCCCTTCCCGGTGCCCCGTGCACAGTGTCCGTGCTGAGCGCCCCGAGGCGCCGTCCTGAAGTTGTCGTTTTTGTTCTGCTTGGTGATATTTGGTGACTTTTTCAGGGCAGCACTTTCTAACTAGGTACATGTTAAAAATCGGTCTTTACGCCATTACGGCATAACAGTGCTTATAATCATGTTCTGATAACAGCAAAAAAGGTAAACCGCCTTGACATCCAGCAGCGGGGAACTGACTAAAACTGAGAAAGGTGAATTCGGCCACGGAAAAGAAATGTGCTCACACAGAACCAACGTTGTAAAACGAATTTCAAAATTGGAAAGCAACAAACCAATAAACTCCCTTCTGCTTTGCCATTCCCCACTCCCATCCCCAAAATAAAATTAACAAAAACAAAAAAGCACGTGCACAGAGTGAGGTCTCAGAACAATGACCTCAGGCTTCCGATGGCTCAATGTTCATCTTTCTATTTTTGATAATAAACAGGTCGTCCTTGACGCTTAGAAAAAGGCATTATAGAAAGTGACACCTGCGAGGTGGAGGGAAGGCCGGGGGTGAGAAACGGGGGCTGGCAGGACCCGGGCGATGCGCACGGGTGCCGGAGGCCCCAGTGTTTGCAGGTGCCGCCGTGACAGGGAGAGTAAGAGAACATGGGCCCTCCCTGCTCAGTGCCACCGAGAAGGTTACGGCCAAGTGTCCCTGAGGGAAGGCCAGTGAGGGACGAGGCAGAACACGGGACGGGGCAGGGAGGATGATGGGGGGGTCAGTGTGTGCGTCCTGCCTCGGAGGGCACCTCCAGTATCTGACCAGTGGGGACGGGGACAGCAGCTGCCCAGGGTGGGGAAGTAGCAGCTGCAGGGCAGACTCTGACTCCTCCTCCAGGTGTTGGCGGCTCGAGAGACCAGGCATCCTGTGGACCCCCAGGGGGCATGTCACGGGAATGGAGCCTGAGCGCTGACCTCTCACATCCTGCCAGCCGTGGTGAGAATGAAGGAATGTGATGCTTCTTGCCCACCAGAAGGCGGCACACCAGAAGGTGCACGGTTCGGATGGTCCAAGCCTTCCCCTCTCCTTCAAAGGGCTCTCGTACAAGCCCCTGGGACCAGAGAAGACACCCAGCTGGACGGTGCTCAGTCTGTCCTCGAGGCCTTTTCTGCTCTAATGGAGCTGTGGTGGAGGCAGGCAGGGGTGGAATGGCTGGGCAGGCCTGGTACCCACCTAGTCGGAGGATGGAGAAGAAGAGCATCCAGAACAGACCCAGCAGCGGCGCGAAGATGGCCTGGTTGACGGCGGCCATGTGGATCTGCTCGTTGAGCTTGGTGGGCGCGTAGGAGTAGTACATGTTGTAGCGGTCTGAGATGTGCTTCATGAACAGGTACAGCAGCCCTGGCGGCCGGAAGAGGAGGCACACTCAGTGGCTGCTCCCCAGCCGGGGCCTGTGCTGTCCCAGAGTCCCCACAGAACTGAGAAGTCAGATTCGGGGTCTGTCAGAGCAACAGGGGCCAAGGACAGGCTGTGGCAACTGCGGTGCCCACCCGTGGGACTAGAACTCTGCCGGGCTGGTGAAGAGTCTTCCACTCACGCATTCACTCGACAAATGGCCTATGTAAATAGCCGTGCGGCCTCAGCCCCCCACCTGGCCTTGGCCCTGACGCCTCCCGCCCTGCTGACGGGCCCTCCCAGGTTTCCTCCTGCTCCGGGACGCAGCCTGATGTTGTGGGTTCGACTCCTCCTTCCGGTCTGAGGGCGCGCAGCCCCAGGTGTGCCTGAGGGGTGACTCACCAAAAGGGACGATGATGGGGCAGGTGATGCTATAGGCCATCACCACGCTGAAGACGTTCATCATCCACGCGTATTCTCGCCCGTACTGGAAGTCTATGGCCTGGTCCTAGGGCAGAACACAGGAGTCGCCCTCAGGCGGCCTGGTCCCCTTCGTGGGCTGCTCCTGTGGCTCCTCATCCGTCCTCTAGGAGCTGGTCGGCAGCCTGGCTTCCAACCCTGGAGTCCACGAAGCAGCCCCCCCCCGCACCATGCCTCCCGCACAGTGATCCCCCTCCCCAACCCCCTACCCCATGGGGAAACTCGGAGAGCTGCGCTCGGGGAAGCGCCCGGACCTCACCTTTCTGATGTGGACTCTCTCCGGCTCCGACCTGGAGAAGAAGAGGCGGGTGCTGTAGAGGAAGAGTGAGCCCAGGCGCATCAGCTCCATGCCCGTGCCGAGCAGAGAGGCTGTGATCACGTAGTTGACGAAGAAGGCGCCGTTGTCCGGCAGGAACACACACCTGGGTGCGGAGAGGGGCAGACAGGGGCGGAGGGGAAGGGCAGAGGTGTTGAGAGGGCGGAGGAGGGAGAGCGAAGAAAAGGGCCAAGGGAGAGGGGATTACAGATTTGAAAACTAGGACTTTCAACGTTTGCCACCCTAACAAAACCAGAGCTGGCTGGGTGTCCGACATGACCTGCCTGTTGCCGCGCCACAGTGGGGAAACTGAGTGTCGTGTTCATGTGCTCCCAGCCCTGTTGAAGTGCACAAAGGCCTGTCAGAGCGGGGATGGGGACGGTCTGCGTGGAGTGTGGGTGTGTTAGGTGACACCTGTGCTGGCTTGATCTAATTCGGGCCGTTTTACCTGGCCCCATAGACCCTGGAGTGTCCATGAGTAGATTGGATCGGTGAACTCGAATGATGAAAAAATTACATCTTTCTTTCTACTAACCTCTACCTGCAATTAGCATTTCCTCCCAGGAAGAGTGTGGACAAGAAACCACAGTCGTGGACGGCTGACGCGGCTGTGGGCCTGTCCCCACTGAAGTCAGATATGTCCTATCATGCTGCAGTCGCTGCTGATGCCTTCCAAGGTCATCTGGGCTCATCAGCATGTCATAGTGAGGCCAGTTACTGGACAGGCCGCTGAACTATACACGACTGGAAAGGTCCTCTCCACTGATGTGTGTGTGATGTCACTGGCCAGCATCAACCCGGAGTCATTCAGCCACCTACAGGCCGTGCTGCCTGTCCTCACACTGGTGACCCAGGCCTGTCTTGCTTTCCAGTGCCCCGCCCCCCAGTTCTGTCAACTTCCTTGACAAGAGAAGCCTGTGAGCCCTGGACCTATTTAGGACGCCTTCCACCACGGTTCCCCCTCGATGGCGTCCGGGCTGCTGTGGACTCGCAATGTCTTTCTTTCTCCTATAGAAGCGCTGAGATATTCAATGGCCAAAGATGAACTCATTCATCTCGGGAATAAACATGCAACTTGTTACAATTACGGTTTGCAGAAAGCACAGAAGCCTAGGAGAATTCTGGTCCTTGCTCTACAGAGCAAGCTATGGAAGCCCGTGTGTCATTTGCAACATGACACCTTTAGAAAACTGGGATTTTCAATGTTTGTAACCCTAAAAATAAAAACATCGAAACTGGCTGGCTGTGCAGCACGACCTGCTTGCTGCCGCGTCAGAGATTTCTGCCCGCTGAGTCACATCAGCGTTCACACTGGGGCCCTTGAAACGGTAAAAGGTAACTTTAGCTTGCTACGTTTAAAATGGGTCGTCCTGTTATTACATGTGTTGCAAACATCATGCTACAACTTTGATTTTTTAAATATTTGATAACTACATGTCCGTGTAGTTGTTGGAATCCAGGTGTTCTGTGTATTTAAAAGTGTCTAATCAGAGTCTGTATAAAACCGGCAGGATCTGAGTAAGATCTGCGACTTGTTTCCATTTCTTGTCTTCTTTTGTACAGCTATGACACTGTACGAGTCATACAAGAAATGACCACTGGGAGACACTAGATGGAGGGTACCCAGGACGCTTTTGGGGGGCAATTTCCTGTGAATTTACGTTTATTTCAAACACTCCACAGAAGGGGCCCCTGGGCTCTGCCAGATTGCCAGAGGCGCCCGTGGTGCCGGAGAGGGCAGGGGGCTGCCCAGTGAGAGTGTCTGCGTGCGTTCCTTCCACCCGTTGGAGCAAACGAAGGGCACGCAGATCCACTCGGCGGGAGCCCGCCGAAGCCCCGGGTGCACTGGGGGTACTCACTGGAACCTGATGGATGCCTCCTCCAGGTAGTAGATGTCGAACAGCCAGCGGAGAAAGACGTCCAAACTGGAAGCAAGGACAAGGCAGGCCCTTAGTTAGTGAATCTATGAACCCAGGCCTGGGGTTCAATTCTCCCTTAACTGGCTTCCGTTGCCCAAGCCCCAAGGCCTCTTGCGCCCTAACATTCCAGCTGGCCAGCCCACATCGCCTCTTCTCCTTCTCATGCTGGGCCTTCCTGCCTCTGACCCTCTGGCCTCCCGGCTCAAGGCCACCTCCTTCAGCAAAACTTGGCCCGCCATGTCTCCCACAGCGCTCTCTCTGTTCTCTGAAACTCTGCCGTGTGTTGGCCGCGTTTTCCCCAGCTGGGGCTTTCAGCTAACGGGTGGGGTTGGCTTGTCACCCCAGCACAATGATACAGTCTTTGAAGGCAGAGGTCGTGGTTGGCACCTTAGAGTTAGCATGGCACCTGGGCCACGCTAGGCTCATGGCAGGCACTGGACTGTCCACTGAGGAATGGGTTTACCGTGGCCACAGGGCGACCTACAGTGTCTGCGTGAGCAGGTTCCAGCGCGAGGGCAAGCCGGGCTGAGGGAGGAGGAACGCTCGGGCGGGAGGTACCTGGTCAGCCCCATCGAGGGCAGAATGACCACCATGAACACCAGAAAGATGTAGCACTTGTGCACCACGAACAGATTCTGACTTGACCTGGAAGGAAACAAAGAGAGATTCATCTGTGAGGTAGACACGCTAGGAGCCAAAGGCTGCAAACCCCAGGAGGAGGAGAGAGAGAGAGGCCACTCCCTGGCCTAGAAAGTTAACAGCTGCAGGAAAGAACAGCATGATCGACTCGTGATGTCTGCTCTGGGCCCTGGAAGGGGGGGCGTAAGGGCCTTGAACTTTGCGTCTGTTAAAGGGACATGACTGGGGATGCTCAGAATCCCTTTAGAGTGTCCATAACTAACGTAAGCCCTGCTCTTGGCCACGGGAGGAACCAGTGAGGATTTGTCAGGACAAGCCTCCTGGCTTGCTGCCCGGTAGAATGGTAGGTAGGAGCTATTGGTGCAGGAAATAGCTTTGGAGACCCATGTAGCCTTCAGGCCAAAGCAGGCCCACCTGCGCCGGGAGGTAATAGCCACTCTCTATCCGGCTGGCCCCCACAGAACCAGGAGGGCTAACAAAGGGGAGACAGTGCCTGACCATCTGAAAGGGGGGCACTCTAGGGGCCGCACGGGTCTGTGGTCGGTCTGCATGTGCGGGCCCCTCTGCCATGGCCTGGCAGCCTTCCTGACGTTCTCCACGCGAGTCTGGTCCTCTCCCTCTCATCCGTGCCCTCCGCCCGCCCCTCGGCCCACAGCTCCCTCCCCTTGGGGCGCGGTCGAAGGTGGAGGGAGCTGCTCAAAAACACCTGGTCTGGGCCCCACATTCCTTATGGGGGGTCCCTGTCTCAGCATCCCTGAGGCCAGAGGCCCAGGGACCACCCAGTCTCCCCTTTCGGGATGGTGTCAGGTAGCCAACTCCATTCCTCAGGCCGGACGGGAGGACAGCACACCAGGCAGGTGGGTGGTGGGGGGCTGGCAGGGGAAGGGCTGGGAAGAGCAGGCCTAGGAGAGGAGGCCCCAGCTCACCTGGTCCAGTGGGCCTCGAGGAAGGTAGAGAGGTAGACAATGAGAGGCAGGATCACTGTGAAGGCCCAGAGCATCAGGGAGGGGAAGAACTGGGTCACGATCGGGCTCTGCAAGGGTGGAGCCGAGGACGGCAGAGAGACATCAGTGTGAGAAGGTCCCTTCTCCTTCTGGGCCTCCTCTGCCTTCTGCCACATGCCTGGCCTCTTCTCCAGCTCAGTCCCTGAGTGGGCCAGGCTCCCCTGCAGCTGCACAGTGGGCCCGGCCTTTCTCACCTGTCTCAGTGGCCAGAGGTCTGCCTGGATGGGGGCGGGTGGAGGCCAACACCCCCAGGCCAAGTGGCACCCTCAAGGGGCACAGACCTATGCTGAGGTCCCTAGAAGGGCAGCCTGGGCTGGAATCAGCTGCTGTCCCTCACGTCTGGTACCCCAGAGAGATGACACCGTCTTTAATGTGATGCTGTGTGAGAAGTGGTGAGAAGGGGGAAAGGATGTGAATAAAGAGTCCCCAGGGACAGCCGTGGAGCCCCAGCCTGACCCTATTGTGAAGGTGACAGAGGAGGGCAGAAGTAAGCGGTGGGAGTGTGAGTGTGTGTGTGTGTGTGTGTGTGTGTGTGTGTGTGTTGCTAGAACAGAGAAGACAATAATCTGGAAAGAGCGGCCTTCCAGGCCATGGTGACAGCCTGGAGGCCACGGAGTCAGGAGTGGGCCAGTCGGCTCCTCTGGACCCCTGTCAGTGCAGAGCCTCCCCTGGCGCCAGCAGGGGCTCCTGCGGGGCCCAGCTCACCCATCCCGCACCCCGTGTGCCTGTAGTGAGAGATCCAGAAACAGGTCTGGGCGCTGCTTCTCCCCGAGGGCCGTGCTGGAACTTACCTCACTCTTCCCGCCCTCAACCCTGTCCCACAAACGTGGGCCCCAGCTCTGGAGAACTCGGGGAGAGCAGTGCTGTCCCACTGGCCGCACCCTCTGATGCCCCTTCCGTACCCCTCGCAGGCCAGGGTGGCTGACTGAACGAAGCCCTCAGAGCCCACGAGGAACTGAACACCCCCTCCCCCCAAACTCCCCCCAGAACCTGCCTGCAGCTCCTCCGCTCTCTCTGTGCTCCCCAGCCCCAGGCCCTAACGTGGTGGGCAGCCACCCGCCTCCATCCCCTTTGGAACAAAGGAAACTCAATGCCACCATTTACACTGCTGCCACCTCTCCCAGGTGGGCTCCGGAGCTGTGCCCCCCGGGCCCCCCACTCCATCCTCGCCAGAGCTCCATGCCTGGCCTGAGCAGAGGAGGTACCTGCAGCTTCTCGATGGGGCGAGTGACATTGTACATGTCAAAGGTGTTGATGATGATGGCCGGTGTGGTGAGGAAGAAGAAGAGGAAGAAGAGGAAGGTGTTGATCGTGATGAAGCGGGCCCACCAGTAGAAGCGGCGAATGGACAGGTTTTTCCTGGAGAGGGGTGGGGGAAGGGGACACCCTTAGGACCCCGGGTCCCAAACCTCAGATGAGCCCCTGTGCTGTTTCCTGCAGGCCAGCGGCGGGCCCGGGCTGCCCTGGTCTGACTCAGCCCCTTGGACCTGGACCTTCCCTCAGTTGCACTATTTGCAAAAGCTCTGAATGCACTGCATGGGTGAGCCTTGCCCCCAAAACAGGTGAGTTCTTTCTGCAGGAAAAACCTTTCCCCCAAGGGCTGGTGCCCTCCACGCTTGTGGTGAGGTGGGCTTGGGGCTGGGCGGCGGCTGTGGTGACCGAGAGGGGACGTGCCCAGCCCAGTGGGGCTGCAAGTGGGCAACAGAGTTGCCAGGGGCCCCAGTTCCTCTCCCCATCCTGTTGCCTGTTGCTTTCTCCAGTCTCAGAGGAGCTCAAAGGAGAGGGGAGGGCAGAGGGGGCTTACCAAATGATGTCTTTGGGGTGTGGGGCAAGGGCAACCCTCCAGTGGTAGGATTTGAGGACGGTGGTCACCGAGGACTGTTGGGGGTACACGCCACACTGGATGTACTTGTAGTCCTCCAGGATGCTGTGGAGATGGGGGGAGGGGACAGAAGTCTGGGGGTGAGGATGACAGGCTTGGAAGGGTCCCAGGCCAGGGCTCCATAGGTGGGGGCTCACACACTTCCTGGGGCCTCTTGGAGCCTTGGGCATGTCTCCCAGGACCCTGCAGGTGGGCAGTCCTTGGGGTCTAGGTGCAGGAGGAAAGGGGCGTTAGAGGAAGGGACTGCCCAGGGAGGGAGGGGTCCACATGGTTCTCGGTTAATGTCTCAGACCCTTAACAGCAGTGACAGCACACAGACCTGCGCTTTCTCCGAGCTTGACAGGGGAGTACTAATCTCACCCTCATCTAAATATCAACGTCTGCAGTCAGTGCGTGCTCTGCCTGTGCCCGGCACCGTGCGAGGTGGTGATGGGCATAATCCCAACTGGGAGAATTACTGTATCAATTAAGGTGCCTGAAGACACAACCAGAGGGGGGCACGTGCTGGCCCTGGACCCCCATCTTCGATCTCATGCACGTGTCCGCTGTTAATTAAACCTCACATCTACTCTACTGAGTGATGATGTCACAGAAAATGAGCAGTATCGTCTTCTGTAGGTGTGTTGTTTTATGTAACACACACTAATTAGAAAATCTACCCCTTCTTAACCCTCTGGGAGCTGGATGGGGAAGATAGAAGTAACCAAGTTTAACATATAAGAAATCTGAGAGTGTAAGTGGTGTGCAAAATTGCCCACGATTATCTGCAACGAAACTCTAGGCTGCCTGCTCTTCCCGCGCGGGGCTGGGTGGGCGAGGGCGGCTCCTCGGGGAGAGGTGGGCCCACACGCCTCAGGAGGGTGATTCTGGGGCTCTCACCCATTTGACCCAGTCCTAAGGATCTAAGGCTCCTTCCAGAACATCCCAGAGTGGGCCCCATCCACTCCCTATTGAGGCGGGGCTGCCAGAGGCTGGGGCAGAGGGGCGGCCAGCAGCAGGAGAGGGGAAATGGCGAGCTGAGCTTCTCTGCCCTGGGCGGGGGCAGGGGGGACGTGACGTGTGATGAGGGAGGAAACTGGTATCATTCTTGTCCCAGAACAGGGGCCACGAGCTCAGAGGCTACTCTGACTGCTTCATGCTGAAGCAAGGGCGCATGGGGAGGAGGAGCCCACGGCCCGATATCTCTGGGGACAGGCTGGGCCTGGCAGCGGGGATGGGAACAGGGATGCAGCCAAGCTCAGGCGGGCAAGGGCAAGAAGGGGGCTGCCTGCGAGGCCCGGGAGGGTTGGGGGGAGATCAGGGTACGGCAAACCGGAGGGAGGCTCGCTCCTCCTTCCCTCGGCTGGAACGAGGGTGAGGGAAGGTGGCGTCAGGGAAGCAGAGGCCGGCTCTCGGGGCTGGGCAGGGCTAGCCCTGGCACTCACTGCTTCGTCATCCTGGAGTCCTGGAAGGTGACGAAGATCAGGTCCAGACGCTTCAGCCGAACTCGGTTGAACTCAGCGTTGAACTCGTCGGTCAGCTGCTCCTCCAGCTCACTGTAGTACTGCTCTGCGTCTACCTGGGGCGAGACACAGCCCTCCGAGCTGGTGGGGCTGAGCTCCATCCAGGGAGGCCTCGCCCGGGTGGGCTGAGGCTGCTTTCCGCTCAGCAGCCCGGGGACGGGGATGGTGGGCCTGCGGTCTCAGTTCCACCCCCAGCTCCTTCTGCAGTCTGGCTCAGGACCCCAGGGGGGCTCTAAGAACCCAACTGTAGAACAGGAAGAGGCCATGACTCTGAAGTTAGCTCTCTGCTCTTACATCTGGGGGAAGTAAGGCACAGCTGGGGGCCGGGGGCGGGGGGTGCGTTCAGACTTAGGATGGACCCCAGAGAAGTGAAAGAATGCGTCTGCGGCATTCTCAGGAAAGGGGGAGGATTGTCTCTGGACCAGGGTTAAGAGCTGTCCTGAGGCAGGAGTTCAAGTCTTGGGGCTGCCTTTTAGGCACAGCTGGGTGAGTGACGAGATGGGCCTGCCATCTTCACACGTTCACGTCCTATCTCCCTGTCCTCGGGGAGGCTGGCAGGCCGCAGCAGCCTACTGCATTCCCTCCGGTCCTCCCGGCCAAGACCGGAAGTGGGCCGGAGCCAGCCTCCCTGGGCGCTCTGCCGGTGGCTGGGAAAGTCTTCCTCTCCTCTGCATTCTCAGCCCAAGGCAGGCGGGGTGGGAAGGAAGGGAGGAAGGTGCTGCGGCCCCAGAGCATGCTGAGTGGGCCTGGGGCCTGGGGGTGCGCTGCCCGAGTCCTGGACACAGTCTGGGGACCCAGTGCCACAGCCCCTCCTCTGTGGTGCCCCCGGACACCTGTGCCACTTACCTCTTTGAAGCAGGTCCAGCACTTGCAAAAGCACAGGCGAGAGCAAGGGTGGGTCTTGATCATCACCTTCCCACTCTTCTTGGCCTTGGCTGTGTAGTAGAGCCGGCCCCGCATTGCATGGCGCCTGTCAGCCAGGAGGCAGTGGAGGGCGGGGCGGGGAGGGAATCTCGTGGTCAGGGGCCAGCAGAGCCACATCCTTCCCTGCTGCCCCCACCCCAGGTCTCGACAGGCCCCACTGCAGCCTCACCTCTGATCGTCCAAGTCAATCAGGTTCCTGACGTCGTAGCAGAAGTGGACTCTGGTCACCACGCACCCTGGGTAGGCCTCTCTGCAGCCACAGACAACAGATGCTGAGCCCGCCGTGGGGCTGGGACGGTGCCCCCGGCCCTGTGCCCACAGCGACAGCCCGCAGAGCTGGGTGGCACCACCGCCTGTGGTTCCCGGGTCCTGGGTGGAGCATCCAGCTCTTGCCCCTAAAGCCACACTTCAGGGTTGATCCCTGGTGACCTGAGACTGGCCACATCCTCCCCAGATGACCCAGAACAGGGCCAAAGGGCAGAGCTGGAGGTCGCTGCTTACGGAGAGATAATCAGCTCCTGCAGCTGGGAACCTGGGTCACATAAGATGTGTCGAGGTGACCTATTCTAGATGACTGTGGCCTAGGACCTCCCTGGGCTTGTCATTACAACAACAAGGGAAAGGAAGACGCGTTCTCCCCACCGTCCACACCCAGGCCACTCGGGGAACTCTGATGTCAGAAGCCCTGCTGTGGCTCTAGGACTCCCCCGCCCTGAAAGCCTGGTCCTTAGCCCAGTCCCCGGCAAACCTCCGCCTGGGGCATCTCTCTCCCCACCCACCTGTGCCGACTCGCTATCCAGCACGGGGACCGGGAGGGGCGACCCGTGCTCAGACCGCCAACCCACTTACTGGAAGTGCTTAATGATGACTTCTGGGTCTTGGATGTCTCTGGGGACATAGGTGATCATCAGTGTCCTTGAGACCTAGGTGGGGAGGGTGAATGAAGAAGTGAGACGGAGTGCACACAGGGCTCCTGGGTGTTGGGGGCTGTGGGTGGCCCAGGAGCTTCTGGAGCAGGCCTTCCACTGGCCACCCCGGCAGGCGGGAGCACTCGGGGGAACCGTTCAGGGGTACGTGGGTCTGGGTTCTGGGGTGAGGTGAAGTCAACCAGTTGATTAGGGTGGGTGGTCTCGAAGGAGCTGATTCTGCCCACTGAGCCTCTGAAAGGCTGAGGGCAGAAGCCAAGGACGGTCCTCCCCTTCCCCACCAGAGCCGGCCAGTTCGCACGGCCCTCCCTCGCCCTGCCTGCCCCCACCCCTGCTCTGTCAGCCCCCAGAGACCCCCAAGCATTTTGAACACCGGGACTCTGCTGAGGCCCTGTCCTGGCCTGGGGAGCACGCCCAGCCCACTTGCATGCGGGGCGCAAGGGGTGGAGGAGAGTTAAAGCCCCCAGACGCAGCCTCAGCCTCAGCCACTGACGGACAGGGCACCGCCGGGAAGTGCCGCCCCCGGCTGCTCCCCACCGCTCTCCCTGGGACGCTCTCTGGCCGTGCTCTCCTCTGACTCTCCCAGCTCCCCGTGGGGTTCGGTGCCAGCTCCCACCGTGGTGAGTTGCCCCTTGCTGCCCCCTTTTATCAGAGGTCTTCTCTCCCAGGATCACTGACCCCCCCCACCAGTGGTTTTTTCTGGGATCACCTCCCAAATAAGCCAGTGCTGTTCAAATCCTGTCTTAGGGTCTGCTTGGGAAGTGGTGGTTGGGGGGAGGGTAGATAACACAAACCAAGACAGTGGGGAGACATGGGGACTGAACATGGAGTCTCTGACCTCAGGAAGATTCTGGAAGGCTCAAAAGGTCGGGCATGGCTGGAGTGGGCAAGACTAGGGAAAATATTTAGCCAGTGGCTCAGCAGGGGGCACTGGCCCTTTATGATGCCGGTCTAAGCATTTCCTCACTTATGAGTTTCCAGACGGTGAGGAGGTCCTGAGGTCCCTGGAGAGGGGACAGGGCAGCAGGGGTGGAGGGGCAGGAGGCACCTAGGAGCAGCTGTTTACCGACAAGATTGGAAACGGCTCAGTGGTTTAACACCTGGGGTGCCAGGTGCTGGTTCGCAGGGCTAAGCGGGGACTGCTCCCCACGGCGGTGCAGCTGAGCAGCCCTGGAGGCTGGGACTGGCGGGGTCCAGCTGGGGAGGGGCCTGGCTGGGGGAGAGCAGTCCTGGGCGTTCTTTTCATTACCTTGGAGCTCTTCTTGAGCACAAACCCTGAGCAGTGATGAGTCATAAACAAGAGGTTGGTGATGAAGTAGAGGAAGGAGAAGAAGCTATGCAGCCACAGGATCTTACTCCTGCCAGGAGCAAGACACAGGAGGGTGAGACCCCCTCTCCCACCCACAGTCTCCCCATGCCCCCTCGCCCACACACACAGTGTCCCCCGACCCCCCTCTGGCGCTTCCAGACACTGGGGCACCTGGAGGGAACAGCTGTGGTGGGACGAGTGTGTCCCGCTCTAGCTAAAGGAGGTTACCGTTCTCTGCGTGCTTGCTATATGCCGGGCCCAGGGCGGGACTAGATGGCTTGGCATACGTGTTCTCACTAGACTCTCACACCACACAAGGGCAGGACTGTGACTATCTTTATTTTACCTCTAGGGAAACAAGGGCCAAGGTGGTAGGGGAGCCGCCTGAGGTCATTCCTAGCCGCAGCAGAAACAGTGAGACTTCACTGCTATGTCACCACTGGGTCATGCTGCCAGTGGCTGCGACTCCGACCTCCACTGCTGCCTGACCTCTGGGACGTGGGAGTCCGGGGTCCCAGGCAGGCCTGGAGGGAGGAGGGCCTGGCAGACTGGTGATACCTCCCACGGGGCAGGAAGAGCGGTGACACTTGGGCTGTGGGCTCCCGTGACACTGTCCCAAGGCATCTGGTCAGGATGACTGTTCAGAAATAGGGCTACCGTAGCTGGTGCCGTTTGAGAAGAGGAAGGCTTGCCTGGCTTCGAAATACCTCCTCGCCGTTTGCGCCGGTGCCTGACACTTCACCTAACGCTCCCCATCTAGCTGGGCGCTCAGTCGGCAGCTTCCTCAGAGGGGTCCCTGAGGGGCATTCCAGCTCTGTAGCCAGTGTGGATTTATGGGTGTTGCAGGGGCTTTGCTGCCTTAGCTAAAACTGTTGGGAAGGTGTGGGAGCCTCATGCCAGTGGCGGCCTGGGCAGAAGCTGGTGAGCCCTGCTCTGGGGTCGGCGGCACTGCAGGAGGGGCTGGCTGAGAGGGCGGTGAAGAGAGACCACGGCTGCATCCTGCTGGTTGGGGAGCTGGTTGCTGGTTGCTGAGGGATCGCAGGGGTGCAGAGGCAGGGGGCTGGGAGTGGGGAGGGCGGGCAGGAGCATGCGAACCTCCACTCACACCTGCTGGAGCTACCGCTTCCCCTGTCTCAGGAAGTCGGCCGAGCCTGGCCAAGACACCTGGAGGGCCCATTTTCCCAGCACGGACCAGGGAGGTCCCATCTGCCAACCTGATTTGGATACCCATTGGGTTGGCTGACATGAAAAATCTATGGTTCCTAGGCCGCGAGGCCTAGAGGAAGCTTAGAGATCATGGCCAACAGCCCTTCCCCAACCACAGACTAGTAATGCAGCTCAGAGGGGCAGACGCACTGTCCCAGACCCGGGGCCGGCTAACGGCAGACGGGGGGCATGAACCCAGGTTCCTCCATCCCTCCACTGTGGTCTGTGCTTCACTCCATTACCTGGCCCCATTTTGTGGGCAGCGAAGCAATACCTCAAACCTCTACTTGCTATGGGGTCATGGCCTGCTGGGAACTTGGACACACTAAGCAAATAGGGCCATCTGTCTGAGTCTTCAGGAGCGGCTGGTCTGGGTTGTTCCACCCATCATAGAGACACTATACAGAGACGCCCATTACAGGGGACGCTGAGGCACCAGCAGTCCTGCCCCCACCAAGAGAGTTCGACTGTTGGCATCTCACTTAGCACCTGGGTTCCCAAGGAAACCAGGCCTTTCTTGTCCACCAAGAGGCACCCATGTTACAGACCCACACACTGGACTACCCCCCCTCTTCCACCAACACCCCCGCCAGTAGAATGGGAGGTAAGAGGGTCAGGTACCTACTCTGTGGAGACATTGATGATGGTAGTCCGGCCAAAGTGACTGTTCTTTTCTGAAGGAGAAAGAAGCTGACCTCAGGCATGGCGCTTGGTGTGGTGCCAGAATTCCAGCTTCTCGAATAAGTGCCCGAGGCCCACGATCTGCTCGTCCTTTGAGTTCCCCAGAACTGGCCCCCAACTCCCAACAGAAACAGCAGAGGCCTCCTCTTCTCCCTGCGTCTGCTGACTGGGGCTCCTCAACCAGGGAGCTAAACCCAGTCTTGGTGCGGCATCCCCAGAGCATGGCCGACACACAACTGACACCTGGTAGGTGCTTGTTGGGGGAACCTAAGTCCCGCCCTGGGCAGAATGATGGACTCAGTAGCACCGTCACCACTGGCCGTGGCTACAAGAACCCGAAACTCCAGAAAACGTGGGGCTCCCTCATTTGGACAGACTAAACCCTCCGGCCAAGTGTGCCAGTTTGTCAGTTTAGACACCTCCAGGTCTGGTGAAATGTGTCTAGAAACCCTGCATTCTCCTGTCACTGCGGACACCCTGGCTCAAGATGGGAATCTGGGCGGACGGGCTCAGCAGTTGTTTGCTTTGCTGGTGGTGCCTGGTGGCGTGGACGCCGCGTGCTACGTTGAGTTCACTGAGGTCTACTGGTCTACCTCTGGCCAGAGGGGAGAGAAGTAGAGACCTGAGCAATCAGGTAAAGCTGGCTGCCGCCTGGGCACTTAAGGTACAGCTCTACACCACCTAGTTGTATAGCCTTCATACAGCCCTTCCCGTGTCCAGGTGAGGCACTGGCTGTCACTCATGGAGCACCTCCCACAGCGGCACTGTGCCGGGCACTCGGCACGCACTGTCTCTCCATTCCCATGATGGTCCGGGAGACCAGGGCCTGGGGGGATCGACTTACCAAATAGAAGATGAAATAATTTGCTACACTGGGCAAAGGCAGTTTCTGGGAAGTAGACGTGGGAATCAAGATTTTTTTTTTTGCCTTTGAATCTCAAGCCCTCGCCCACGATGTTATTTTGTCAAAAGGACTTAACTCATTATAACAAGTGTGGGAAGAAGCCTCATGAGACAAATTCTGCACCTACAACCTGTGCCCATCAGTGTGAAGACAATCAGGTCCGAGGGCTTCACAGGTCAGAAAAGGGCCTCCAGGAATACCTGGCCAGGTCTGCGCTGCATGGGGTCAGAAATAAACGTTCGGTTCTAGACTGAGTTACTACTAGTGTCTGCTAGGTGCCAGGGGCCAGGTTAAACTTGTGACAAAAGAGGGATCATCTCCAGTCTCCAGGTGACAAAAACCGAAGTGTGGGTTGCCCGAGGTGACATAAGCACGGTAATTACGAGACGTGGAGTTAGAATGTAGACTCCTGGGACCCAGACTCTGGCCCGCCTACCAGCCCAACCCCGAGGTCTAGTGGCCGAGGCCCAGGGCCTGCCGAGCTCTGCCTACCCAGTTGGTTCCCAGTGTAGTTGATGGGGAGGATGATGCCCAAGGACGGGATGCAGAGGATGAACACAAATATGATGAGATGGTACTGGAACGAGATGTAGATGCGGGCATCGTCTCCACACTTGCTGATCAGATCTTTGTTCCTGGAAGAGACACAGACAAGGACATTCATGCCCCAGGAGCCAGGGCGGCCACGGCCTCAGTCGGGGGTGGGGAGCGGGTAGAGGAAAGGGAGAGAGGATCACCCCCTTGGCCCCAAGTTGGAGTTTTTGTATGAAATATCACCACTCCTTCTAAAGCCACTGCTATGCCTGGAACATACTCCACTGAATTCCACAGGCTCATCAGAGACGGAGGCTGTGTCGCGCGTAGGAACACAGAGGCGCTCTCGTCTTTCCACAAGGAACAAGACCGCTCCCACCTGCTCCCGTGACTTCGGCTGCAGCCTCTGTGCCCCCATCTAAACCACCGGCTCCACATTTTGTCCTGAGCTCTCATCCTGTTTTTCCAGTGGCTTGCTGGTCAACTCACATGCTTGGCCTGGCCGGGTCTCAGCATTTTCCCAACTCATCGTGTCCCGCCGTCTTCCAGCTAGAGGCGTCACTGTTCTCCCCAGAAACGAGGCCTTGGTCTCGCCCTCTTTCTAACCCAGGTGGGAGCCGTGGCCCACTGACTGCAGCCCCTGAGCTCTGGTGCCTGTGCCCCCTCCCCGCTGTTTCCCTAGCCACCACCTCCTCTCACCTGGGCACTGGAAAAGTCTCCTCGGCTGCTCACCTTGCCTTCAAACCTTCCCTGCTGCCATTCACTACCCACCTGCCCCCTGGAGTCCTGCCTGTACACGGACACCATCCTGAGTTTCCTGTTCAGAAAGAGTAATTGCTGCCCTGGCTGGTGTGGCTCAGTTAGTTGGAGCATTGTTCCATAAACAAAAGGTTTTGGGTTCGATTCCCAGTCAGGGCACATACCTAGGTTGCGGGTTCTATCCCTGGTCTGGGAGCGTATTGGAGGCAACCAGTCTATGTTTCTCTCTCACATCAGTGTTTCTCTCCCTCCCTTCCTCTCCCCAAGGAAAAAAAAACATGAAAAAATGTCTTCAAGTGAGGATTAAAAAAAAAGTAATTGCTCCCTACTGCCTTAGGATGGTAGTCAAGATACCAGCTGAGCCTTCGAGACCTTCTCTTGCCACGCACCCTTGCTTCCAGCCACTTCAGAAGAACTGCCACTTCGGAACACCTCCTGCCCATCTCTGCCCCAAACCTTTGCTCTCACAGTCCTTTACTTCCAACAGGCCCTCCACATCACAGCGGTCGAAATTCTTCCCATCCTTCAAGGCCTAGCTCAAAACCCTGCTTCTCCTGATCCTCCTAGATGGAACTAATTTTTTGCTCTCCTAAATGCCCTTCGCACAGCAATTATAAATGCCCCCCATTATGAAATTATACATAGCGAGTCTTGTTAACCCTTCACTTCTCCAACTAGACTGCACGGCCTTAATGCACTGGGATGCTGGCCTCCTTATCCCTGCTCAGTAAGTGTGTTAGGCTGTCTTCTAGGCATTGCCCTCAAAGTGAGCAGGATGCGTAGTGCACTGTGCAGCCTCCCTCCCTCCCCTGACAATGTGTTCCTGATGGAGGGGCCTTTGGGGGCAGGCAGGGGGAAGAGGGTGCTCACACATGCACACACGCGCGTGCACACACACACACACACACACACACTGGCCTCCCGCTGGCCTCCACGCCCAGGCATGCACACACAAACAGTCGTGCACACAGACACGCACCAGTGCAGTGACCTGCATCTTTTATTTCATACTCACATGCACACCACAGACGCTGACGACATGAAGCTTTATGTTCTACACATATGCCCTGACCTCCGCACACAGACACCTTTTCCCCTGCCCCTTGAATATCCACTGACAGGCCGGCAGGCAGCAGAGCAAATCCAGAAAGTCGGCCTCGGACCTGAGTATGTGGGCAGTGTAGGCAGGCTCCCATTCTCCGTTTTTCCTCCCCTTTCCCATGCACAGGCTGGCTGATTTGCCATCATTCATCAGCTTGCTAAACCCAGGGACCTAGAGCTAACCCATATAGCTTCCCAGGGCAAACAAGCTCCAAATGCTCTCATGCATTATTGGTTATTTTCTAAATGCAAAAATAGTAGACACTTGTTGAAAAGAAAAGAGAATCCCCTGAAACTGTGACAGGATTGCCCCTGCAGAGCAGGTTCGTGAAGAGGGGCATGAGAGACACAGGTGGACTTTCATGTTTCTCTTAACGAAATGCATGCGTGTGAGCTTGTGCATGTGTGTGAGCTTGTGCATGTTTCAAAACCTAACAGAACAAAACTAGAGAAGGTGCCCAGAAAAAAAGTCTCCTCTCCGCTCTCCCCAACATGTGGTTGAGCTTCCTGAGCCACACACAAATTAGCCACATTGCTTTCTGGGGACTCTGAAGAATCATGAAGGAAGGCTGGGGGGAGTTCCCCATCAGTGGGGTTGGGGCTCCAACACCAGGGGTGGCCAGGAATAGCAGTCCTATGCGTGTCTGCAAAGAAGCAGATGAGCAGGCCGTCCAGGCCCCCTGAAGCAGGCGGCCCCTGGAGGCAGTGAGGGGGCGCCCGAAGGCGGGCACCACCAGGCAAGAAAGGGCCCTGCAGGAAGGGCCTGAAGGACGAGCCGGGCAGGATGAGTGGGGATGCTTAGGGAGAGCCCAGGAACGCACAGGACGCTGAGGCGGAGGCAGAGCTGTGTGCGTGTGTGCGTGCATGCATGTGCACATGTAAACACATATGTAGTGGGCATGGAGCTCTGGTAAGTATCTGCTTGACCGATATGTGTGTCTGGTATGGGGGAAGAAGGACGACACAGGTGACTTGGGGCCTCTCTCCTTGCCAAACGGGGTCTGGCCGTACGAGGTGCAGAAGGTGAGGTGGGCGAGGGGCTGTCCCTCCGCAACCAGGCGCTGGTTCATGCAGAGAGGAAGCCTACCCTTCTGCCCTGTGTGTTCTTTTTTTTTCTATTTGACAAGCGTGATGAGTGATGGTCACAGAAACAAAGCAAATAGCACACAGGAAGGAGTTCTTTTTTCCTGGTTTGGAGTTCATAAAAGCATTTTTACAAGCATCTGAAATGGTCCTCTCTTGAGAGCTGGGATAGGGACAGAGTGGGCTGCAGGCCACGTCCAGTTCCCATGCCACCAGCAGTAACCCGGAGCACCCTCTGCTGGAGCCATGCGGGGGTGGTCAGTGGGGAGTGGGGTACAGAACTGAGGCCCGGGCCTGTCATGCAGGGTAGGCGACTCCGCCCCACCCCGCCCCCAAATAAGGCAACTCTGCTGTCACAAACTCGGAAAGCTTGGGCACTTACTTCATGGTGATGGTGTTGAAGAACCAGGAATAGAAGCCCTGGGGGGAAAGGAGAGAAAGCATGAGAAACTCCAGCTCTGGGAACCCAGGCAGCAGGTGCGTCACCCAAGGCTGTGTCCATGTGGGGACTCCTCCTCAGGTGGGAGACCTCAAGACAGAACCTGTGTCCTGGGAGGAAGCTGATATGGCCTGGAATCAGTAATGACTGTGGAGGGAGATGCCCCATTAGTAAGTCACCATCCCTGCCATCTGGTGTCCGGCTATGGGAAATGAGGGCCTGGGCTAGAGGGAGAGAAGGGACTCCTCTCTGGGGTGGACATTGGTTGCTTTCCACCTGCCCCTCATTGCTTCCTTCTGGGAACTGCCCCTCCCCATGTCTGATGGGCTGTCCATCAAGTAGGCAGCTGCCACCAATGGTCAGGTGACCAAGGGGACCATGACTCAAGTAGGGCCAATCAGAATTCTCTTACGGGGATTGATGTGGGTGCTGGGAGAGAGGGTCCCCCTCCCTCTGAATGCCATGAAGCCAGAAGTGGCGTGGTGCTGTTGATGCCAGGCGCAGGATCATGTCTGATGGAAAAGGCCCGTTCGGATGAGAAAGAACCAGAGAGGGGATCCTGCCGGCAACTCTAGGCTTCCTGATCTAGCTGTACCTGAAGCAGCTGCTCCTCTTGTACTTCCCCACACTCGAGCCACACATTACCCTTTATTGTAAGACTTTTGAGCTGGGTTTTATCTCGCGTATCTGAGGGTCCTGCTGGTTATGCCTTTCTCTTGGGGTCTTGCTGTGTGGAGTTTCTGGGTGGTGGGGAGAGGTGGCCTCGGCCTTGGGGGGTGGGGCTGGGAGGGCCTAGAGAGGGAGTCAGCTAAGGGAGACTGTGTGAGCAGGGGCTGGGATACATGGCTGTAAAAGCTGCCAGATCTGGTTAAGTTACCCTGGTGCATGCGTCTTTTTGGGACCCCAGAGGGTTTATAGCAAAACCTTGGGAAAGGTTGCAGCTCCTGATTGGCCCCATTTGGGTCATGAGCACGTCAGTGAACCAGGCAGTCCCATTGGTTGATGGCCCTCTGGAACCACAGGCACTGGGGAAGGGGGTATGTCCCAAAAGGGAACAACGCAGGGCACACAAACAAGAAAAGGAGGAAGTTCCTTGCTGCCTTCTGCATAAGGCCCACCTTCTAGGTGCCCCTCCTTGTGTTGGGTTGATTGACAATGGGAATGTCCACTCAGGGAGTGTCCACTGCAGGGGCCCCATTTCCCCAGCTACATCTTGGAGAACTAAAATAAGGTCGGATGCCCAGGAATGCGTCAGAGCCATGACGAGGACCAGCAGCATGGTGACGGCAGCAGCGGCTGGGAAGATCCCCAGGGAGGGGCTGACGTGCAAGAAAAGACTTGGGCTGAGAGTCCCCACGCCACCCCTCCCCGCACAGAGTCTCTCCCCACAGCCTGCCTCTGGGCAAACAGGGCTGTGAGTTCCTGAGGGAACAAGCAGGTTTGTTGATGGCTCCTCGGGGTCATGCACAGTGGAGGGCACACCTTCCCCGGAATCATTGCCACCCCTTTGCTACAGGTGCACAGGCGTTTGCCACACAGGGTACATACATGTCCTGGAATTCACACAGGACAGGACCATTGCAAAAGGGCAGAGCCAGAAAGTAGAAGTGTGGCCTGGGTGCCCATGAAAATCACAGATGTGCGAGTGAGCACGTGTGGGCTCACCTCTCTGTCTCTCCTCACACGCACCCCCCTGTATGTACATGCCGTAGCTCAGAAAGGCATAACCCATTCAGAAAACTTAGCAGCTGAACAGTGGGCCTGAGGAGCAGATGCCACCTCCCCTCCACTCCCCACCCCTGCAGGAAACGGCCACACGTTTCCAGGGGCCAGCTCAGCTGATAAGACCGAATGACAGTGCTGGGTTCACTGCACGTGTCTTGGTGGCCCTATCCTCCCCGCTCCGCTCTGACACATGCACAGTGGCCGCTGCCCTGGCTGGCGCGGGGCACGCTGGGAGCCCTGTTTGCGTCCCACACCCCTCAGCCCGGCTCGGACTGCCGTCCTGGCTGGGGCACTCTCCCTCCTTGCCGCATTTCTACTGTCTTCAGTTTGACTGCCCTTAGCCACTGTAACAATTTCGCTTCTTAGATACTTTTTACATAAAATGATTTTTTTGGTCATTTTAAATTTAACTACCAACCAAAGTGGTGTTTCTACAAAGAAACCCAAGAGCCACGTTGCAAGGTAAGTGCGCCTGCCCCTACCCTATGGAGGAAGGACCTGTCCGAGGCTCCCCACTCCGACTGGCAGATCCTGGCCAGTAAGGGGACTTGGTGCCGGGAGGGGTGACAATGGGAGGAGCACGTTCCTACTCACTCACTGGGCCCGGTAGATCTGTGTGGCGTCCTAACCACACAGCAGGCCGGGCTGGGCGCCGGGACAGCGGTGAGCACGACCAGGTCAGCCCCGGCTCTCACTGGAAAGCAGGCACACTACTAGCCCGATGGGGTGGGTGTGACATTATACAGCCCGTGAGACGAGCGTGCGGAAAAGGAATGCTTTTTCGGCGGATGCAGACCCAGACGGGGTGGGGAGCGGTGCCGCGCTGGAGTCGGAACAAAGGGTGGGCGTGTGGGCTCCGAGACAGGCCAGTGGGGAAGGTGGGGCGGGAAGAGCAGGGGAAGGAGGTGGTGTTTTTGGGGACCTGAAAGGTGGCTGATGGGCCAGGGGAGGAGGAGCTGGAAGGAGAAGGAGAGACGGACAGGTGACAAGAGGCCAAGCTGCGAGATCACAACATCTGCAATTTGTTCCGAGAGCATCGGGAAGCCACTGAAGGTTGGGGCAGGGGAATGGGTGTCCCCGTTCTTGCGGGCCACTCTGGATGGGGCAGGGGCAAGTGTGGACCTGGAGACCAGTCAGAGCCCACTGCAGGCGTCTGAGCAAGAGACAGGCAGAGGCCTGGAGGGGGGATGGGGGTGGGGGGGGTGGGGAGAGTGGAGAGAAACGCAGCTGAGAAGGTAAAAGCAACAGTCTGGCCGGGGAACTGGCTGTGCCCAGGGGCCTGGGAAAGAGCAAGGGAGGTGCAGCGGGCGGGCGGTGGGAAAGTCTGAGACCGGGGCTCTAGGGAGGGCGGTCACGGCGTGTCTGGGACGAATTAAACACGAATGCCTTTACAATACCCAAGTGGGGATATTTTGAAGGCCACGGGATAAACAGGACAGGAGGCCAGGGGAAGGTTTAGCGGAGACAGGAACTCAGGGGGGATCAGTGTAGAGGCGGTGATGGAACCCATGAGCCTGGCTGACGTTTCCAAGAGAGGGGGAATGGAGATCCGGGGGGAGAGGGTCTGGGCTCAGCTGTGGGGGATTCGTAGTGTGGAAGGGCTGCCTGCTGAGGGGTCAGCGCTGAGGGGTCAGCACCGAGGGGTTGGAGAGGAACAGGCAGAGAAGCAGAAGGAAAACCCACAGAGCGCGCTGTCAGCAGAAGCAACGGAGAGTGCCCGTTCGAGAAGGAAAGACCGCCCACAGGGCCGGCTGTTTCCGAGAGATCAGACAAGACCAGATGAGAGTGGAGGGCAGCCCGCTGGGTTTCGGGCATGGGGCCACCGCGCACTCTGGGGGCCGTCTGGAGATACTAACCACATGGGGTGGAAGGAGGGGGTGGAAGCCACACTCGAGGGAGCGGAGCAGTGAAGGGGAGGCGAGGAAACAAAGACAAGCAAGCACAGCCGGCTGCAACCGACCGGGCAGAGGGAGGCAGGCTGTCCTGGGGGTGTGGTGGGCGAGGGAGGTTTGCAGGGCCCCCTCTCCTGCATTTCGTCCCTGCTCAGGCATCATCTTCTGCCCCAGACCATCCCTGGCCACTGACTGCAATGCTTCGGCGCCATTCCATCGCCGTCGGGTGCCTTCCCTGCCCCCTTTCCCTTCACACACCTCCCACTGCCCTGCATGCGTCTGTCTGGGGGTCTCTTGTCCAGGAAAAAAGTGCCGGGAGGCAGGACTGGGCCCCCAACCAGCGGCTGGCACACGGCAGGTGCTCCACCGCCACTGGCTGAGCGAGCAAAGGAGCCCCAGTGGAGAGCTGGCACTCGACAGGAGCGAGAAGGAGAGAGAAGACAGGGCCCTGTGAGGCAGACTGGCCAGCAGGAAGCTGAGGGAGTCCCTGCCTGTTTTCTTGAATCTTCTGTGTGAAGAGGAAGGTGAGCCCTTGGCTCAGAGTGGGAGCTCGGGGCAGGATGTGGGCCATGAGAGGGGTTGGTGATTTGGGAAAAGTAGACAAGTTAGTTTCTCAAGTCCCTTTAAAATGCTAGAATTAGCTAACACGTCCTTGGCACCCTGGGAAATAGGTGCAGTGACTACCTCCGTATTTCTGGAAACAGCCTGGTGAGGTTGAGGAGGGTGTCCTCGGCCACACTGCGAGACGAGGCCGGGCCTGGCTGACCGCAAAGCCCTAACAGTGAACATGCTCCTTCCTTGCACACAGCAGGGCGGCCGCCCAGAGCCAGGACCGCCCAGCCCCGCCCCGCCCGGCCTGGCCCACCCAGCACTCACCTTGTCCTTGTGCTCCATCTCCAGGGAAACATCGGAGGGTGACGTCTTCTCACTCTGCTCCCCATAGATCAGCGAGGTCAGGCTGCAGCGCGGACACGTGGCAGGGAGGCGGGAAAGGAGAGGAGAGGCCTCAGGCATCTGCCTTGCTTCTCCCCTGCTCCCCATCGAGGACCAGCTGGTGGTAGACCCGCCTCGGCTTGTTTGCTGAGCACGCCGCTTTGGGTACAAACGGTGACCACCCCTGTCGCCAGGTGCCCGACACATCTTGGGCATCACAGGATCCAGAAAGCCTGAGGTCTGAGAAAAAGTGGCCTCGTGCCCAGAGATGGCTGCCCTCCAAGTTGCCTTCGTGTGGGGAAGACCAGAGCAGGGGAAGGGTGGGCGATGGGATGCCACCTGCTGATGCGACGCCAGCTGCAGCTTGGGCCCTGGTCACAGCCGTGTCCTGGTGGCAGCCATTCCCCCAGGCAGCGAGAGCAGCTCTCGGTCTGACCCCCAACCTCTCCTCACCTGTCGTTGTGTATCAGCAGAGCCAGGCGCCCATAGTCCCACGCAGCTTTCCGGAGGAAGGAGTACACCAAGATGATGAGCTACAGGCCAGGGAAGGAGATACAGGGCAAGGGAGCTCGAGGTGCCTTCCCCTCGGCTGGCCCCTGCATTTCCCTGGGAAAATCCCTGTTCCTGAGGTCACCAGGGGGTCCCCCACTAGGTGGCCAGCTCTGTCAAGGTAGGGGCCACGCCTTTTCAATTCTGGATTCCCTGGGTCCACCCAGCAGGGTCCTGGCACAGAGTGGATGTTTGGGGTTTGTTGAATGAGGGTGCCGGTGATGTGTTTAGAACTACTGGGCGAGATGCTCCTTGAAGAAACCAGCAAGGGGGAGGGCGAAGGGAGGCCCCAGGGCCCTGGCCAGGTGCGCCTTTGGACAGCAGTGCTTGGGAAACGTCCTGTTTTTCCAGCCCTCTCTTCTCCAAGGCCCACCGACTAGGGCCACCCTGGGTGGGACAATCATTCAGGGAGTCCCCATCACTGCGGCTGGGGTCCACGTGGACTGCTGGGGCCCCTGCTGCATCACTCGTGAAAGCTCCGCCCCAGCGGAGACCCCAAGGTCTGCTCATCACGGCGCCCTGGACTCACCACCCACAAGACCACGTTGAGGCACAGCACAGTGGGGATGCCCCCGAAGGGCTGCCCCCGAAGGACGGTGCTCCGGTACTGAAAGCATTCGCTCGCCGACATGTTCTGTGTCTTTTCCACCACGTTCAGGTTGCCCGGCGAGGCAGCCATCCTGCAAGGCTCCCTGGTGAACAGAGGGGTGTCTGGGTCAGACACCAGGAGTGTCTCCCACTTTGCAAAACGCAGGGGCCTGAGGGGGAGCTGGGGGAGGTGCACTGGGTGCACCCCAGGCCCCGGCCCAGTGCCGGCTGTCGTGGCGGGAGAGCCACCCTCAGACAGCACGCAGCCCCCGCCCCCCCAGGCAGGAGAACTGCTTCCTCAAACCCTGGGCCCTGCTGCCAGGACAGCCCAGATCGCCAGGGATCATTGGCATTCCGTACCACTTGATCCCTTTGCAAAAAGAACTGTAAAATGCACATCTAAATGGTCTTCTTCATGCTACCTTTGTAAAGCTTTTCCTGTATGTAAACAAACGTCACAAAGGCCAGGCAGTCCTCAGAGGGAAATGCGAGGTTTGGAGGAGGGAGCCGCTGCATTCTCGGCACCCCCTGCAGACGGGGCTCCCGGGTGCCCACCTGGAACACCCTGCATCTCTCCGATCCAGTTCCCAGGAGAGGCGATAGCTCCCGAGACAAAATTAGGTGAGGATGGCGAGCACCTGGCATGCAGCAGTGACTCAGTGACGTCACTAGCTCCTGACTAGAACCAGGGAGATCAGCACCTGCCCAGGGACCTGAGCCAACCCAGTGAGCCTGAGCATTCTGGGGAGACTCTACTGCAGAGTTCACGGTCACCGGGTCGGTGTTCTTCAGGCTCGGGTGAGAGCGGAAACCACAGGTGAAAACCAGAGGAGACTGGGAGCTGCTTGGGCTTATCTGCAAGGTTGTCCTGGGTTTGAAAGATCATGTGTTTTGGCTCCAGACCTCATCTGGCCCTAGAAACTCTGCATTCCCATTCAGGAGTAGGCTCATTCATTCCTTCAACAAATATTTAGTGAGCAGGCCTTGGGCCAGACTAACACCCAGGATGCATCAGTGGACAAGGCAAATAAAATCCCTCCTTGGTGGGATTCTGGGGGGAAGAACCAGTGTAGGGGTGAGGGGGAGAGGAGACTTGTAAAGAGCGGGATTGGGGGAGGATGCACTGAGGACATGACCCTGGAGCAAAGACTTGAAGAGAGGGAGCAGAGCTCATAGCTGCTGGGGGGCCAGGGTGCTCAGGCAGAGCAGAGGCCGGGGCTGCAGTGCTGCCTGGGGTGCAGTGGAAGAGCAAGTCAACCACAGTGGCTGGACCAGGGAGAGTGAAGGGGCCGGGAGGGGTGGCACCAAGGAGTGACACGAAATGAGTGATGAGTGATGTATTTAAGGGTTCACTCTGATCCTTGGGTTGTGAATAAACGGGGGAGGGGGTCAAGCTGAAAAGAAGCAGCAGAAAGGTCAATTAGGAGGAGATTGTGTAATAGAAATCCAGGCAGCCCTAGCTGGTGGGGCTCAGTGGACTGAGCACCGGCCTATGAACTGGAAGGTCACTGGTTCGATTCCCAGTCAGGGCACATGCCTGGGTTGCAGGCCAGGTCCCTAGTTGGGGGTGCACGAAAAGCAGCCAACTGATGTTTCTCTCTCACACTGATGTTTCTCTCCCTCTCTTTCTCCCTCCCGCCCCCTCTACTTGAAAATAAATAAATAAAATTTAAAAAACAGAAAAGAAATTCCTGCAGAAGATGATGGTAGCCTGGGCCAGGGAGGAAGCAGTGGTGAGAAGCGGTCAGATGTCGGAACTATTTTGAAGGTGTCGCCAACGAGGAGTGCTGACAGATTGGATAGGGAGGGTGGGGAGGTGGAGAGTCCAGGATGACTGTTTGTTTGTGACCCGGGCACTGGAAAAATGTAGGTGCGTTACTGGACAGGACAGACAGGGAGTTCAGGCGGGGGAGTGAGTGCTGCGGGGGGAACCAGAGTTGGGTCTGGGCAGGCTGAGCGCAGCGTGGAGCAGATGGATGCATCCGTGAGCGTGCAGCTCAGAGAGACTGGAGGCATACGCGTGGGGGTCACCAGCACAAGGGGACCCAGGGCCGAGGGAGGATCACCAGAGGGAGAGTGGAGAGTGAGGTGCGAGATCGGAGCCTTGGGAAGCTCCCTTGTAAATGCGGAGGAGACAGAAAGAGAGACTGGGAGGAACAGCCGGTGAGGAAAGAGGAAAGGCAGGAGAGGGCGGTGCTCTGGAAGCCAAAGAAAGAAGGTGTTTCCAGGAAAAGGGAGGGACCAGTCGCGTCAATATGGTTCAGTAAGATGACAACGGAGAATTAGCCGTAGTTGAAACACTGTCAGTAAAATGTAAACGTATAGTGTTTACAGGGGACACGGTATGTTTCAGCAGCCTTCAGCCAGAGGGTCAGAGCAGCAGGGCTGGCATCTCTGGGGTCTCTTGGTGGATGGGGCAGGCATCCAACCTCAGGAAGTCGGTCACCTGCAGCGGGAAGTTCTGCTGGTGGCCACTGGGGGGAGCCCGCGCAGAGGAAGCCAGTGGAGAAGTGGGGAGGGAGGCGCCCCTGGCGGGTCTGAAAGCCTTGGTGAGACCTCCTACCTGAGTCAGTTCTCCAGGGAGGGTCCAACTCCGGCCTGGAGGCTCCGCCCCGCTGCCAGGCTACTGCAAAAGAACAAATGCAGAGGGGAGACCGTGAGACTTAGAAACCCAGGTCATTGCTCGTCTTCTCATCTTTATTGTGGTATCTTCTGAGGCACCAAAGGCTTGAATTGTGACAAAGCCCCGTTTATCAAGTTTGCTTTTGTGAACCATACTTTGGTATCCTGTCTAAGACATCTTTGCGTGACTCAAGGTCTTCAAAGATTTTCCACTTAAAATCTTCTAATTTGAGCTCCATGGAAGACTGTCACCCATTTCAAGTTCATTTTTATGTTTGGCGGGAGACGGAGTCCAAGCGCTCCTTCCGGCACGTGGCTGTCCGATCGTCCGGGATCGTTGGTTGAATCCTCTGCTTTGTCTGGGGAGGGGGTTTGTCTGGGGAGCGGGGCCAGGCCCAGGATGTGGGAGGGCTGGCAAACTGCTACACAGGACTGGGACTGTTGTCACTAGGTGGTTAATACTCTGTCTGAGGAGGGGAGGGGGCTCCTGGGCTGTGAAAAGCTCAGTATCCATCTGGCTCTAAGGAGGTTTGCGTTCTGGATGCTGCTCTTTTCCACTCAACTCCCACTCCCTCATTCTCTCTCATTCCAAAGGCTCCCTCCCCCCTTCCCTTCCTTCCACAAAGAAGGGCTGAGCACCTGCCCCAAGCCAGGCATCCTGCTAGGCTCCGGGGTCCTGGAAGACTGGTTCCTGCCCACTCGAGGCTCCCAGACTCCCCGAGGCCACACGCAGGCATGAAGGTACCCGCCACTGCACACAGGGTAAGGGGGCACGGGGAGGAGTCAGAGAGGCCTTCTGCAAGGAAGTGACCTCCATGCTAAGCGGGAAGCAGGTGCGTGGATGGGCCCGGTGCAGTGGGGAAGCGTGGCAGAGACCCAGAGGGGAGAGTGAGCGTGGCGGTGAGGGAAAGTGGGGATGGCTATGCATGGCTAGCAGGTAGGATGCACCACTGATTTGTCCTTTCATTTGTTCATTCATTCATTCATTCATCCCTGCAACAAGAATTCACTGAGATCTGCCCTTGCCAGGCCCTGCACAGACCCCTGGAGGTAGAAACATGAGGTCCTCTTCATGCAGTTCACAGCCTTTGGGATTTGGCAAGAGGATTGCCGTTGGGAGGCCTGCCTGGCCATGTTGCTGTTCCACCTGGGAGGACCCCAAGCTACAAGGTGGCGGCATCTAAGCCTGGAGTGGGGTGGGATCCACCCAGTGGGATTGGGTTGGCACAGGGAGGTGAGGAAGGAGAGACGAGAGAGCCTCACTCCCACCTCACCCCCTCCTCAGCTTTCTAGCAGCAAGCAGAGGCAGTAATGAGGGAGCTTGTTGTCATGGAAACCTAGACCACCACCCCACCTTTTCTTTTCACCCCTAAACTATGTCTGGACCTTCCTCCCCTTCTAGAGGGAAGGCTAGCTCTTGGGTGTGAAGAAGAGGGATGGAAAGCTTTCCGGAGACCAACGCCCCGGCACTGGAAAGAACAAAACTGGAAATCTGAGTAGGATAAAGGCACGCAGAGCAGAGGCCCCAGTCTGCCCGGTGCAGGGGACATCCTGGAACTCCTCTCTCTGGCTGTGACTCTCACGTCAGAGCACAGGGAGGCTGTTCAGGGCATCGGGGAGACGGGGGCTCTCTGGGGCAGGCTGTCTGGGCTTCAGTCTCCAACCCACTGTTGCTAGCTCTGGGTGACCACGGACCATCAGTGACTTCACCTCTCTGAGCCTCAGTTTCCAGCTCTGGACAGTGGGGGTAATGGCAGCACTGCCTCAGGGGGTGGCTGTGGACATGAGATAATTCATACAAAGCCCTCCGCTCTGTCCTGGAGAACTGTATGTGCTCAATCATTAGCCCAGACTGGACCACTCCTAGCCTCTCCTTCCACTGACTCCATTCTGGGGCAGGCAAGGGGAGAGGTGAGGAGTGTGGGAAGCTTGCCCAGACCCCACAAGCTGCAGCCTGTGGGTGGTGGCTGGCTCTGTTCTTACTGTGCTTGAAAGCAAATGTCAGCCTTGTTTTGGGGGCCAGAAAGGCCAGTGAGAGATGGTGCTAATGCTGGTTGGTGAGTCAGGATTCTCAGGTCCCTTCCTCAGCTGCACATCTTCTCTGACAGCAGGAGTGCCTGGCCTTCCTCCCTTCCCTTTTCTCCCCCATCCCGGCCTCTAGTGGTGAAGTTGGAGGCTTAGCAGTCAGTCCTAGGCCTGGGCAGTTTCCCTCAGCAACTGGGCAAAGGCTTTGCAAAGAGCTCACTTTGTCTTTATTACTTCTCTGGCCCATTACTCATGCCCATCCTTCCAGACATGGCCTGATTTCAGCTGCTGCTGTCCTAACTAGCCAGGCCAGCCAGCCCTTTGCTTCCTGCTCCCCATCCCAAGGCCAAGTCCACTGTGTGGGGAGTCCATATCCCAGAGCTACAGTGGTCCAGGAAGCCCTAAGGAGGGGGCAATTTTATTAATGGCTAGCATTTATTGAGCACTTACTGTAGCATAAGTACTTCCCATTTAAATACTAGCTAATTTAATCCTCACAAGCACCCTAAGGTACTAGAATCATCCCTAGATGAAAGAGAGAATTAAGGCCCAGAGAGGTTAAATAACTTGCCCAAGGTCATGGTATTTGTAAGCAGCAGATCTGGCTCTTGAATGGGGCCAGTTCACAAGCCTTTGCTCTGCTACCTCCTGGCCCTGCTGGGCCTCTGCTGGGCTGGCAGTGCTGGGCAGGGGCAGAGGAAGGGGGGGCCTCACTCAAACCTGAGTCCAGGGACAGAACCCTGCCCAGGCTTTCAGGGCATGGCAGTGGAAAGTGCTGTGGACCGCGGGATCCAGGAGAGCGGGGCTCTGGGCCACCTGTGTGTCCTTGAGCAGGTGCCGTCTCATCACTGGGCCTCCTGTCTGTCTAAGAGGGGGGTTCGGTAGTAGGTCTCTGAGGGCCAGGTTGGAGCTAGGATTCTAGGTGTCTCAGAGACACCGTCTGCAGCCACACAGCCTACATGTCGTGGTGCTGCCCAGGCTCACTTGCTCCACCATCCCCGTGAGTTCTCCAGAGCTGGCCCGTAGGCACTGCGTTTTGATTTGGAGAAGCAAACCACTGTAGCCATAGGCCATGACCTCGGAGAAGCAGCTGTGGATGGGGGGAACCCAACCCTGTCCCCACCAAGTGCACAAAGCCAGAGCGCCTCCCCCTGCCTTGCCCCTCCCCCACCGTCTGACCTTCTCAGTCTCTTCAATAATTCATCACCTTTTTGTTAACAACAGGAAAGGTTACTTCCCATGGCACTGGACCTTGAGAGGATAAACTGGAGTTTCTGTCCATGTGCACATCCTCCCCTCTCCCCTTCTGCTGGGACTGTCCTCATACCCACTTCCATGCTCCCACCTCGCAGATCTGCCCCCCCCCCTTTCCAGGACATCAGCTCAGTGGCCCACGTTCATTGTCACTGCTAGGAGGCCAGGTCCTTTGGAGGAGTGGAGGAGGGGAGGAAGTCTTACCATAATGAGGGTTCTGGTTAATGTCCTTCCCTGCCCACCATGCCAGCTGGCCTCGCATCTCCTCCCAAGTGTCAGGAAGCCCTTCCTTGGTCTACACTGTTCTCGAGTCTCAACCCCCTCACTTCTTCACAGCAAAGAATGGTTTGCCCAACTTAAGGTATGAAGACACTGGGGTGCCAGCAGGCTAAGAGATTTGCTGGAGGTGAGGGAGACCAGATTTGGGATCAGAGCCAGGGTTTTTTGGTTCCCCTTGCACTGCTCTCAGGCTTGGATTGGCGACACCTCAGCCTGGGGTGGGGGTCAGGGCGCTGGAACCACCTGGAAGGTGTTCGGTAGATCCAGGAGCTCACGCCCCACTCCAGGCTCTAAGAACAAGAATTTCTAGTCAATTCTTATGTGCAGCCAACACAGAGAATTACCAGCTTAAGGATTTCAGGGTTATTTATGTCTAACTAAGAGGTTCTTGCAGATCCGAAATGTCTTCTGACTCCCCCTAAATGAGGAGAGAGAACGGGGAGATTCGGGGATGAATCGCGTTGCACTGGAGCAGCTCACAAGACCTGCCCCATAGTCTCCTCTCAGCAGATCTCCCCCCACCCCAGGTCACTCTGAATCTGTGGAAAGTTGGCTGGAGAGCTACAGAGGCCCATACCTCCTCTTCACTTGAACCCCCAAGCTCTTGCATTTCTCCCTGTGCCAGAGGTCATGACCACTTCTTCCTGGGGCACCATGCCTGCCCTCTGTTCTGTCCTCGTATCTCAGAGCTGCTTGCTCTGCCCTGACTGAGCTGGAGCTGCTTCCTCTTGGGCTAGGCTGAGACCTTGGTCTCATCAGTATTTACAGCGTGTGGGTCAGCTCAAACCCTCCTCCCCGAAGCCTTCCTCAGGTGGGCAGCCCAGTCTGTGCCTTGTCCCCACCCTCTTTACAGAGCTGGCCTTGGCCACCACCACCTGGCACTCTTCTCTCGTTTTTCTCTTCACACACATGAGCAGCCGGTTCCCCAGCAAGTCTCTTGATGACAGGGCTCATGTCACTGTGGTTCCCCCACAATGACCAGCATGCAGGTAGTAGGCCTCAATGAAAGAAAGACGGCCCTTTATCCAGGGCTCCACTCAGGAGCAGGAAATGATACAATCCAGGTGAGTGGCATACCTTTGCACACACACACCTTTGCCTCCCCACAGAACACCGCTGGCTGCCAGGCCTTGCTCCCTGCTCAGAGCGCGGAGTGACGGGAACATGTGATGTGGGCTCAGGAGACCGGGTGCACATCTGGATCCGTTGTTTATTAACGGCGACTTGACCTCTTGCTGCTCAGTTTTCTCTTCTGTGAAATGGGTTTAACTGTGTCCATCCTGTCTGCACCGGGGCAACTGTGAGAGTCAAGGATATGGTGCGTGGAGACGTTTTTGTAGACTCGGAGTACCACCAACGGTGATTGTTGCCTTTGCTATCTTCTTCCTAGGACTGAGGTCCGCCTTCTGTCAGAAGCCTCACGTGGCCCTCTCAGAACCCCTGAAG